TGAATAACTCCATGCAAAACATACTGAACGAGCCAAGAGTACAGGAGATGGATTCCAGATCTTTTGAATCCCATACCAGAGAAAGGGATCTTGTGAAGAAAAGTATTGAACGAGCTAGAAAACAACTCCAGCAGATTGTAGTTGCAGATTTAGGGATGAGTCCTGTGGATATATCCTTGGTGAAGAAGTACAAAACTGTTGATGTTCCAGCTGTACATTCAGCAGTAGGGAACATATAGAAATCTTTGCAGAAGTATGTGAAATTTCCTGGAGTAAGTTATGAGTACTGTGATGAAGTCAATGAATTTCTGGATTATGCGGAGAACTGGTGTTTGAAGGTAGAGGATTTATTATTATTATTATTATTATTATTAATATTATTATTGAACCTGTGTTGTATTCTCAGCGTGGCAAGACAAAGGGACTAGAAGAAGAAGAAAAACCAAGTGTTTCAACATTTTAATTGATCATTTTTCTTCTGAAAATTATGCATTATCATTTCAGAGTAAAACTTATTTCTAATTTAATTTAATTTAAAAATGGAGGCCAATCTATTTTTCCCTTTGTTAAGTTTAATTTCTAATTTAATGAATTTGGCTTGGGATATTTACTTTCTTGATTACATAGATAGTTCTGCCTTATAAATTATTTACGGCTAGTTACATGTTTGTTTAAGGCATTCTTCATGCACTATTCAATATTCAGGCCAGACCTTGCAATTTTAAATTATGCATGTTTTTTAATATTTGAAAAATTATTAAAGGAGAATTCAACGTATTTTCAAATGGTTCTATAAAGGGAGTGACTGGCAATGTAAGGTAGTTGAACTGATAATTGCAGCATTGAAGAGGTAATTTTTTAGGATTCATTTGAGACGTATCAGACGTTTTTTCGGTTCTTTTTGTTCCGCAAGAGCGCTAATTAAAATCCTCCTTCATTGTCCACTCTGGAGAGATGGTTTTGAGAATCGGTTTTTAAAAAATTATTCAATAACAATGACGAAAAATGCAACAAGAATTCTAAAGTTAACTTATTAGACGTTTAGGAACATATTTCTCAATAGAAATTTGTCAATAAATCAATGTTAAAATCAATTATTTCCTTTTCATTATTATATTGAATTTCTTAATCTTTACAAATTTGTCGCAGATTTCTTTAAGTTCTTCCAATGTCGTCTTGTCATAAAAAATTGAAGGAAATCTACAGAAAATGTTTGTGAACAATGAGGAGACATTAAAGAAACTAATAACTAAATAAAATTAGTTATTTTCGATGATAAGAGTTAATCTTTATTTTCTCAATCTGTTCCTAAACAATTTATTAGTTTACTGTCGATGTTTTGTTACATTTTTTGTGGTCATCATTGAATAATTTAAAAACAATCGATGCTCAAAATCATCCCTCCAAAATGGAAAATCTATGAGGATTTTAAAAATTAAATTTGCGCTCTTGTTGAACAAATATGCACCGTAAAAACGTTTCATAGGTCTCAATTGAGTCCTAAAAAATTACTCTACAATACTTCATTCTCAGTTAAACTACCATACATTGCCGGTCACTCCCTTTAAGACATATATTTACAACCCCATCATCCATATATTCGAGAAAGGATGCCAAAGATATCCTGGTATTGCTTCTTTTTTTTTGCTTATTTTTTTTTTTTTTTTAAGAATATTTAAAGTACTATTAGTTTAAAAATAAAAGAAAATACCATTATTAAGGTAAATTCTTTTATTTAAACTATTAAAGAACATTTATAAATTTCAAATCTAAGTAAATACTTTAAAAGTTTGCACTGCAAGATTACCTAGGTAATGCTCTGTAGAGGGGAAAACAAAATTCCAATATTAGGATAATTGTTTTTTACAAGATTGTTTTGTTTGTTATGATAGTACTGTATAGTTGTAATTAGAAAACAGTAGAATAATTAAGGTCGTTTTTCCTTGCTCCTTTTTTATAGAATGCCCCTAAGGATTTTTATACCCCTGTTTGACCAACATTATTACCCCATTAGCGGGATGTTAAGTTTCCTAATGTCCCTTGGGACATCTCAGACAATTATCAATAACGAATACAATTTTTTTCATAATAGGAATTATAAGAAATACGAGAATACACCAATATGCAACGTCGAAAAACAGAAATTATGAAAATATTATTTTAATTTTATCGATTTTTCAGACAGTAGTTTTTAAAATTTTAGAAACACCAAACACAGGTCAACTACCATACTTTGCCTGTCAGGCTGTCACCCCCTTGAAAGGTGTCCAGAGTATCCTTGTGAATGGTAATGCAACTCTCTTAATGATGGGCCAATAAAATAATTACTTAGACAGTCCTATTAGGATGAATTTTCAATGGTTGGATGGACTTTTATAGAATGATGAATGAATGAATGAATAAATGTCCCAGCAAGTTGATTGCATGGTGAACCATCATCTACTAGCACTGTACACTACAATCTATAATTCACGGATTTTCAAAAAAAAAACATTTTCTATAAAAAAAAATAAAATCAGATTATGCAATTTTAAACGCAAAATTTAAATTTTTAAAAATCCCCCCCTGTTTGTATAAAGTTCCCCTTATCGTTTCTTAAATGGCAAAACGTAGTTGGAAGAGTTTGGATTCAGCTTTCCTTTTCAAACCTTACATTTCCTAGGAAATTAGACGAGGCACGTAATAATACTTATTATTATATATTTATATATTATATAGTATAATGTCTAGAATTAGTAAAAAGTTTTCCTAATTAGAAATATTATTATTTTCTTTCAGAAGATTTGTACTTTTTACTTTTTTTTACAGAAAGGAACTAATTTTCTTTCAACCCCTGAATCGATGCAACCTGATGATGGAAAACTTAAATATTTGAAACTTTGGCTTTTATGGCACCTCCTTTTTACCTTCGTTTGACTAACATTACTGAACCTATATGATTCCCCCAATAGCGGGACGGTTAATTAACGTTGCTTGGTCAATTAAGTAAAATAACGACCCGCTCTGTGAAGTTTTCTTGAAAAATTATCGCATTTTTATCTGACCAGACAAAAAAAAAACAATATAGTTTCAGTATAAGTAAATATTTCCATTTACTGTTATAGCGCCGATATAAGGATTCATCTCTAATTGGATGATGAGATAGATAGAAAGATAGATTTCTATTGGTTCAGAATAGACACCAAACACATATCAAAAATTGGATCAGGCGCTAATGGACTCGGCATTTCCGGGAAAATTCCAGGAAATTAAAAAAATTCCTGGCCGATTTCCTTGACCAATTTTGCCTCCAAATTAAACCTCGCTACGCCCTGGATGTTTTGTATGTAAAATTGGTCTTTTGAACCCATAGTTTAAGTAAAATTTCCTTTACTCGCATGTATAGTATTGTAAATGATTAAAAATATCAAATGTCTTTCAGATTGCATAAAGTTCCTTTGGTTAGAAAGGTCATGTGTTCAAAATAATTGGTTAAAAAAGAGTTGTATATTGAATTGGGGTCATAAACTTTTCAATGTTTGAAAATCTTTGAAACAATGAAAATGTGCCATTTGACAATTTTAGAATCTGACCAGAGAGATAGGAACTTTTTTATATAATATCGTTAATGTTGAATACTTGATCTCGATATCTAATGTGGGTCCTTTAAATTGTGAAAGTTGCATGATCCGAGCAAAATCACAGTGGATTTCCAACGTGGGCGCTTTAAAATTTGAGGATCAATGCTTGATCCCTAAATTTAATTGAGAAGAATTCCAAAGGATTGCGAGAGATGACGATCAATGCTTGGCCCCGAGATTCACAGCACACAAGTGATGACTTGAAGTCTCTAAAAGTGGACTGAAGACACGACTTGAAAATTCCTTTGCAGTATCCCCCCCCCACACATCCTAGTTTTATTTAAATGATTTTGCCTTTTTTCCCTTCTCCAAAGAACTCTAAAAAAGACGACATTTAAAACTTGAATGATTAGTTTATAGAAAATAACAATATTTAGAGTATTGATGTAAAATAAAAATTATGTATTTCGTCGAAAACTATTAATTTATTGATAACTAGCTGAAGTGCCTGGCGTTGCCCGTGGAATACAATATTTTTAACCTATGTTACACCAACGTAATTATGGGGTCGCTTAAAAGAATTCTGCCAATTTGGCTGCAGCCGTTTGGCCAGCTATTGCTAACATAAAAATATATGTATATATATGTATATATATAAACTAACTCTATCATTCAATCAAAAAAAAACAGATAAATTTATATGTAAGAAATGCCTTACTCCAATAACCCTCGGGGGTTTAAATTTCCATTGTTTCTAATTTGTCTGAGAGTAAATGATACATTTTTAATGATTAAAAACATTCATTATATAGATAAATAACAAAAGATCAAACAAAACAAAAAACATACATAAAACAAAAGGAGAAAGAAAGAATGGTCCTTGTGAAATGTTAACAATAATTGTTGAAGAACATATGACGTCAAACTAAAGTATACTGTTCGTAACATTGTAATATTTTCCATCATAACTCCTGCTCATGAATGAAAATTTGAAACGAATAAAACTGTTTTGAATTTGTAATAAATAACCGGATGAATTTTTTCTTAATAAAATTGGGCAAAAAAGCAAAACTAGAGGAGCTACGAGGTTACAATGTTGCACTATAATGTCACATGAAACAAGGAGGAGCTACGAGGTTACAACGTTGCACCAAACTGTCACATGAAACTAGAGGAGCTACGAGGTTACAATGTTGCACTATAGTGTCACATTAAACTAGAGGAGCTAGGAGGTTACAATGTCACACTAATATATCACATGACACTAGAGAAGCTACGAGGTTACAACGTTGCACCAAACTGTCACATGAAACTAGAGGAGCTACGAGGTTACAATGTTGCACCATAGTGTCACATTAAACTAGAGGAGCTAGGAGGTTACAATGTCACACTAACATATCACATGAAACTAGAGGAGCTGCGAGGTTTCAATGTTTCTCTCTCCGCTCTCTAGTTCCCTTCAGTCTCTATTGACACCTTGGAGCTAAACCTTCTCTATCCAAACCTTCTCCAGAGCTAAACCTTCTCTATCCAAACCTTCTTAAGAGCTAAACCTTCTCTCTCCAAACCTTCTCCAGAGCTAAACCTTCTCTCTTCAAACCTTCTCCAGAGCTGAACCTTCTCTCTCCAAACCTTCTCTAGAGCTAAACCTTCTCTCTTTAAACCTTCTCCAGAGCTAACCCTTCTCCGGCTTTAAACCAGACAATGAGGGAAATAGTTCATATCCAGGTGTTCATCATTGTTAGGATTTTTTTGGCCTATGTCACTCCCATTGCACTTAAGGGTTTCCTAAAAAATGTCGGCCAATTTGGTTCAGCCTTTTAGCTAGCTTTTAAAAATACATAAATATATACATATGTGCAAAGAGCTTTAAGATATAGATTAACAATTCCTTTTAATTTTCACATTTCTTATAAAAAGAATAAAATAAGGTTTTCTGACGCAATTGCGAGCCCTGTAATGCGTCGCAATTCCGGGGAATATTGCGCGATTTCACACAATTCGAGCACTATGCCGCTTAATTCAGCGCAACGGAATCCCTAAATAGAATGCTAAATATAGAGGGTACAAAAAGTAAAAAAAGTTTGTTATATAACTTTTTTGATCCTTTTAATTATTCTTTTACTAGAAGTAGAATTAATTATTCTTTCACTAGGAGTAAAACATAGTTATTTATATTATTATTATTATTATTATTATTATTATTATTATTATTAGTTTTACCAAATTGGCAGATTTTTTTAGAAAACCTATTGTACCCTCCCCAATTGATATACATCGAGTTTAATTTTTTTTTTATTCAACGGGCAACGCTGGGCACTTGTTAGTTCTTTTATTATTCTTAATATGATTATTATTATCATTATTATTATTATCTAAGGCTGGCCAGTGTGGGAACCAGATTGGAGCAAAATTCTGGGAAATTATCTCAGACGAGCACGGAATTGACCCAACGGGGTCTTATCATGGTAAATTTAAAGGGATTGTCGACTATATTCAAGTTAAAGGGATTGTCGACTATATTCAAGTCAAAGGGATTGTCGACTATATTAAGTTAAAGGGATTGCCGACTACATTCAAATTAAAGGGATTGTCGACTATATTCAAGTTAAAGGGATTGCCGACAACATTCAAATTAAAGGGATTGTCGACTATATTCAAGTTAAACGGATTGTGGACTATATTAAGTTAAAGGGATAGTCGACTGTATTCAAGTTAAAGGGATTGTCGACAATATCCAAGTTAAAGGAATTGTCGACTCTATTCAAATTTAAGAGATTGTCGACTATATTCAAGTTAAAGGGATTGTCGACTATATCCAAGTTAAGGGGATTGTCGAATTTATTTAAGTTAAAGGGATTGTCGACTATATCCAAGTTGAAGGATTTGTCGACTATTTTCAAGTTAAAGAAACTGTCGACAATATTCATGTTAAAGGTGTTGTCATTTAAAATCATGTTACAGGAATTGACGACAAAAGTTACGTTAAAAGAAAATTGTCTTCTAAATTCAAGTTAATTGAATTTTCAACTAAAACTAATTTAAAGGATTTTCAACTTAAAATAATTTAAAGGAATTGTTAACCAAAATCAAGCTAAGCAGATTGTCATCTAAATTCAAGCTGAAGGATTTGACCAATTTTTTCTTTCGTTTAACATTGTGATAATCAAAAATCCTTTATTCCGTAAAAATAAACCTCTCTGCAGATATGGAAAACAATCATGGTCATGTTTTTGCATCTCTATGCTGTAAAAAAACACGGATGGTTTTGATAGTAGAGCATTTTTAGCAACTTTAGAAAACATAATATTTGTGAATTGTTTTAGTGAATAATTTCATATGGAAATAATTTGTTTTCCCCAGGGACATCTGACCTTCAGCTGGAGAGAGTTAATGTGTACTACAACGAAGCTACTGGGGGTAAATATGTACCCAGGGTAAGTTGTGAATACTAAACAAACTATCAATTAATCAACTTTTTTTACTGGAGGAATCGAGTCTTTGATACAAACTCAAATTTTCTAATCCCTACTTAGTTGCAACTTTCAATATTTTAAACTTAGTTAATTTGATCTAACAGGATTCTAAGGTTGAAATATCTAAGGTATACGGCATTGGGCTGCAAAGATTTAAAAAATCATACTTGTGAAAAGTATCAATATTGAAAAAAAGGATTAGTGTCAAAAAGAGGAACGAAGACTTTAAATGAACTAAATGAGTTAAACTTAAACTCTTCTATCCGGGAGATGATCCGATAGCTAATTGGTCAATGACAAAAAAAAATAAAAATATAGCTCTTTCAGAAGGATGAATACACGAAAGCAAATTGTAAACACGTGTTGGAATTTTCAAGACTAATAATAAACAACAACCGTCGGGAATTATTGTTACCTCTTTTTAGATCATGATTCTTTCAACTTTTCATTCATTCTTCCACCTTTTTGTTTTTAAAAATATGCATTACATGCTTTATTTAAGTGTGCGAAATGAATGATTTTACTCTTCTAATTGCAAAGGTTTGCAGACACATAAAAGGTTTCTGCAACAGCAGGAGAAGAAATTAAGATACAAATTAAAGATGGAGTCTAACCGACAAAATGGCGGCGCCCGTAAACGTGATTTCAACTTACTTCCAATAAATAGAGTGGCATGTCCGATTCAAAACGGGTTTCTTTTAAACGTTGCATGCGTGATCTTTTTTGTTTCTCTTTAAAAGTGACTTGCGCAATTCTGCAGCAAAAACAATGGAGTAAAATTGTGTGAATCGGAAAAGTCCCTTTAAATACAGGAGCTCTGAAAATTACAACGGTTGTCCCTTTAATTAATGGTCAACTTAAATAATTGACTTAGTCCGGTAACTCAGACAGGACATATTAAAAATAAACTTTTTTCAGAAATGCAATTTATTTTTGAAAAATAATTAATAAAGATTTTATCATTTTTCATACATTTAATTTTAGGCTGTTCTCGTTGATTTGGAACCCGGAACTATGGACAGTGTAAGGTAATGATAGTAATAATAATAATAATGATACTGCTGCACTCTAAAAAATGCCAAATTTTCATTTAACAAAATATGTTTAAGCACCAGAGCCATATTCAGCTTAGTTGTATTATTTGTCAAATTTTAATGAATTAAATTTATCATTCATCAACATTATGCTACTTAGATGAATTTTGCTTAGGTGCTCCAACAATATTTTATATGAAAATTTAACTTAAATTTGTTTACTCTACTTTAATAATAGGTAATTGATAATAAAACTAATAATAATGTTTCTCAAAAATATAAAAAATGTTCTCCCGGAAAATACGCCTTGTTGCTATACCTAGCGATTTCTATACGTTGGATTTCTATAATGTTTGACGCCGCAAATAGTTTTACTGTACTTATTAAATCGCAAATCAAGTGAGGGTCTTTTTAAACGGGCCAACTTCTGTTTCCCGTGCTTATTGGACTAACTAAAGTCATAATTGAGTTTAAAGTCGTCTTTATATTTTAGAGTTTTCTGGTTATCACTGTATTATCAGAAAAAACGCCATGATAATCAGTAAACAAGTTTATGATATAAACTGTAAATTTTTTATTGTCAATTTAATTCATTTCGATGATTTTCAGATCTGGTCCTTTCGGGGCCATTTTCCGTCCTGACAACTATGTGTTTGGGCAGAGCGGTGCAGGCAATAACTGGGCTAAAGGGCACTACACTGAGGGTAAGTTTCTTCAGAGAACCTGACCAAACTGACTTTAAATAACGCTTCGCAACCTGGAATTGGAATTTATTTGTCCCCGTCTTCAATGCAGCTTGCTTAACCTAGGACCGGAGTATATAAATTGGAGAAAAGTTGCTGAACTATCCATCGTCAGTTAAACTTCTTCTTTACTGGATAAAATCCTGAATCAATAAGTTTTCCCTAAAGATATCCGGACTAAATCTAAATATTTGAATAGGACTTTTTAGCTCTTTACCCTTCATGCAAATCGTGAAAGTGTTCACAGATATGTTTTAATTATTTGCATCGCAATTGGTAGCTGTACCTTTCTACCTTTTTTAATTCTATCTGATAATCTGTAAAACCCCTCCAATATTTTCTTTTTGGTAGGGTCTCCAGCGAAATGGGGAAATCGTTTCGCCGAAAATTTTGCATTTTTTTCGCCTTCCGTACTTTCATTTTTCTAGATAGCAACCTTTTGCGTTTGGAAACCATTCAACGACATTTTTGGGAAAGTTTGAGATCACAATTTTCAGTTATAAAAATAAGAATATCTCCTAAATCAATATTTGTTTAAAGTGCACTTTCTGAGCTTGGATTTAAGAGAACAAAAAAAGCATTTTATCATTCTTTGGAAAAACATAAAAAAATTGCTGATTAGAATCATCAACTACAATCCGACTAATTAGTGTCTGAGTATATCTAGTAAATTTCACACTATTATCAGCTAATCTATAATTTAGTTGGCCTTACACGACCATACACGTGTTCAGACATGGTCACGTGGTTTAAACCCCTTCATTCAACAGAGAGAGAGGGGGGGGGGCTAATGTGGGATTTAAAATTAACGATGAAAACACCCCCCCCCCCCCCTCTTTTGTGCATTACAACCATTAATTTGATTATATAATTCATTGATGGCAGGATTTTAGAATCATAAAAAAATGAAAACCAGATTTTTTTATTCCATGCTTTATTTTTCCATGTTTGCTGAATAACCATGATTCCTAGGTATCCATGTTTCCTGGGTAACTATGTTTCTTGGGTAATCATGTTTCCTGGATAACTATGTTTCCTAGGTAACTATGTTTCCTAGGTAACTATGTTGCCTGGGTATCCATGTTTCCTGGGTATCCATGTTTCCTGGGTAACTATGTTTCCTGGGTATCCATGTTTTCTGGATAATCATGTTTCCTGGGTAGCCATGTTTCCTGGGTAACCCTGTTTCCTGGGTAATTAAGTTCCCTGGATAACTATGTTTCCTGGGTAACTTTTTTTCCTGGAAAACTATGTTTCCTGGGTATCCATGTTTCCTGGGTAACTATGTTCCCTTGGTATCCATGTTTTCTGGATAATCATGTTTCCTGGGTAATGATGTTTCCTGGATAACCATGATTCCTGGATAATAACCATGGTTTCCTGGATAAAAATGTTAAAACCTATTCTGTTTCTCTTAATTTGATTTCAACAAATCTTTGTTGGCATTTCCTGTAATACTTAAGAACAATTAAACAATTATAATTGTCCCACGGATTAAACCCCTTTTCCGTAACACCCCTACCCTTGGTAAGCCCCNAGTAAATACAGTTTTTACAGACATCAATGGAAATACTGTTTTTATAGACATCAAAGGAAATACAGTTTCAAAAGTAATTTCAAGTAACCTCGTCCTCGATTTACAAAGGTTCCCTTTAAACAATTGTCTGAGCAGGATGAACGGAAATATCCTACCAGCAAAACCAAGAGAAGAAGGTTTTAAGGCGAAAGGCAAAGACAAAGAAAAAGTATATGATATGTTAAATTTCTCAAAAGAAGGAAAATACAAAAAAATCATTAAAATATTCCATAAACACTTTCCATAGGAAGACTTTTTGTTATTTCTTAAAAGATTTTTTTTCGATTATTCCATAATCCTTGGACTTCCACAATAAACCAGTGTTCTCTTTACCTTGTCATATTTCTACCATCATTATTTAATATTTTTGCCAAATTGTCTACTCGTGCTATAAAGTTACACCATTTGTCATATTTATCATATTTATTTTTCATATTTTGTCATACTCATATTTATCATATTTTATCATATTTTTCATATTTTAGTGAAAGACCAATAAGTTTTAATTAGAGTGTAATTATTTCATAATTCGGTACATGTTTTTATTCGATTTAAAGTTTTTTCTGGTTAGGGAAAATTTGGATATGATTTTTTATAAATTTAATAATATTATGCGATATTGAAATTGTTTTATAAAAGAAGTGAACATTCTTGAAGTTTTTTAAAATTTGTCAGGACTTCATACTTTGATCAAATTTCACATGGTTACTTTATTTTGTAAAGAAATACTTCCTAAAACCATTAAAGAAAACCTTCCTCCCCTCCCTCTATCCCTTCTTCACCCCCCTCCCCCCTCCCTTCTCAAGGAACGCATCATAGCTTTATTTGTTCTCAGATAAGTTTAAGTTTAGAATTCAAATGCGTTTTTCCAAATTTCAGTTTTTAATCAATGCATATGTATCACATATACATTTTATTGTAAAGAGTCTCAAATTTTTATGTTTGAAAAACCAGACAAAAAACGGACATCGTTTTGCAAGATTTGTTTTCTGTTAATATTTATAGCATTGCCAATAACCAGAGCGAGATTAACAGCTTTTTTACTTTTTTTACATTGGGTTTACCTTTTTAATCAGTTAATAGAATTGTAAATTCGTTTTTTTTATTGAGCAACAGTTAAACAAAAATGCCTAGGTACTATTAAGTATACAAGCAAAAAGAATATTTGCTGATCCAGGATTATGCTAAGTAAAGAAAGATATAGTTTCTGTTATAGAGGATTAAAGGTTTTGTTAAATATAAGGTTTCATTCACAACAACAACACGTTGTTTTTTACAACAACAATACATTGTCTTATACAACACAACACATTGTTATACACAGCAACAACACATAGTTTTTTTACAACAACAATACATTGTCTTATACAACAACAACACATTGTCATACACAACAACAACACATTGTCTTATACAACAACAACAACACATTGTCATATACAACAAAAACACATTGTTTTTTACAACAACAATACATAGTCTTATACAACAACAACACATTGTCTTATACAACAACAACACATAGTCTTATACAACAACAACACATTGTCTTATACCACAACAACACATTGTCATATTCAACCACATTGTTTTATACAACAACACATTGTCATATGCAACCACATTGTTTTATACAACAACAACACATTGTCATATACAACCACATTTTTTTTAAACAACAACAACACATTGTCTTATACAACAACAACACATTGGCATATACAACCACATTGTTTTATACAACAACAACAACCTACTATTTTACACAACAACAACACACTGTCTTAAATCAACAACACATTATCTAAAGAAAAACAGCAACAACACACAAAAACAACAACCTCTCATTTAAAAATACATTAGTATCACTGTAGACAGTACCTTTAGATATATTTTGTTTACAAAACAAATAATAACGAACTTATATAAAAACATGAAAAACGTTTATCAACAGGTTTGCATAATCAGAACCAATAATCTCATCATAATCTTCAAACATAAAAACCAAAAACAGAAACTACAGGGGATGGGGGGTGGGTGGGTGATGAGATTTCTCATAATTTTTAACCAAAAAAGGCGTTTTTTTGTATTTTTGAAGGGCGTGGAACCGGAACTGATTGAACGCAGCAAGGCATCACGAAATATCTGTAATTTAAACATAATTAGAATGTAATTATACTTTAATTATGATAAATTTACAATGTATGCAGTGATTTTTTCTTGTTGCAATAATTCATTTAACCAGAGCCAAATTATATCCTTGTTTGTCATGGATTAGAATTAAAACAAATTGAGACAAAAAAATGTTAAGATAGAAATGTAGATATATTTTAAAAATTCTTTAAAAATCGTTTTCCCTTATTATAGACTTTATGTTGTACAGGGCTTTCACAGCAATGCCTAATTACACCTGGCACACTGCCTGAAAACCTACATTTTCCGTGTCTAACTAAATATATGTTAAAACCCAATTTCTAAGTTTAAATATTAAATATATTGATACCCATTTGGAAAGCGTTTGAGTGATAATGTGAAAGAATAATGCGAAAATTAAGCACATACATTTTGCAAGCTCTTTTTTGCTGCACATGTCCACAAAGAAAAATTGCATATTTTTAGATTATACCAATTGTCGACGAAAACAATTCCATTTTGTACAATTCATTTATCTTTAATATTTTTCCCTGGAAGGAGCTGAGCTTGTGGACTGTGTTCTGGATATTGTGAGATTATATTGTTGTTGTTGTTGTAGGAGCTGAGCTTGTGGACTGTGTTCTGGATGTTGTGAGATTATATTGTTGTTGTTGTAGGAGCTGAGCTTGTTGACTCTGTCCTGGATGTTGTGAGATTATATTGTTGTTGTGTTGTAGGAGCTGAGCTTGTGGACTCTGTTCTGGATGTTGTGAGATTATATTGTTGTTGTTGTAGGAGCTGAGCTTGTTGACTCTGTCCTGGATGTTGTGAGATTATATTGTTGTTGTTGTTGTAGGAGCTGAGCTTGTGGACTGTGTTCTGGATGTTGTGAGATTATATTGTTGTTGTTGTTGTAGGAGCTGAGCTTGTGGACTCTGTCCTGGATGTTGTGAGATTATATTGTTGTTGTTGTAGGAGCAGCTGAGCTTGTTGACTCTGTCCTGGATGTTGTGAGATTATATTGTTGTTGTTGTTGTAGGAGCTGAGCTTGTTGACTCTGTCCTGGATGTTGTAAGGAAGGAAGCTGAGTCAACTGATTGTCTCCAGGTTGATATTAAAATACAAGAAATATTATTCTAATTTGCTTCGTATGCTTCGAAGACAATCTTTCTAAATCTGAAGGCCGAAAAATTTAAAACTTACAAATTATGCTCTTTTGTTATGCTTATAAATAATTGATCTTTGAATAACTTTGATTTTTTTCAAATGCTTAAATTTTTCAAGGATCGCATATGATTTTTATCTTAAAACAAGGTTTTTTAGATTTTAAATTTTTAAAGTCTGCATTTTAAACGATCATTAAATAGCTGTAACTTTTTGATAAATTCATGATTTGTATCATATAAACTATTTCATGTGAAAATCTGAATTTTTCCAGTTCAATTTTTGTTCCCATCATAATACTAACTAAACTTAACCACTACCACTACCGCACTTGTCCCTCTTATGCTATATTATTTAATAGAGATTAAAATTAATCAGACAAAAATTCTTAATTTAACTCTGCAACCTCTAAAAAACTATTTTTCTCCGTTCCTAAAAAAAATATTAAAAATCTTTATAAAGGAATTTAAGAGCAAAACATTTGAAATATTTGAAATATGGATTTTTAATTTAATTTCAAGTGTTCCTCCATGCAAACATGGCAATTTCCGATTTTAAACGGTGCTCTTAAAAGATTTTTCTGATCGAGTATCAATTAGATATCCATGTTTTTAGTTTAGAAAACTCATTTTTTTATTATGGGTTTTGTATAAAAGTGACTTGCGCATTTCTCCCTTTCTGACATACAGAACATATAGAAAACATATAGAAATTATCAGAATAAAACACTTTTAAACCTAGAAAAACGACAATATCTTCTATATTATTGATCAGATAAAGGTTTCAAGGGCATTGTCATATATGCATGGAGGGTCACTTACAGTCCCATTAAAGAATAATAAAAAGTAAAAATATTGAAAATCCCTTTAATCGCCACCGTTTCGAAAGATCTTAAAATTCTTTTATTGTCATTTTAATTTTACCTGGATTACTAGAAAGTTGGAAACCATATCCGGAACGAAAGTGGGAGACATGGTTCGTTTGGAGGGGGGTGGGGGGAGTTTAGAAAAGGCCAAAAGAAGAATTTGAAAAAGTGGGTAGAATAATGATTAGCTACAAATCCGCAAAAATAAGATTATTATACGAATCAATTAATTGCTTGATTATAAATCAATTAACAGAATGAATCAATTAAAGAAGTTAACAAATCAAATAAGTGAATTAATGAACTAGTTATAGGAATGAATATATCATTTACTGGAATGAATGTATTAATCAAAAGGAATTAATAATTCAATTATAAAAAGAAAGATTAATAAATAAATACATTAAACACATGTTAAGATGAGTTAAGGAATGATAAGGACAATTAATAAGGCTGAATAAAATCAGTTGAAGAAATAAATACATCAATTAAACCAATCAAAGAAATATGTACATCTACAAAAATATGAATCGATTAAAAACGAAGAAATCAATTAATCAATTTTGTTCCAGGGATTCCAGTTGACCCACTCTCTGGGAGGAGGAACAGGTTCTGGGCTCGGAACACTCCTAATCTCTAAAATTAGGAACAAAATAAAAAATAAAAATAAAGAAAACATTATTTTATCTCTGTTTAAAAGTTTTTTTTTACTAAATCTGTTTGCTGTTTTTATATTTTTGATTGTGTCCAGAGAGGAGTACCCTGATAGAATCATGAATACCTATTCTGTTGTCCCTTCTCCTAAGGTTCGTGTTTTTTTATTTCCCGGATTTTTCTGTTCTAAATTTAAAAACCGAGTTTCGAATATGCATTTTTTTCATTTAGGTTTCTGATACCGTGGTTGAACCGTATAATGCTACGTTATCTGTTCACCAACTGGTGGAGAATACAGATGAAACGTACTGCATTGACAATGAGGCGTTGTATGATATCTGCTTCAGGTAAAAAAACGCAATTTTTTTTGAAGACGCCATTTTTATAGTTTATGAGGCCATTTTTATTGATGAATGATACACTTCTACTCATGCAGACAATGGTAAATGTCGTGATACTTAAAATTTCACCTACAGTCCCTTCAACTCTATTATATTCAGGACTCTGAAGCTGACTACCCCAACCTACGGGGACTTGAACCACCTCGTCTCCCTTACCATGTCCGGGGTCACCACATGCCTCAGGTAAATATTCCCGGTCATCTCAACCCAGATATTCCCGGTCATCTCACCCAAACATTACTGGCCATATCATCCCAGATATTCCTGGTCATCTCACCCCAGATCCTCCCGGTCATCTCACCCAAGCATTCCTGGTCATCTCACTCCAGATATTCCCGGTCATCTTACCCAAGCATTACTGGCCATCTCACCCCAGATATTCCCGGTCATATGACCCCAGATATTCCCTGTCATATGACCCCAGATATTCGCGGTCATGTGACTCTAAACATTCCCGATCATAGGACCCCAAATATTCCCGGTCATCTCACCCTGACATTCCCAAGATGGAATTTGAATAATTTGAGCCGCAGTTTAAATCTGCCAAAACCCGGTTTAAATTAAGCGCCGGCTTAAATCTTGAAACATTTGATACAATTTCAAGTGGAACCAACCATATTTAAGCTGAGGCTTAAATTTAAACCGCCGCTCAATTTCTTTAAATTCGGCCACCGGTCTTCTCACCTCAAGCATTCCCTGTCATCTCACCCCAGGCATTCCCGGTCATATGACCGCAAGCATTCCCGTTCGTCTGACCCCAAACATTCCCGGCATATGACCCTAGATATTCCAGGTCATCTCACCTTAGATATTTTCGGTTATATGACCCCAAACTGATAAATTTTAATCTTACTTGTAGGTTCATACAGTTTTGCTAAGATCGAAAGAAGTTTTTGTGATTTTTATTTCACCAGATCTAACTTTTACTTTTTGTACTCTTTTTCTTGAAATTCTTGGATATATTTATATCAAAACTAAATTTCTTTATATTTTTCTTGTTCTAAATATTTTTGTTGGAAAGTTATCTGAAAATTTAGAAAATATGACTAATAACCTGAAGAGGAAAGTACTTCTGAGTATGCAGTGTTGTCGAAAACTTCTTTAGGATTCATTTGAGACATATTTCACTTTTTAAAGATCTGTAAATCCTGAGTTTGAGCGCAAATTTGACGTTCAAAACTCCTGATTTGGGGATGGATACGCTTTCAGAATTAGTTTTTAAAAAGGATGGGGTCCGTTCCTTATTTTATTGCGCTCTGGATGTTCTTAAGCTATATTGGTACAGGGAACCTTTGGTAAAGTAAAATTCCCTGAACTTCCATGTAAAGTAGTTGTAAATAATTATTACTGCCTTTTGGCCAACATTACCGAACAGAGGGAAGTTAAGTTACTGAATGTCTTTTGGGATAATTATGTAAAATAACCACCCGCTCTGTGAAGTTTGCATGAAAAACTTTTTTATCTCGATTTTGCCTACAAAACAGAAGTTGTAAATATTTGATGGAATAAATGAATATCTTAGTTTTTCTTGTTGTTTATTGTTAAGTTAATTTATTCATATTTAGGTTCCCCGGTCAACTGAACGCTGACCTGCGGAAGCTGGCGGTGAACATGGTCCCGTTTCCTCGTCTGCATTTCTTTATGCCCGGGTTTGCTCCCCTGACTGCCCGGGGCTCTCAGCAATATAGAGGTATAAAGTACAAGGATAGTCATATTGAAAATTAGACAAATTAACATACCACGTAAATTTCCCTAAAAGGGACAGAGCCCGAAATTTAAGAGTATCGTTATACGAAACTCCCTAGTTTCATTTTTGTGTAGATTTTGATTTCAGAGATGCGACCTAACCAAACCCTTTTTGATTTAAGACCAAATTATAGATGGCATTAACATCTACTGGAAAGATTCTGAGTGTTTGAATTTAACATATGGCTTTACAAAATATAACTCTTACTAAGTTTATTTTCTAAGATTAAATAATTTTTACAAATTGAATGAAAATGAGATCCCCTAAATTACCTTTAATAAAATTTCATAATTTTCTCTCATAAAAAAGTTTTAATTATAATTATATTTTTTAACAAGTTTTTACGCGGGTTTTACTGCCTGGTTTTACGGATTTAAATAGAGATTTACAAGGTTTACTAGGTTTACTAGGTTTACTAGGTTTACTAGGTTTACTAGGTTTACTAGGTTTACTAGGCAAAAATTAAATATTAAAATTATTCAACCGAACTTTGTAGGATTCTTTTTAAGTCTGGATTCATTCATTATTTAAATTACATAATCTTTAGTTAAAAAAGAAGGTTTGGACGCCATTTTTAAAACTATATTTAATGGTAACAATAAAACTGTGGAGCATTTGTTGTCTTAATTCTTACTTTTAATGAAGCAATTAAAGGAGAGATTTTGTACTTTGTTATCGTTAGAAACTTACAGCTGAAGTATTTGCAAAAATACTCACAACACATCTTTAGAAAAATCAGATAGAAATTACAACATCAATGAATGAAAAAAGACACCAATCATAGCATTTACAAGGTTAATTTTCCACTGAATACATTGATTGAATTAAAAAAAATATCTATCTATCTATCTATCTATCTATCTATCTATCTATCTATCTATCTATCTATCTATCTAGCCCTATCTGTGCCCGAGCTGACCCAGCAGATGTTTGATGCTAAGAACATGATGGCAGCTTGCGATCCAAGACATGGGCGGTATCTTACAGGTAGCTAGATATGAACGTTTTCTTACAGGTAGCTAGATATGGACAATATAGTACAGGTAGCTAGACATAGATGGTACCTTACAGGTAGCTAGACATGGACGTTATCTTACAGGTATCTAGATATAGACGGTACCTTACAGGTAACTAGACATGGACGGTATCTTAAAGGTATCTAGAAATGTACGGTATCTTACAGGTAACTAGACATGGACGGCATCTTACAGGTAGCTAGACATGGACGTTGTCTTATAGGTATCTAGACATGGACATTGTCTTAAAGGTAGACATGGACGTTGTCTTACAGGTATCTAGACATGGACGGTATAGTACAGGCAGCTAGTCATCAACAGAAAAGTTCAGGTAGCTAGACATGGACGATACCTTACAGGTAGCTAGACATGGACGGTATCTTAAAGGTATCTAGACATGGACAGCATCTTACAGGTAGCTAGAACTGGACGGTACCTTACAGGTAACTAGCTATGGACGGTACAATCATAAAATGTGTCGTATTTGTATTATTAACTATTTGAATTTGAATTGAATATTTTCAATATTATGCAAATATATTGCAATAAACTGAATTACCAGACTGAAATCATGAATTTCATGATATGAAAATAAGTCTGCACGCAATTTGTAATTTTTCAATTAATGTCGCTGCATTTTCCCATTCAAAATATGCAAATAATGACGGGAAGGAATAAAAACCAATCGTAAAGAAATTATCATAATTAAAAACTATTAATTTTTCTTGGCTATATCTTAACAGTTGAAAATATCCTTTTTTTTTAAAAATCAGGATTAAATTTGAATTGTAGCTAGCTCTTGATATGAAAAGTTCAAAATTTCAACAAAGCTCTGTATAGGTGTATATCTTTTATTTATTGAAAAATTCATGTTATTCTTAAATCTTTAAGGCTAATTTGACAATTTTTTTGGATTTAAATTTCAAAGTTTTTTGTTTGTTAAGTCGCTGCCGTTTTCCGTGGTCGAATGTCGATGAAAGAGGTGGATGAGCAAATGTTAAACATCCAGAACAAGAACAGCAGCTACTTCGTGGAATGGATCCCGAACAACGTGAAAACAGCTGTTTGTGATATCCCACCACGTGGGCTTAAAATGGCGGCAACATTCATCGGTAAGGAATTTCGTGCATTTGCATGCATGAGAATGAAGCACAAAAAATAAAGTTCCGTTATGATGTTCTATGAAATAAAAATTTGCTTTGATAATTATTTAATAATTATATTTTTACTTTATAATTACTCCAACTACAAAAAGTAGACAATGAACTATTTCAGGAAACTCTACAGCGATCCAAGAGCTGTTTAAGAGGATCTCTGAGCAGTTTACCGCCATGTTCAGGAGGAAGGCTTTCTTGCATTGGTATACAGGTAATTCTTATGAAATAATCTTCAAAAATCCTGTGCCAGATTTTCCCTGAAAATATCACTGTTTTTTATCTGTGTGCGTATTGAAATTATAGATAATTCTTCAAAATAAAAGTTCATTTCCCTCAAGAAACCCCTTCTTATTATTGCTAATGTTGAACAAAAGAATGGCCATAGGATACAATACCAACAAAAAGGAGGACTAAGTGAACAACGCACATTTTCAGCGATTGGTAAAACTCTCTCGCTGAACAGACAAAAGATTGCTAAAATATCGTCTCCTTATTTCACAGTTTTAAGGGTCGATAGGCGAATGAGAGGATAGGTAAATGGGAGGATGAATGAATTTTCTAGGTGAAAGGATGAATGAATGGATGAATGTATAAATTATTTAGGCGAGGGTATGGATGAGATGGAGTTTACTGAAGCTGAATCGAATATGAACGATTTAGTATCTGAATACCAGCAATACCAGGTAATCACAAAATCACGATCCAAATTGTTGTATTGAAGAAAGGGCTTAAAAAAAGGCTAAGGAATTGAGGTTTTGCCACAAACATTAATTTTTAAAACCCTATATTTTTGCAAACCAACATTGTAAACCTTAGATATTTAAAATTATGAATTTGTCATTAAATGATCTTAGTTTGAAATATCAAAAGTTTACATCAATAGGTTTCAAAGATATAAGAATTTGAAATTTTGAGTTTATGACAAAGAATGCAATATACAAAATATTGGCTCTGACAGCACGATGTTTAGAATTGTATGTTTGTTAGGATTTCCGTTCGAACAGACGTCTATATATTTCTTTCTATAACACATTCAACTTAACCCCCCCCCCCCTCCTAAAAAGCTTAATGTTTATATCTAAATATACAAAAATAATAAAACTTTGGAAAGTTCTAGGGCTGTTTTTTTAAAAGGCAAGAAATTGAAAAAAATAAACCAAATTTTGAGTTTTTAAAAAGCACCGCTTTAACAGATTTTTAGAAATTTGTACACACTACACACAATATAGATTCCGATTTACCAAAATTATTTTCTAAACATTTTTTATTTCGATAAATTTCAGGAGGCGACCATCGATGACGAAGAATTTGATCACGAGGAGGAGGCAGAATATGAGGGTTAAATTTTCAACGAATTTCTCGCCAAATTTTTGATAATTTTTAATCCGCGAAAAAATTTTCCGTTTACCTAAATTTGCACTTTTGCATGGACAAACCATGTCACTTTCTGAGAAAAAATGTCCTGCTTTTCTAATTTTCCAGCACAAATAATATTAATAAATTATTATATTGTAATAAATTAATAAAGTATATTATAAGCAGCAAGAAGTAAAAAGTTAAGACCTATGCGCAATTTGTTTAAAAGTGAAATTAATTATAAATAAATATTTTAAATCAAATTAAATTTTTGATAACGCTAGAGAAACAGTTTATAATCTTTTGTTGCAGTTTTTGATTTTATTGTCAGCATGATTCAGCAACTTTATAGATCTATGCCAATTACTGTAAATTCTAAAATAAAGTGTGATATTATTGCTTGATAATGCCAATTTATACTTTTAACGTGATCAACAAACTTTATCAGGAAATAAAACAAATTTTGATTTGTTAAACCATGAATGAATGATTACTGTTTTAACTTTATGTGTATTTTTTCTATTTTTTTTTTAAATCTTTGCAATCTTTTATCTTTGCAATCTTTTATCTTTGTAATCTTTTATCTTTGCAATCTTTTATCGAAACTTGTGCCTTTGTTTTTGGCTTTCAAAAGGCTTCTATGATTTAAAAAAAAAAATTGTACGACCTTGTCTCTATGTTCTCAAGCGCGTAAATATTCTGTTTTAAAGGTGCTGTAGACTTAATTTCGATTGACCGACCATGTTTAGAGTGGCGTGTTCGATTCTAAACTGTACCCGGCCAATTTAAACCTTTGTTTTATCAGGGTTGAAGGTCATTTATTTTTATTTCTCTTCAAAAACACATTTTATTGTTCACAACTTTGTTTTAAGCTGCAGGTTGATATTAAAGATATATTTATATTTACTTTCCGGAAGTCGCAGAAAATAAACATTTTCAAATGAATATTTGGAGTTTTCGAAATATTGATTCAAAGTCAGCTGTATTGAGTTCTCAGTCACACAGAACTACATTTTAATCTCTAATTTGTCGGCAATTAAAACACCATTTAAGAGATAAACACACAAAGTTCTCTGTCGTCGATAATAAGTGAAAGGTTTAAGGGGGTAACGTTGTAAAAGGGTCCCATGAACTTTCACAAATACTGCTGGAATGCCCGGCGTTGCCCGTGGAATTAAAAAAAAAATTTCAAATAAAGTCAATCTAAAATCAAAAAGTTTTTGAATTTTTTATAACCTATTTTACCAAAAAATATCAGCCTATTTGGTTCACCCGTTTTGCCAGCTATAATTAACATACAAATAGATATATGAGCGAACCTGCGCTTTATTAAATAGATATAGATAAATATTTTTAGTATTTATTACTACAAGGAGTTTATTAACTTCAATGCTGCAAACATGTTCATTTTTCCCACAATTTTGTCATAATTATGGCTGACAAGTTATAGAATATTTCAAATAATAGACGTCCGCGGAAATATCAATAATTATGTTAAATTACACTGTAATTTAGCCTTTTTACGCACGTACAACAATATAATGATTATGATTTGGACGTTGCACGACTGATAGAATTTTAATACAATGCAAATCAGATTGCCAGGCATGGATACAATTTTTTTTGTATGGTTCCCGGATATAATTTTAAAAATGTTTTTGTAAACTAACAATTTTTTAAAATAAAAGGAAGATTTATATAGATATATCAAAAGCCAAATTTTGATTACAAATTCATAAATATAGGTTAGGATTCAATCTTTTAAGAAAGGCTTTTCATTGTTTTTTTCGTCGATTTGAAAAGAGTTCTAGATTACAATTGTAAAAAAGAATTCCAAATTGTTATTACAAAAATATAAATATCAGAGTCTATTAAAGTTCCCATAGATGTCTTTCATAAAATAGATTAGATTAATTTATAAACAGATCACAGCATGGACAGCATGACAATGATGTTTTTGTGCAAAACAAATGTTGCACATCATCATTATCTTAACAATTGCGGGATGCAAGCTGAAGTTTGCACAAGTCTTTGCAATATTTTGTCAAAATTAAATTTGGATTTTCAAACTGGTGCACAATTTAGGATTTTATTTAAAAATTTATTAATAAGCCAATAGTTATAATTATTGAATTACAGACTGTTTGTGAATTTTTTTTAAACATGTAATCAGACGTTAATTATGATTTATGCGATTTTTAGAAAGATTTTTCTTAATATTATCTTGTCAAGCTGAATGCACTGTCACAGACCTCTGAAATTTATAAAAAGAAATTTTCCAGTAAAGCAAAATTTAAAACATATTTTACTTATAAAAACTTTATTCGGATTGTATTTTTGAACAGTTCGCAAGCAGTCTAATAGAAAATAATCAGGGAATGTCAGATATTTATAATATTATGTTTAAGATTTATATTTCTTTTTGTTCATTCAAAATGCTTTTGTAGTTTCATGTCATGATAAAATTGCCACAAACTCTGATTTTCTAATTCTTTTATTCCTTATACCCAATGTTGTAGACCGCAGAGTTGGTGGCAAGAACTCAGTTCCTTTAAAATATCAATGGTTTACACCTTCACAAATTTTTGTTTTTTTGTAAAGACTCAATTCCTTTCTAATAATTTTTCGTTAGCTAAATTTCTATAAAAGGCGTATAATAAATGTTGTACACAAAAGTGGTGAAAAAGCAATAGTTGTTTATTATTTGGTTTTTTAACTGGACAATTTCTTGAATTTTGAGATTTTATTTTAATTATTTTACTTTAGTGTGTACATGAATCAATTCTTTTCGGGCGTATCAAAATTTATGCTTTACTTTAGAATAATTATAATTTCTAACACATTAACTGAGCCCCCCCCCCTCAAAATCATTGCATCTGACATCTAAATTAGTAGAAAACCGCAATTTTATTTTTTCAAATTATTAATACTTTAGTTTGGTTAAAGCCATTACAAGCCTGACTGAGCGTAACCTTCTGGCTTCAAAACCACAATAAATATTTTTTTGTGCCGCCATTAAAGGGAGTGACCGGCTATGTAAGGTAGTTGAACTGAGTATGCAGTGTTGTCGAAAACTTCTTTAGGATTCATTTGAGACATATTTCACTTTTTAAAGATCTGTAAATCCTGAGTTTGAGCGCAAATTTGACGTTCAAAACTCCTGATTTGGGGATGGATACGCTTTCAGAATTAGTTTTTAAAAAAAAATTATTAAATAACGACAACGAAAAATAAAGTAAAAATTATACAGTAATCTAATTAGATGGCTAGGAACATATTTCACAAAAAAAATTTGTCAATAAATCAATTCTAGAATCAATTATTTCGTTTTAATTATTATATTGAATTTCTAATTTTCTTTGAATTTATTCGCAGATTTCTTCAAATTCTTTAAATGTCGTCTTTTCAATAATAATTATAGAAAATCTGCAAACATCTTTGTGAATAACGAGAAACTAGAATAATGAGATAATAGAAACTAATAATTGAACAAGATTACTTATTTTGGATGATAAGATTAATTTTTATTTTCTAAACATTTTTTTTTTATATGGTATATTTAAGGCCTTTAAAGTGTGATTTTTAAAAATCCAGCCGCGTCACGCAAAAAAGCACAACTCAAACCATTTTTTCAATTCTACTTAAGATTGATATTTTGTGTGTTGAATTCTTAAACTGTTTTACAATGAAATTTTTGACAAATTTGATTGAGTATTGCATCTTGAAATATGACAAAGTCTAATGATTATTCAATTTTTGACTCACTGACTCACTGACTCACCCACTGACTGACTGACTGACTGACTGACTGACTGACTGACTGACTGACTGACTGACTGACTGACTGACTGACTCACTCTACAATTCAATTGAATTTTTGTTCCTCACAAAATTGATACTCCATAACTTTTTTATAGGAAACAAAATTTGAGAGGTTTAAATATTTTGTAAGGTTCAGACATTCAGGGTTACCCGCAAAGAATGATACTTCAGAGACTGCTGCAGGAACTGCAGAGAAGTAATATTAATTATTCTCTGCAATAGTAAACATCTTTCTTTCTTTGCCTAATAGATTTATAAGCTATTAAAAGATTGTATTCAAAGTAGAAGATTTAATTTAACCTTGGAATCGGGATTTAGAGTATCATGTCGTCTTGAGAGTCTCATCCTTTGTGGGTAACCCTGTATGTGAGAAACATAAAAGAAACGACGAAAAATCACTCATTCAGCAACTCATCTCATCTCATCCAGTCTTTATCACTCACCTCACTTCACCTAACCTGATCAAACACACTTTTAACAAACACTTCTCATTCACTCACTCTTGTTACACAGAATTAATATTTCGTACCTGACAAAAAATTATTAATGTTTGCTTTAAAAAAAATCATGAAAAACATACAAAAAACAACTACAAATTACAAAAAAATCATCTTTATTTTCACAAATATTTTAAATTATTAAAATACCAATCTTTTATGTGCTAACAAAAGAGGTTACTAACTCAGATTTACTTGATACTTGGAATCTGCAACTTTTTGTATGATAAAAATAGCCAGGGGTGTATATTTCTTAAAAAACCTATGTCCCCTCACTCTCTGACAGTAATTTTTTATCTAAGAAGTTCAACATTTTTTTAGGGGTTCATTGGCAGAATTGGGATTTATTAAATTTTGGGGATCAGGTATAAAGAAAAAGGAAAACTTTCCTTCCATGTTTAAATTCCCATTTTTTCCTAACTAACCAACATATTTTTTTTATTACAATTGTGACACTCGGGAACATATCCTTAAAAAATGAAATGAATTACAACAAAATATAACTTTGCTTTATACTTTTTGGTTAAAAATGTTTTCCTTCTTAATTATTTAACATTTTTACTTTAAAACAATCATGTCAAAAAACTTTTTTTACTCAAAATAAAAAATGCTAAAAAAATTCTAATGAAAAGTTCTGAAAACTTCTAAGAAAGAAGTGAAGGAAATCATGACTTAGGAACCTCTTATGGAATCGTTTTATATGTCTCGCATAATTTTTAGAGGTTATAATTTTACAACAAAACTGGCAAACTCTGTGAGTTTGTATTTTTGCGACTCTACATGCTGTACTGCTTGATTTGTGCCTTGAGAGACTGGTTTTATCTAAAATATAGAATCTAAATTAAAGGAACATTATCGTAATTTTAAGTGACTTTCCGTTTTAAGAGCGGCATGCCTGATGCGCCTTAAACCTTCATCTGACCAAAAATTTGAAAGATAACATCGTTTTTTTTGCTTGAAAAGTGGTTTATTCTGACAATTTTCTCTTCTTGTTTATAAATTATAAATCCACAACCCATGTATTCTTGATCAGACAAAGCTTTTAGCTTTGAAGGATGAATGAGCTATTCTAGTTCTTTGATGCTTATTTAATGATAAAAGTAAGTTGCATATTTATGCCATAAAGAAACAAAAAGCATAAAATTTTACGCTTTACAAGATAGAAAAACAACAATAGCTCAGATCAGATAATACTTAAAGGGGGACATTATGAATTGTTAATTCTACTCTTTAAAATGTGAGGTTTAAAGAGGGGACATTCAGTTGATTTTAGGCGGGGGGCTTGACCCTTTCATTCAGGACAAATCAATTATAAATGCACTTATTTTGACTTATAAAATAAACTCACGTGTAAAAACTTTCGAGCATTTGGTGCAAGTAGTAATTTGGTTAGGACAGAAAGTTTTATTGGAAGTAGTAGTTTGGGCAAGATAGAGAGATTCAATGGAATGAGAATGAGATGAGAAGGGGGAAGATAAACTTATAGAAGAGCTGATTGATGAGGTAAGATTGAGTGTAGTTGTGACAGTGGTGGAAGATAAGAGAATGCTGGATGATGAGGATGAAGAGGAAGGGCTTGATAGAGAAGAAAGGTTTAAAAAAGATGAGGATGATGAAGAAGCGGAAGGACTTGAGAAAGGTGAAGAGCTTGACATAGAGGATGGGCTTGAAAGAGAGGGAGGGCTTGATAATGCCTGAATGTGTGATGATGATGGGATGCTTGCTGATGCTAAAGAAAAAGTGCTTGATGATGATGTTGGGCGAAAAGAACTTGACTCGGTTGGTTTATGGACAGTAGCCTGATGGCGGAGCAGAACATCTCTCCTCCTAAATGAAATATAACAAATAAGACTTTGCAAAGGTTTGTACTCTAAAAATCAGTTTTTAATGATACATAGAATTGTTTTAAGATATCAAAAGATTTTTTGATTATACGTGANAAGGAACTGCTAAATTAATATTGCAATCCTTTGGATCTTGTGAGCCACCATATGTTGAACCATAGTTTGCCATCCCCCGCAATATCCTCACTGAGCTTTCTCCGTTTAGAAGTCTATAGAAATTCCAGAACTCTTTCTCTTCATCAGAATATCTCATTCTGTTTGAGGGTACAGTCAATCTTCGGAAGTATGAGGCTGCAATTTTAAAGCCTACAGAGGAAAAATCAACTGTTTCCGAGCAAATGGCCTTTAACATATTCACAATAATAGATCCATACAGAGCCAAATCACTAGAATGCTTCTTTTCAATAGCTAAGCCTTTGGAAAGAAGAGCAACAACATCTTCATCAGATTCCAAGTTATAGTTCTCAGCTAAATCTTGCTCCATGTCCCCTGTAAAATTAGTACACTAGATTAGTACTTGCTTACTTCCAATTCGTCAAGACTTTTAATGATTTATACGCAAATAAGCCAAGAGGTTAGTATTTGTTTATAATAATTTGATAATCTAAGATTCATGGAATATCAATAGAAAATGTTTAAGAAAATATATTCCCTGATTTGTGCTAGGTCTACCAGGAAAACATAAGAAAATAATACTCTTCAACAAAGTTCTATATTTAATGGTTTTACAGTAACGGTGCAATGGACATTCACTTTCTTCATTGTAAAATCATGAGTTATTCATAAGATCATATATAATGCAGCTGTCAAAGTGTAACTGTTTTGATTGTAAATTCTTGTGAATATTAAGATCTCACTAATTCAGATTCTTTGTTGTTTTGTTGTTGTTCAAAAAATGACCTGGGTGAAAGTCAAGGCTAGATTTATGAATTTGAATTATAAGAAAGCTACAAATAATTACTTACATGCACTATCATTGGTGAAATTTGCTGGTCTACAATGGCTGGAATCATCAATTTCTACTTCTCCTGTAGAAATATCAGTTACATCAACAGAGAATTTTCCCATGATACCTATAAACAGAAAAAATCAATTAAAATGTTAAACCCGAGATTTAGGGGTACAAAATTTAAAGAATTCCCTACATTATGGGGAAAATAAATGCTTTCCGAAGTGGGGGGGGGGGGAGAAAATGACTTGTCAAGAAAATATACACGCCTGAATTTATTTTTAAGAACTGAAAATAGTATAACTTACATGCACTATCATTGGTGACATAATCTAGTATAGCATGGCTGGAATCAATTTCTACTTCTCTTGGAGCAACATCAGTTACATCATCAGTTGCAAGATGATGTTCAGTTATTACTCCCTTTTGAATAATGTGAATATATTAATAATAATAATAATGAGAACTTAAAAACTGCCAACAAGAATTTAAAAAAATGCGGCCAAGCTAAAAACATCTTAGTACCAATTTTTGTAAAACAAATCCTGTTTTATGTCAATTAAAATTAAATAATTTACTAATGCAAGCCCAAAAACTTATTTAAAAAATCAATTAGAAATTTAATAAAATATCATGTTAAGGCACTATCCTGTGTTATTAAACAGCTTTAAAAATTGGTACACGTTTATACCTGCTGTGTTTCCATAAAAGTCGGTGTATATACAGATTTTCTATGTTCTGAGGTAACAGGGGAACTTCCCAAGTTATGTACAGGGCTGAACTGAATGTGCACAGGTGAAGAATAACAGCTGGGTGGTTCTGTATTAATGTTCAATGGAGACATCATGCTGATCTTATGATGTTTGGAACGTTTCCGTAAGTGAAGTTTTTTCCTAAAATTTATGTTTTTTTAACATAACTTTGTCGCTTTCTATTAAAACTATGAAATTGGGAAAAACTGGGCATTTTCAGATAAAAACAACAATATCTTAGATAAAAAGTAAAATACAAATTAACACATTTTGTTTAAAACTTGACCAGTTCTTATTTGAGTAAGTTTTACTGTGATTAAAAAATGTGATGCACATTTGAATATTTTTACAGGAGCACCCTATGCCAAAATTAAATAATGGGAAATAAAAAAACAATCATTTTTACCTACAAGATGCTCTTTTGACTAGCTTAATATTCCGGTGAATTTTTTCATGTAGAATTAATCCCATGTTATTCTGAAAGCCTTTCCCACAGCTTGTACACACACAAAGACTGGATTTTTGTACAGCTGTATCGGGGACTAGATTAGAATCTTCTACCAGGCTAGGATGCTGTTGTTGTACATAGGTTTTGCTGCCAGTTGGTCCTAATTAATTATTATTTTAATTACAAAGGCAACAATAAATGTTAAACAATTTGATTACCTTTTAACTTTGAACGGAATAATAAAACATTAACAGTGTTGTGGGCCCATTTTCTGAAATACCGGCTGTGATCTGTCTTGCGTTTCAAATTCAGTTTGGCACAGTTATCACACATAACTAAATTCATATCATCAAAGAAATCTTCAATAAGAGGTTACATAATATCAGGCGTGAGGATATTTTTAATCATCCTCACATTTCAATCTGAAATTTAAAGAAATGATTCAAAATTGTAAAATACTCTTTAATTAACCCTATGCCAACTGACCTATAGTTTACCCAATAAAGATTGGGGGAGGGGCGCTCATATTCCCCCACTATTTTCTTATTGTCATAAAAATCTATAACTTTTAATATGTGTAGAGAAATCCCCTCGGCACTGCTCGAATATTCTGCAAAAAGAATCACAAATTCCAAGAACCCAGATATTCATTGCAAAATCTATTTACAAAAATCTGCAAAAAGCGACAAACTCTGCATTTTATGCCTTTCACCCATCTAACTTAAATGTGCCAAAAATTTTAAACATTCATGTGTATTGAAAAAGAAATGAATATGTCAAATACCCTTTATTTATGTGCAAAATTCTTTGCTAAATTTCTCTGCAAGAATTGTGCAATCTGCTTTATTTTGTGGTGGGGGAATATTCGGAATAGGGTTAAGGATTTCAGAAAACGAGGATTCAAAATGATTATACAGCTTTCCGGATTTATGATATTGTGTGCCTTGATTACATGTCTCATAAATATCTTCAATCAACTGTTTTGGAATCTTTGGTCTGGTCCGCAATCTGAAGTAAAAATAGAAATGAATGTTTGCATTACACAAGCAAGATTGAATATAAAAAAACAAAGAAGTTTATCTAATGTGTTTTCATTATTAGCAGTTATTAACAGAAACACTACATTTTGTTGCTTATGTCCCCCAGGTGGCCTAACAAATTGTTTGAATATTTAAAGTTTAATAAACAACCTGTTAGATAAGCGATTACAAAGAGGACACGGTTCCATTTTTCCTGAAACAAACAAAAACTTTCAAATTCAATAAATTTTAAATTGCATTAATAGGAAATGACTTAGTCAGCCATTTTAGCCCTCTTTGAACTCTTGATAATATCCCATTCGTTCAGGTTCTCATCAAGGGTTCCTTCGTCCTTAAGGGTTTCCATGTCCTTAAGGGTCTCTGCATCCTTGAGGGTCTTCTTGATGATGTCCTCGTCCCTGTCCTTGAGGGTCTCCTCGTCCTTGAGGATGTCCTCATTCTTAAGGATGTCACGCAAAAATATGCGGATCCACGGATCCGGATCCAAGAGGTAAAATATCAACCAAAAACTGCAAAAAAAAAAAGATATATGTTTTATGTGGCCGGCCAAACGATTGGACCGAATGGGCTGATTTGTTTTGGTTGCCACTAATGGGTAGCCTGTAAGTGTCATAGATAAAAATTAAAATTTTCGTTTCAACATTTTTTTTCTACGGGCAACGGCAGGCCGTTCAGCAAGTGATAAATAAAAATTTCCGTCCTATAAAGTTGTGCATTAGGATGTGCAGTTTAAACGTTCCTTCTCTCAAAAATGTTTTACCGCAATGATGACACAATACTTTTGATATCTGAAGGGTCTGAACAGCATGGTACATATAAATAAAATGCATTTGTATAATTGATACGATGGATGCAAGACTTTAAGAGGGGTGTATATTTCCTTGAAAAATAATTTTTTCTCTCACACTCTTTTCGGAAATAGTTTTGAAGGATTTTTTTCAAAATTTGAGATACTTTCAGAATAAAATGAATAAAATTTTTGCTAAAAAAGTATTAAAAAGTTGTCTTTTACGATCAATTTTTCCTTCTTTTTTATCCAGATAAAAAAATATTCCTTGATAATTAAAATAATGTATCCTCTGCCTTTGAATTAAGCTGAGGTATGTTCTGTGGCACGTTAATTTCAAACATTTCTACTCCAAGATCTGGTGGATTTTGATGAGAATCAGATAAGGGATGAGTTGAGGTAAGCTTTGGCACAACATTTATTTTCATTTTGAAGGCAATTATATTCTCTTCACTTTTTTTATTGTCTTTGAAAAAAGAAATAAAGCGCTGGTGCCATCTTTGAGCTTTGGCAAGACATTTTGAACATAGGAGAACTAAATAAGGCCACATAAGTATACTTTATTTTAATGTTATTAATTATAATATCCTTAAGTGTTATTGAAACGGACTGCGATAAAAAGAACTGTTAAGTTCTTTGTCATATTGAATTTCATTTACAAATGATGAATTAAGTCAGTTATCGAAATGATATCCCATTTTACACTTATTATGTAAACACTTATGTTAACTTTCCTGACTTTATGCTTTCTTCATAGCAGAAAACAGTCTGCAAAAAACCTCGTTTAAAGGAAGAAATCTTCTTGATCCTACAACATGTACATTGTGCGTATTAGATTTTATAAGAACATAATTTTACTGAAGCCAACTTGCAAGGGTACCATTGTGATTGGAGAGTGTCAGCTTTGAAATTACGATTAAAGTCATAAAAGGGTAAAGCCTTTCAAATATTATTTCCACTTTTTCTTTTTATTCTTCCCATAACCTTCACCCCTTCCCAACCAAAAATTTTAAAAATATATAATCATAATAATAAAAATAATGTTAATAAACAGAGGTGTATATTTTTTTATACCATCCCCCCCCCTACCATGGCCCGCGGGGGGGGGGGATGGAATGTTTTGTAAAGATCTGGTGGGAAAAAATACAAAATTGGACGTTAAATATAAGTTTCTTTCATCCTTTTTGCATAAAATTTTAACAATTTCCCCCAATTTGAAAAAAATACAAAAAATACACCCCTTTTAAATATCTGAAATGAGTTAAATATTATTTAACATGATGAGTTTTACGAATGATGGAAGTATGGGACTTATTAAACATGAACTTGAAAATGACCATAAAATGATGGAAACATATAATTAATAAAAACAATTACTTTGCTGTTGATTCTGTTTTATCGCAAATGGCACATATCAGCGTTATATCTGGATTATCTGGATTCATTTTAATCTGAAAATAATACAACATGAAAGATGTGATTCATTAAACAATGAAAAGGTTAATACATTAGTCTGTCTCGTCTGTCACTCAGTGTTTTATTCTTTTTGGAAGGGGAGTCTCCTTTTCCTCATCCTTCTCCTTGTCCTCATCCTTCTCCTTTTCTTCATCCTTCTCCTTTTGTTCATCCTTCTCCTTTTGTTCATCCTTCTCCTTTTCTTCATCCTTGTCCTTTTCCTCATCCTTCTCCTTTCTCTCATCTTTTGCCTTTTCCTCATCCTTCTCCTTTCCCTCATTTTTCTCCTCCTTCTCATCTGTAGATTCGTTGGTCAGAGTTCCAACTGAAAATTTAAGAAATTTTGATTATTTCACGAAGGGTGAAAAAATTATTGAATTTACTGTACCCCTACAAAGAAATACACATTTTGCCTTTACCAAATTAAATTTTTTTTTGAATTTTGATTGGGTAACTCAGTAGAACTATGGAAATGTTCTTAGGTTGGCTTTTAAGTATTAAGTTGACTAGAGAAACTTTAGTTTCGAGGCAAAGATTGTTTTCCAAGCTATAAGTATCTACATTAATGATTTTTAAGGCATAACTGAGTTCCCCAGTTATCTATGTGTGTAAAATAGTAATATCTGTTTGTTTGTTTGTTTCTTAACGGGATTGTTTTCAATTTAATTTAAAAATACTAAGTTGAGAAGGTAGACTTTTCCAGACAGAACTGGGTTCCATGGCTAGTTTATATATATAAAAAGTAGTAGTCTCGAGTGTTTGTTTGTTTGATCATTACTCAGGAACCCTTGACCAATTAAGCTCATATTTTGATTTGGGAACTCGGTATAACCACGGGAATGTCCATAGTTTTAAGTTGAGTAGGTGGATTTGTTTAGCCAAAACTCAAGACAAAGCTCGGTTTAAAAGCAATCTATATATATAAAGTTGTAATCTCTGTTTGTTTGTTTAAATGTTCGATCATAATTTAGAAACCCCTGCACAGATTTGCATAAAATTCGAAATTAGAAAGTGATAAACTTAATATCATACTGGGTTTGGAACCAAGCTTTGCCAGATATCTATACAGTATACTAATTTTAAAACGAAAAATCAAAATTTGAGGCAAATCGGCCCGGCCAATATGTTATTTATTTATGATCATACATGCTAACATAATTGTTAAAAAAAATCAAAATTGTTACTATGCACAAGAAACTGATATTAAATGATTTCTTACCTATATACTTTCCCTTTCGACCCCCCCTCCTTTTCGCATCTGCTGCAATGTAGATGAACCAGGGTCTAATAATTTTATTAATAACAAATCATGAAATAGAAAAAAAGAATGAAAGGCGAAATAGAATATTTGTGAAAGTAGAGAAGGACGCCCTGTAAAAATCAGGAGCATATGCTTTGTCCCGCCCCTCTCACTCAATTGTTAATAAAAAGAAACTATAGCCAAAAACTGGTGTTTTTCATGTTTCAATTTATATTTTTTTGTTCACATTAAGTGACTTGCGCGTTTCACAATAGAAATACAAGTAAACATTCACAAGTAAACACTTTTAAGCAAAAAAAATCGAGCATATCTTTCACAATTGGGATAAACATAACTGTGTAAAGGGTACCTTTGTCAAAACTAAATTGATGTCTTTGCATAGAGGATTACTTGAAAATTACGTTAATTAGCCCTTAAAGTTAGTACAGTAATATTTTCAATGGACCCTTTATTCAAAGGGAGTGTTCAAGAAAAATGAAAGGGGGTACAGGCTTACGGCGAAAAATAAGCGCTTTTGATGGCTACTTATCTTACTTCTATCTGTTGTGTCTACAAGGTGAATATTTGTTCAAAAAGACTCATACTGAAAGAAATTCACAAAGTTGCAACATTCGACTCGGTTCTTTAAAAAAATAATTTATTCCAAACTAATCATTCAGATATTACCCCTTTAATTTTTCGCAAGCACTCCCTTTAAACAACAGTAACCTTCTAACTTGTATTTGATCAAGAAACAATATATCCTCATTTTGAAAGCTCAAAAGAAGCTTAATACTAATAATTTTATCATCATCATCATGATTATTAAAATATCACGTAGCTAATAAAACCCTGAGGGGGGGGGAGTAAAATCATACACGAATGTCTGAAATTCCTCCCCCGCCCCACAAAAGAAACCAGAGGAAACCAAGATATAAGTTAATAATAATGGCAAATTCAAAAGAAAATAAACTCGCCCAGCTTTAGTACACATCAACTCTGTCACTTTGTCCTCCTCCTCCTCCGCCACCTTCCCGACCACATTTCCGTCAGAGTTCAGGGCCTGAATATCATTCTATCATTACATATATCTAGCTTGTTTGTCTTTGTCTGGTTTTGTTCAAAAATCAACTACGCTGCTTAAGAAATTGTTGGTGCCAAAAAACACGGCGACGCTCCCATTGTTTATGAATATAACGAAAATATTGTTTTCCTTGAGACTGATAAACAAATTACGAGTTAAAAAGCAACATTTAAAGTTGAAATTGTTAAAACAGAAAAAAACACGAAGTCCTATATAAGCTTGGTACTTGATTAAAATCATAAATATCATAGGGTGTTGTCAAAATACCCTTGCTCATGAAAATTTACTTGTACATAATTGTACTCATTTTTAAATGAATTATTTTTTAATTGTTAAAAAACCTTTAAAATAAAATATGCTGAATATATGTTATCTAAGAACTTCAGAACTAACTAAGAAGAGATTTATTTATGCTCTGTTAATCAACAAAGCAGGGGAAGCAGGGGTGCATATTTTCCTAACAAATCCCCCCCCCCCCCCGAAAGAAAATATTTTTTTGCAAGGAAGAATAGAGTTGGAACAATGGTGTATTTAGGGGGAAGGGGCTAACCTTGTATGACATCCCAGGATGATCCGGATGTTGATTCTCCCAGGATATATCCCTAACAACCTTGAGAATGTCGTTCGGCTCCACCTGACCAGATGAATTAAAAAATTAAAATGTACATATATAATCGAAATGTAAGATGTTTATTAGAATATTTGTTTCCAGATCATTTACGAAATGTAATGTTAGTTTTCCAGAAAATTAAAAACGATTCATCCCTAGTTATATATATGTATATAATAATTATATAATATAATCACACAGGATATTGACATTAAGATGTATGAAAATTTATAGTAAAGTACAAGCCTATCTATGATACCAAGATAGGCTCAATGTGTTGAGTAGTACATCAGCATGAACAAAATAATTATATATATATAAAATATATATAAATATACCAAAAAATAAAGCTTGGGAACCCAGCTCAGTTTACTAAAAGTTACTCCCGCCTTTTACGGAAACTTGAACAAATTTACCGGGAAACATATTTTTGCTATAACAGTCGACTCACTCAACTTAGAATCTCAAACCCAATTTAAGAAAAGTCGCGTGTGTCTACCAAGTTCCCCAATCAAAATTTGAGGCAAATCGGTCTAGGGTTTCCTGAGTTATGATCGAACAAGAAAAACAGAGAAACAAACCAAAAAAAGATTATAACTTTATACGTATGTGCTAGATATCAAATTACTGATCTTGTGTATTGTGAGACATACCTTCCTCCCATTGTTCGCCTCGTGAAAATTTAGACCATTAATAGTCACGATCATTGTGCACGTATTATCAAAAATCTGAAACACACATGGTATATATTATCTAAATCTTGACGAGGCTTGCATCTTATGTGCCGATATATTTGTTTCATACACCCCCCTCCCTCTCAATTTGTTAGGGACATTATTTCATTAATTGGGTCTGTCCTAGTGAACGATTTTTGGACACAAAATTGATAGCAGGGGGGGGGGGCCAAAAATCGTTTACTAGAAATATACCCATTAATTTTAATGCGACTTTGGCTGTCATAATACATAGAATTCCCACCTCTCTTATCCTCATCAGAACTATATTTCAAAACAAAACAAAAAATAATTTGGGTATAACTTCCAAAATACTTGTCAGGAATCGTGTAGCGCACCCTTAGGAAAGTAATTACATAACCCTAAGCTGGAGAAAACTGTAGCGATACAAATTATAATAACATTTAAGAATAGTTTTAATACTAAAGAATATAGTTTAAATACTCAGGTATTATCAGCATTGCGAAAATTTTTGAAGAATGCACCGTAAATTTCTTAAATAGCCATCACTTTAAGAAGACGACATTTAAAGAAGTTGTTTGAAATTGTAAAAAAAGGAGGTAGTTTAATTTAGATTTTAGCAGGAAAACTAAGTCAATTTTCGTATTGTGGGTGCTGAGACAAATTGTTCAGGGTAGTCTGAAGAATAAGAAAATATTATTAAAATCACAATATTTACTGTCATTACTTAGGCGTTACAGATTTTGTAAAAAAAAACGTTTTTTTTGCAATTTTCTCTTAACACATTGCACATTTTCACACAAGGGTTCCCTTCAAAGCTAAAGTGTATTTTATGGTGCATCATTTTTAAAATTGATATTGCTCTTAAAAATAAGCCATTTTTTAGGCAAATCAGAATTTAGATTTGGGAAAAACAAAGTTTTACAGTTTACATTAAGAGGAATCATCCTTATTACATATTAACACTGAAATATAAAGATCTAAATATATATTTATTGCGTGACGCGGCCGGATTTTTAAAAATCACACTTTAAAGGCCCTAAATATACCATTTAAAAACGTAGTTTTGCCCGGAAGAGTCAAATGTGGTGGCCCGGAAGGGGAAATAGTGGGGGCTCATGGCTGCCGGAAGAGAAAAAAGCTAATATGTGGCCCGGAAGGGGAAATAGTGGTGGCTCATGGCCGCCTGCCTTCCCCCGCTCCCCAGATTAGTTTAAATAGTTGTGTTCACAATCCCAGTTCCAAAAGCTAGTTTTTGTTTAATTGGTGAAGAGTCCCTTTAAACATAAATGCATTAAAAAACAGTCCCTTTAAAAATGATTTTATTTTAGAAACAGTCCCTTTAAACATGAGTTAATTTCAGAAACAGTCCCTTTAAACATTAATTTATTTTAGAAACAGTCCCTTTATACATAAATTTATTAAAAAACCAGTCCCTTTAAACATGAATTTATTTTAGAAACAGTCCCTTAAAACACGAGTTTATTTCAGAAACAGTCCCTTTAAACATGATTTTATTTTAGGAACAGTCCCTTTAAACATAGTTTTAATTTAGAAACAGTCCCTTTAAACATGAATTTATTTTTTAAACAGTCCCTTTAAACATGAATTTATTTCAGAAACAGTCACTTTAAACATTAATTTATTTTAGAAACAGTCCCTTTAAACATGGTTTTAATTTAGAAACAGTCCCTTTAAACATGAATTTATTTTAGAAACAGTCCCTTTATACATCAATATATTTAAAAACTAGTCCCTTTAAACATGAATTTATTTTAGGACTATGGAGGAAGCGGACACAATAACATCAAGAAACAAGGAGTTTCAGGTCTAAATATAAACTTTAATTTGAATATTTAATCAGGAAAATATTTAGACTCAATATTCGCATTTGCATTCGTATTGATAATTAATTTACAGTTTTAAAGAAACTGTAGGCGTAATCTTTAGGTGACCCTCAATTTGTTCGGTGGCATCCCAATCACCCTTGAAAAATTTGTGCGGTGGCATCCCAATTCACACTTAGACCTTTGTACGGCGGCATCCCAATCACCCTTGAAACCTTTGTTCGGTTGCATCCCTCTTCACCCTTGAAACCTTTGTACGGCGGCATCCCAATCACCCTTGAAACCTTTGTTCGGTTGCATCCCACTTCACCCTTGAAACCTTTGTGCGGTGGCATCCCACTTCACCCTTCACCCTTGAAACCTTTGTGCGGTGGCATCCTACTTCACCGTTGAAACCTGTGTGCGGCGGCATTCCAATCACCCTTGAAACCTTTGTGCGGTGGCATCCCACTTCACCTTAAAACGTACCTTTGTGCGGTGGCATCCCAATCACCCCTGAAACCTTTGTGCAGTAGCATCCTACTTCACCCTTGAAACCTTTGTGCGGTAGCATCCCACTTCACCCTTAAAACGTACCTTTGTGCGGTAGCATCCCACTTCACCCTTGAAACTTTTGTGCGGTGGCATCCCACTTCACCCTTGAAACCTTTGTGCGGTAGCATCCCACTTCACCCTTGAAACTTTTGGCTGATGACGGCTTTATCCTTATTTTATTGTTTATAAAAACGCTTGTATTTGATGAACTTTTTGTCTGAAAGCTGTTTTATTTATAAGAAATATTGATATTTACCCGCTATTAATCAAAGAAGATAAGTATTTCCATTTGAATTTTCAAAAACCCGCATTGGGCATAACATATTCTTAATATTATAGAGGAATATCTGTGACGTCAACTGTGTTCAAACTGTACACTAGCGTACACACTTTTTCTACGGAAATTTGAATACCATTTAAGAGATAAAAAATTAGGTTTCAGATCCTTTAAAACTGTTAAAAATTCTCGAAATGATCGTTATGATAATAATAATAATGATGATGATAATGATTATAATGATAATAATAATTAAATTATTGATAATAATAATAATAATAATAATGATAATAATGATAATAATGCTGATGATATCGTAAATTATGAAAAGTAAATTAAATTGGGTTTTAGGTCAAAGTTTAACGCTGTCAAGTAGTTCACCCATTCAGAAACACAGCAAAGATTTCAGGTAAAAACAGAGTTCTTTTTCAAACTCGAATTTTATAATCCCTATATCTTTGCAACCTGATGGTGTAACCGTAACCTTAGATTATTTGAGCTACAACAGAATTCTTAGTTTGGAATATCTAAGGTCTTCGCGACATCAGTTTGCAAAGATGTAGAGATAAAAAATCAGAGTTTGTGACAAAAACTCATTTCCTTTAGTTAAACGTGGATGTTTCACTTTTGTGCACAGAGGGTATGACACAACGAGCCTTTGCAGATTAACCTTTAATAGTTTTCAATCTTTTTAGCGTCATTAAAATAATGCATATTATTTCTTATAAATAGGACACACGTATGTTTAAGGGGGCTTTGAAATGATTGTCCTGGAGGAAAATTCCTAACAAAATTTTCTATTTCTATTTTCTATTTCTTTGAAAATTAAAATTTTTACCATGTGATCCAGAGCGCATTTCTACATACCTTTTACCCTGACGACTTGTTGATAATAACCTCTCCCTTCCAAGAGATTATGGCGTGATGGACCGGACCGTTGATGGGTTAAATTGACTGCCGACGATAAATTAATGTAATACTCCAATTAAAGAGTAATACATGATTACTTAGCAGAGGTATTCTTAAAACCTTTGCTTGAACATAACAGATGGAGATATCCTTGTTTTTCTTCCTGAAAAGTGCAGTTCATTTTTAAATAAATATCAGAGGACATAAATGAAATTGAAAGACTGGATCTCTTTACATTTACAAGATTTACAAGACGAATATTAAGGTTTAGGTTTAATGGGTACCTTAATTTGGAAATCTTGCATGTAAATCTTTATATGGAGAGTCACTTGAAATTACTGTGACAATACCTTTAATTAATACAAAGAGGTACGCACCGAACAGAGTTAATATATATAATAAGATCGACATAATAGTTGATTAGCTCTTGTTCTATCTGTTTTATCTGGAGTAGACTGGTATCGATGCTGTGTGTGTGAGACAGCCACAAATCTTTAAACGACATGAACATAAAGTATATGAATGTTCCCTGTTTAGATCCCGAACTGTAATTAAGGAAGCTATTATGGAAAATGATTTCCTCAAGAATCTTTCCTCGGGTCAGGTCAGAATCTTTCCTTGTTAAATTGAATAATTCAACCTTTGATATTAAAGCACTTGTACTTTAAGTGCTGGTGAGCATCGTTTTTAAACATTCAATGTTTTTAGACTTTAAGGGGCTAAATAAGAACCTGCAATGTGAATCCTAATTACAAATTTTTATAGTTATTAAAAATGAATATTAAAAATCCGTTTTGGCTTTATGTTTGTGACCAGAGAAAAAAAATCGCATAATTTTATTAAAAGTAAACAATATTTGCAATGTGCTAAATGCCTCACATTTTTGTGAAGCACTTTGAACGTTGAAACCTCTAAATTTCTCAAAACGGACCTCGAAACGCACCTGAAAACGGACCCAAAAACGACCTCAAAACGGACCTTAAAACAGATCTTAAAAGGGACCTTAAAACCGACCTCAAAGCGGAGCTCAAAACGAACCTTAAAAACGGACCTCAAAACGGACCTCAAAACAGACCTCAAAACGGACTTCAAAACGAACCTCAAAACGAACCTCATAACAAACCTCAAAACAGACCTCAAAACGGACCTCAAAACAAACCTTAAAACAAACCTCAAAACATACCTAAAAACAACAAAACATACCTCAAAACGGACCTAAAAACCGACCTCAAAACCGACAAAACGGACCTCAAAATGGACCTCAAAACATACCTCAAAACGGACCTCAAAACCGACCTCAAAACCGACAAAACGGACCTATAAACCGACCTCAAAACGTACTTATAAACCGACCTCAAAGCCGACCACAAAACGGACCTCAAAACGTACTTCAAAACGGTGCCCATCAGTAATTCTAAGTAAAATGTTTGAACACCAAAGAACCATTTTAAAATTAAATCTCAATTTAGAAAAAAAATGAATAGAAATCTAAAACACAAAAGCACAGATGATTAACAACAAAAATTGGGTTTGAAACTTTTTCAATTATGTAATTTTTCTGAATGCTTATTTATCTTAAAATTGATTGAAAAAAAGAGCTGTCGTATATAAGTTGTACAATATGTACATTTTATATAAGTTGTACAATAATTATGTATAATTGTGTATTTATACATAAATATTTACTGTACAATTACATGGTTTAGGTAAGAGAACTGGTGGATGCTATGTACGAGAAAACTATTCCTAAAGGCTGTTACGTCATCAGAGAAGGTTTCTATATCTTATCATTCTTATATAAAGATTTAATAAACACTTTACAGTTAATCATCGTAATCAAGTTTATTGGGACCTGAACTACAATTATATAAATTCCGTCTGATTTTAATTAAAAGTAATCTTAAACTATTTTTAAAATTCACTTAAGAAAATGTAAATTTTTTGTTTTTCAAATTTTCAAAAATAATTACTTCATATTGGCACTGAGAAAAATGCATTTTTAACTCTTCCTTCAATATACTTGTTTTGTGCTAATTTTTTCAAAATTATATTATAATGTATTCTGCAGGTGAAAATGGATCCCACCTTTACGTATCTGGAGAGGGGGAGTATGACGTCATCAAGGTGGGTTGTTCTTAGGTTGTCCTAAAGTTGTATTAGGGCTGTCCTAAAGTTGTATTAGGGCTGTCCTAAAGTTGTATTAGGACTGTCCTAAAGTTGTATTAGGACTGTCCTAAAGTTGTATTAGGACTGCACTTAATTTGTCTTAGGACTGCCCTTAAGTTGTACTAGGACTGTCCTTAAGTTGTACTAGGGCTGTCCTAAAGTTGTACTAGGACTGTCCTTAAGTTGTACTAGGACGGTCCATTAAGTTGTATTAGGACTATCCTTAAGTTGTCTTAGGACTTTCCAAAAGTTCTTCTAGGACTGTCTTTAAGTTTTACTACACTTCAAATTAAACATTTAAAAATGATATAGCTTGAAAAATCCCATCCATAAAGTATAACTAAGTAAGATTAAGTGCTTTTTTGATAATATATATCTTTCAATCTACAACTTTTCTTGGTTTGTATGTTAATGATGGTTGTAAACTAGAATTACAGGGAGGGGCCTAACCTTTCTTAATTTTCAATCGTCATTCGTCTAACCCTCCTTTGCTTGATTCAATCTTTTACAATCTTCTTCTAACTGAACATTTGCCGCTCTAATTCTAAAACCTTATATATTAACAACTTGAAGTCGTAGATCTTTGATAGTTCAACCTTTAAATTCTACTAGATCACATGGACATACAAGATATGGGGATTAGATGATTTTACTTTGAGTCAAGTGTTCTGTTTTTTAAATTACAGAAATTTAATTTTTTTGTTTTTGTTTAGGAAGGAAAGGTTCTTGGAAAGCTCGGAGTTGGAAAAGCCTTTGGAGAACTTGCAATTTTATATAACTGTAAGAGAACTGCTTCTATCAAGGTAAAGTTATATATATCTATAAGGAATTGTGCAAGGTCAATTCATGATACAAGGTCAGTTTTATAATTCTCGGGTTTTTTTTGTTTTAAAGTCAGTTCATGATGAAAGTTCAGTTTTAAATTGAGGTCAGTTCATGATGCAAGTTTAGTTTTAAATTGAGGTCAGTTCATGATGCAAGTTCAGTTTTAAATTGAGGTCAGTTCATGATGCAAGTTCAGTTTTAAATTAAGGTCAGTTCATGATGCAAGTTGAGTTTTAAATTGAGGTCAGTTCATGATGCCAGTTCAGTTTTAAATTGAGGTCAGTTCATGATGCAAGTTGAGTTTTAAATTGAGGTCAGTTCATGATGCCAGTTCAGTTTTAAATTGAGGTCAGTTCATGATGCAAGTTCAGTTTTAAATTGAGGGCAGTTCATGATGCCTGTTCAGTTTTAAATTGAGGTCAGTTCATGATGCAAGTTCAGTTTTTAATTGAGGTCGGTTCATGATGTAAGTTCAGTTTTTAATAGAGGTCAGTTCATGATGCAAGTTTAGTTTAAATTGATGTCAGTTCATGATGCAAGTTCAGTTTTAGTTTGAGGTCAGTTCATGATACAAGTTCAGTTTTAGTTTGAGGTCAGTTCATGATGCAAGTTCAGTTTTAAATTGAGGTCAGAAGTTTAATTTCAAATTAAGGTCAGTTCATGATGCAAGTTCAGTTTTAAATTGAGGTCAGTTCATGATGCCAGTTCAGTTTTAAATTGAGGTCAGTTCATGATGCAAGTTCAGTTTTAAATTGAGGTCAGAAGTTTAATTTCAAATTAAGGTCAGTTCATGATGCAAGTTCAGTTTTAAATTGAGGTCAGTTCATGATGCCAGTTCAGTTTTAAATTGAGGTCAGTTCATGATGCAAGTTCAGTTTTTAATTGAGGTCAGTTCATGATGCAAGTTTAGTTTTATATTAAGGTCAGTTCATGATGCAAGTTTAGTTTTAAATTGAGGTCAGTTCATGATGCAAGTTTAGTTTTATATTGAGGTCAGTTCATGATACAAGTTCAGTTTTAAATTGAGGTCAGTTCATGATACTAGTTTAGTTTTATATTGAGGTCAGTTCATGATGCAAGTTCAGTTTTAAATTGAGGTCAGTTCATGATACAAGTTTAGTTTTATATTGAGGTCAGTTCATGATGCATGTTTAGTTTTATATTGAGGTCAGTTTATGATGCAAGTTCGGTTTTAAATAGAGACCAGTTTATTAGTTATCATGCAGTTAGTATTACAATGTTAATTTATAAGTCAAGGTCAAGTTTTTTTATTTTTTGAAGTCCAAAGAAACGTTTTTATGTGATACGTCTAGATTATCAATACACCTAATCAAAGTAAAGGGTTGTTGACCTAGGATGTGGATTGAAGATAATGTGCCAAACATATCATATCTTTAAACCCAAAACCAAAAGGATTGAATTAATCTATTATTTAAGTTAAAATCAACCCCCTTCAAAAAAGTCAAAAATAAGTTGTTTTCTGTTTAGGCTGTAACTGATGGTAAACTTTGGACGTTGGAGAGGTCTGTCTTCCAGACAATAATGATGTCCACAGGATTAAAGAAAACAGAAAAACAGGTTGAAATATACGGGGTTCGACAGGATAAAAGAAAACAGAAAATCAGGTTGAAATATACGGGGTTTGACAGAGTTAAAAAAAACAGAAAACAGGTTAAAAAATATACAGGGTTTGACAGAATTAAAGAAAACAGAAAACAGGTTGAAATATACGAGGTTTTACAGAGTTAAAGAAAACAGAAAAACAGGTTTGAAATATACGGGGTTTGATAGGATTTAAGAAAACAGAAAAACAGGTTGAAATATACGGGGTTTGACAGGTTTACAACTGGATAGGATCATTTTGGAGAAAACTGAATCCATTTCAATAAATCTCTTTTTAGTTCATATTGCTGGGAGATTCTGAAAATAGTTGTTAAACGTTATTAATAAACCTAGATTCCTAAACTATTTAAATAATTCCTGCTATTTTGTTTCTCCATTTTGCACTAGAAAACAGAACCACAAGTTTGGCGAAATAAGTATTAACACGTCTACCGACATATTTGTAAACTTTAAAATATTTTCAAATATTTAGATTTTAAAAATGTTCACTCTTTTTGTCATGTTTGCGATTGTAAGGTTTACGCCTTTCTGCAGGCAAGGTTCATACTGTTTACAATGTTCCGACAAAATTCTAAGAATTTGTAATTGCATTCACTGTATTAGTTTGTTTACAGTGTTTACAGTTTACCAAAAGATTACTTAATTAATCTTTTTAAAAAGACTAAATCTCTTTTTTTACTCAAATATAATGTTTAGTTGGACACCTGGCAATTAGTTTATTGTTTTGTACAACTCTAGTTTTCCAGTTTAAAGAGAAGTAACAAAACTAAATTTTAATTGTCACATTAAGATATTCATGTAAGGTAGGGTATAACAGGTCGATTCATATTCAATCCAACCTTTTTTGGAAACTTTAATTAGACTTTTTCTTGATTAACTACTGAATTGAAGGAACTTTGGAAAATAAAAATTGCAAAAGAAAAATTTAATTTTTACAATAATATAAACGTAAATATTGTTCAGGTGAACTTCTTGAAGATAGTTCCCCTGCTGTCCACCCTCCCCTCCACCCTCCTCTCCAAGGTCTCCGACGTGTTGGAGCTCGAGGTCTACAAGAAGGGAGATTATATTGTTCGAGAGGGAACATCAGGTAAAAAAATCATTACCCCTTTTTTTACAAAATACTTTACCCAAGTATATTAGGAATGTTTGCGCGAAGTTTCTTTGTCGCTGAATTGGGAAAAAAGATGATTTTTTTGGTTAAGATTATTTAAAACTTTAATGTCAAAGTTTTACCTTTCCCTGAAGTCTTAAAAAATCAAGGTGGGACTAAACTGTTTGGGTAGATTCAGCAATAATTAAGAAAATGTAGTTTTAGTTTATCGTTTTCTTGAAATGATATGGATTGAGAAACCTCAACCCAGGGGAACGGAAGGATATTTGATGAAAGGTCGGAAGTGACTTTTATATTTTGTATATTACTGATACTGCAATGTTTTTGTTTTCTGTAAACATCTTTTTCCGTGAATTGTAAATCTATTCCTGTCATGCAACCTAGTTTTAAATATGCTTGAAACATGTGTGTAATTTAAAATATTATTTTCGCTTAACATTTTCGGAATTTAGCAAGGTAGGGAAGATATATTAGGTAGCTAGGAAAGCAATTTTTAATTTCAATTGGTGAGGATTTGCACTTTTTTCAGGGAAAAATATTTTTTGAGTTAAGAAAAATGCTTGAATCTGGGCAATATATATTTTAAAACTTATTTTTTAACTATTTTTGGGGAGATGGAACAATAATTCTTTTTTTGCGGAGTTTTTTAGTGGAATATATTTTCCCCTGCTTTATGGGAAAGTATACTCGGTTAAAACCGGACAAGATAATTTATAAAATAAATATCAGAAATGGTAGAAATAGAAAGAAAAAATACAAAATAAAGTAACTGTACAAACATTAATGACATTTTGATTTAAAACTAAACCCAGCTTTAAGGAAGTTTTATATCTTCTTATTACTTAATTTAATTGTTTTTAGGAGACACATTCTATATAATCTGCGATGGGAGTGTGAAGGTTACCAAAAAAGGGGAAGGAGGTTCAGAGGAGGAGATTAGAACTTTAAAGAAAGGAGATTATTTTGGAGAACAGGTATTATACTTAGACAGGTAGACAAACAGCAAGTTTTAAAGGTTAATAGTAAGGTAGTTAGGTAGTTAGCTAGCTAGATAGCTAGTTAGCTAGTTAGCTAGTTAGTTGGTTAGTTGGTTAGTTGGTTGGTTGGTTAGTTGGTTAGTTAGTTGGTTCGTTGGTTAGTTACTTTGTTACCTTAGTTACTTAGTTACTTAGTTCTTAGTTACTATGTTCCTTAGTTTACTATTTTCTTTAGTTTCCGAGTTACTTAGTTACAATGTTCCTTAGTTACTTAGTTACTATTTTCTTTAGTTACCGAGTTACTTAGTTACAGTGTTCCTTAGTTACTTAGTTACTTTTGGTTACTTAGGTACTATGTTCCTTTGTTACTGAGTCACTATGTTTCTATGCTCCATTGTTATCTATAGCTACGTATAGTTACTTAGTTAATTTGTTGCTGAGTTCCTTACTTCCTTAGTTACTTAGTTACTTAGTTACTTAGTTTCTTATAGTTATTTAGTTACTATGTTCCTTTGTTACTTAGTTACTTAGTTATTTAGTTACCTAGTTACTAAATTACTTAATTACTTAATTACTTTGTTACTTAGTTACATATTTACTTAGTTGCTTAGTTACTTAGTTACTTAGTTACATAGTTACTTAATTACTTAGTTACTTATTTACTTAATTACTTAATTACTTAGTTACTTAGTTACTTAGTTACTTAGTTACTTAGTTACTTAGTTACTTAGTTACTTAATTACTTAGTTACTTGGTTACTTATTTACTTAATTACTTAATTACTTAGTTACTTAGTTACTTAGTTACTTTGTTACTTTGTTAGTCCTTAGTTCGTTTATTAACTAGCTTATCCTTCTAGTTTAAATATGCATTTTTCCCCCAAAAAACCATAAAATAAATGCATTTTCCTGACCAGTGACCACATTTCAGATTAACTGCATCTAGTGAATATCTGGCCTAAATCTGAATTTATATCTCTGGATGATTTCAATTATATATTTTGGGAATACGAACTAAACCTTTGCCAAAACACGTTGGCGAGCAGATATAAGATTTATACAGTCTAGATAATTTGGCTTCCAACAGTTAACAGGGGCTTTATAAAGTGAAAACATCAAGATTTGTTTAATATAAAGAAGTTTTTATTTTAGGTTTATCCTGTTTTATTTATTGTATATTCATGTATGCCGATATAATTTTTATCCAGCAGGAATTTTTTTGGGATGCTCATGTTTATTTTTACTCGCCTTCATTGCTTTTTTTCTACTTTTTCAACCAACCTATCTTTATATAAGTGGAATACTGTCCAATCAACATATTTATCTATTTATATATTTATATATGTTTAACATTTTTTTATTTATTCATCGGTCATCTTTCCATCCATATTTCTTACTAAACTTTTTCATTAATCTATCTACCATTCTGACTATCTACCTGTCTATCTATCTACCATTCTAGCTATCTATCTACTCGTCTATCCACCTATAAATCTATCTATCTATTTATCTGCAGGCCCTGTTGAAAACTGACCTACGAACTGCAAATGTTGTGGCAGTCTCAGACTCACTTGAATGCCTTACACTGGACAGAGAGTAAGCTTTTTTAAATTAAAAATATAAAATTTAAAGGGACTGTTCGAATAATTACAATTGGAACTTATTTATTAAGAGTTACACAGCTAATGTACGACGCTATTCCGTAAACCTTTTCCTGGCAAAAATTTAGATTTATGGAGCAGAGGCCATGGAAGGAAGTTGCTAGGCTTAATTTATTTTAAGATAACAAATACCCATATATTCTTTAAAGTGTTACTCAGAGAAAGATTTAAAGGGTATCGTTGTAAATTTTGCATTCGACATTACGCCGACTGTCTCTTTTAACAACTTTCGTTTTTCTTTTTTATTCGATTTAATGAATCGACTAAAAGTTGAAAATTATCCTTTTTCAGGTCATTTTTCCAGCTCGTTGGAGATCTTAACGAGCTTAAGGACAAAACATACAAGGTAAATAATCGTGTATTCTTAGATTAGCGTGAACTCAAAATAGAAAGTCAAATTTACATAATATTAGATTAGCGTAAACTTAATACATAATACATACTCATATTTACCGTTCCCAACAATAAATGATGTCTGTATTTTTTTTGGAAAACAAAATAGAGCTTAAACCGGAGTAAATTCCTTTCTAAACATTCAATAGACAAGTAAGGTGTTAAATTCAATAGACAAGTCAGGTGTTAAATTCAATGGACAAGTAAGGTGTTAAATTCAATAGACAAGTCAGGTGTTAAATTCAATAGGTGTTAAATTCAATAGACAAGTCAGGTGTTAAATTCAATAGACAAGTCAGGTGTTAAATTCAATGGACAAGTCATTGGTGTTAAATTCAATAGACAAGTCAGGTGTTAAATTCAATGGACAAGTCAATTGTGTTAAATTCAATAGACAAGTCAGCAGTTAAATTCAATGGACAAGTCAGCTGTTAAATTCTGAGGTTCAATGTTTTTAGGATATTCCAAATGGTCGGGATGAGAAGCATGAGACAGATATACAGCAGACTAACAAGGAATATATTGATGTTACACTTGATGATTTAGAGGTATGTACCTATAATAATGTCATGTACATCACAATCAATATTATGTACTACTATAGCTGAAGGCATTGCCCGTGAAAAAAAAAAAAATTTTTTAAATACTTAAAAAATTTCCGCCGTTTGGCCGGCTACAGGCAACATATAGATGAATTATATAGATAATCTATTTTATTTACATTAAAATCAATATTATGTACATAAAAATCAATATCATGTATATCAAAATCAATATTATGTACATCAAAATCAATATTATGTACATCAAAATCAATATTATGTACATCAAAATCAATATTATGTATATCAAAATCAATATTAAGTATATCAAAATCAATATCATGTACATCAAAATCAATATTGTCAATATATTAATATTTTGTACATAACAAGAAATATAAGTACATATCAATAAACAAGCTAGAAAATAAAATTTGGATGACTATCAGTACATATTTTAAATAAAAGTATTCATCTATTCATTAATTTTGTTTCTGGTGTTTGCAGGTATAAAAATGCTAATCATTTTATTGCCTGGGTAATAATTTTTCAGAATACTTAAACTCAATGATATTTAAATATTCAAATCATTCTAAGGTTTAATGGGATGCAAAGTGTCATTATAATTATTTACAAAAACTTTACATGGAATTTTACTTTACCAAGGGGGGTTCGAGGTATATGTACGTAACGTCTCAGTAAAGTAGTTATAAAATATTTAATATTTATATCTCTTGTGAAAAATTAGTACTTAAAGAGTTAAGTTGCTCCATGTTGTACATACATACTGTATATTGTACAATATTCACTCTCACTGAACAAGGTACATATATGGGACAATGGGTTTAAGGCTATCTTACAAAAATTTCACTTAATTTTTTTTTGTTATTTTTTTTTTAAGCCAATCCTAATATGTGTAGATCACAGATTGATCAAGATTAGATGTTTCTGAAACCTTTTAGCGATTCATTTTTCGAAAAAATCCAATATAAAAATATGTTTTCGATATTACCCCCTCTCTTGATTGATTTATAATCATTGAGAAGATTATTATTATTTGCATATTTTTATTGGTAGTTTTAAAATTGATCTCAATTATTCTCAATTATTAGTTATGTTACTGTGTGTACTGTATATATATACCGGGATCAACCAATTAGCCTGTCAATAATAATTATAGAAATAATATTTAAACAGATGCTTTAATTATTAAATAGCTAAGGGCGGACTTGATTAGTAATTCTCCTTCCATCTTGAACAAATCAATTAAATTGCGATCAAAGTGTTCCAAATACCTAGCCTTACTATAGGAGACAAATTATAGTAATTCAACTCAGCGAGAAGTGATTTGCAATAACTTACAGTAATAACCAGAAAACTCTGAAATAGTTACAAAGCAATAGTTTTACTTATTAAGTAACTAATGTAGAGAAATGGTTCAGTTTACACTGCACAATTGCTGTGTCTCAAGCTCATTGGCTATTAAAAGTTGTCTCTTGAGTTTAAAGTCGTCTTCCTATTTCAAAGTTTTCTGGTTATCACTGTAGTCCTTTCTAAGAATTAAAGTTTTGAGACTTATTCCAAAATGCTGTTGCACAAATAGAAATTTATATTTGATAAACTTTAGAAAACCAGCTGAAGTGACCTGCGTTGCCCGTGGAATATTGTAAGAAATCGAATTTAAAAACAAACAAACTTATGTATACATGGGTTCCCTCAAATAATTTTCAAGCCAATATACATAACATATATACAAATATACAGACATATATTTATATATATATTATCGATGGGTTAACTTTTTTCTTATAATTTAAAAAACTTGAGTCCGAATTTAATGAATTTTAGCCGCGTCTCAAATCCGCCAAAAACCGGTTTCAATTAGACGTAGGCTTTAATCTTGTAACATTGAATACATACCAACCAACCATATTTGAGCGGCGTCTCAAATTTAAGCCGCGGTTCAAATGCTTTAAATTTGGTTTGGCTAAATATTAGGATTTTAGAAATAAATTTGTAATACTCGTCAGTGATCTAGAAATGCAGAAATATGTTTGCTTAGATAAAATAGACTATGTTTTAAATAATTCTATTGATGATAATATTTATCCCTATTTTAGGTTATTGCTACCCTAGGAGTGGGCGGGTTTGGTAGAGTTGAACTAGTCAAGGTGATAATCAAGAAAATCAAGATTTAAGCCCCCTTCTCTCCCTTCTCCCCATCCTCCAACCCAGCTCTCATAATCAGTCCAATCTTTAAAATTTTCAGAAAAAAAACTTAAATTTTTACATTTAGCTTTCTTATTGGATACTGTACACATTATTTTTATTTTTTCCACAATTTCTTTCGTGTTTTTAATACTCCTCGGCAGCATGGGTTGGATCTTATTTAAATAATATATGTGGATTTAGGTGAGGTGAGGTGTTAAAACGTGTTCAGGCGTGTGATTTGCCCGGGTAGCGGGACACTTTAATGTAGTAACAACATGTAAAAACGATTTTTTGTCTTTAATGTCGTCTTGTTTTTAAAGAATTAAAAAAACATGAATAGATTACCTTCTTCTAATCCTTGCAAATGCAAATTTATGTATTAATTACTCGTAAAAATGTAAATAAATCTATTTAATCTATTTAGAAATTTTCAACTTTGATGTTTACAGCACCCGGACATTATCTCACGTCCGAACACTTTATAACATGACACCGGGTTTGAATGCTCTGCGACTAAATCACTAGAACATGTTTCTTGGCGTTGCTCACAACTAAAAACGTGTTTATGTCAAGATGAGATTACTATATTTCGTTTCAACAGCTTTCCTTCCAAGGGATTGACGACAAAACTTTATTGACCCTTTAAAACATAATTCTAATAATTCTATTCAGTAGAAACCAAAAAATTCATAATTAAGATAAAGTTTAAATGCTTCCGTAGTTAATCATTGATTCCAATTCTTGAACCAATTCCAACCTAACCAATAACTCTAAATAATCGAAATACATATATTTAACTGAATAACATCTTAAATCAGTGGGAACTCTCAATCAGAAAGGAAATTAAGGCTCACTCACGTTTTTATTAAAAGTGAAATAGCTTTTTTTAAATGCATTCTGCATTTTATTTCTGTAATATCAAACTAAAGATGAATTTAATCTAGACACCGTTCCGTGTCAGGTTTGGTGTAAAATTCTTTTATTTTAATTGTTCACTTCTCTAAGAAAACTACTGTCTGTACAATTTGAATTATTGTATATCGTATGTTGTCCAGAAAACTAATAGTTCTTGGAAATACATATTTTAATATAGCAATCTCATGAGTATTTGATATTGTTCTTAAAGTGACAGTAAAGGAAAAATGAAAGGAGGTATAGGCTGAAAGCTAATCACTTTAGCTCTTGATCGCGACCCATGAAAGTCATATCTGATGTTCCTGTCTCGAGAAATTGATATAAAACTGTGTCAAATCTATACGAAAATTAAAATATATACAATTTATTATAAAAGTAGTAGGTTTAAACAGATCATATTCAGCAAATAAGCAACCAATCTGAAAACGATGATATCCCAGAGAAAGCTAATTGTAATTTAGGTTTACTTTTATATTTGTTGTTTCTATTTTCAACAGATTTTATTCATAATTTATTTTTACGTCCGTATTACTTGACCAGAAATTCCACCAAAGGCAGTGCAGTAAAGTGGTCACGTGATACAGGCGGAGACACCTGACCAGTATACTGCTCTGCCATAGGTTATAGTTCTGGTCACGTGATTTAAGTTTCAGATTTTCTAAATTTTACATATATGAATTTTCGTATAATTTTAACACAGTTTTATATCAGTTTCTCGAGACAGGAACATCAGATAAAACTTTCAGGGGTCGCGATCAAGAGCTAAAGTGATTAGCTTTCAGCCTATACCCCCTTTCATTTTTCCTTTACTGTCCCTTTAAGCTAATTGTTTTATCAAGAGCTTAAAAATCAACTTTTCAAGTAAAACGGGTCAAAGCATATTGTACATTTTCTGTGTTTTATGTTAATTAGACTATTTCAAATCATGACTTTTCCTATTCCACAGTTTTATGGGGTTTACAGTAGTTTTGTTTCTGTTCAGTGTCGGAACAGGCCTACTCTGGCGTATGCCTTGAAATGCTTGAAGAAGCAGCATATTGTAGAAACCCAGCAACAGGAACATGTTTACTCAGAGAAGAATATTCTATTGGCTTGCAGGCATCATTTTATTACAAGGTAACTTTAACCTCCAGATTCTTTAAATGTAACCTCCTGTTTCTATATATGTAACCTCCTGTTTCTATATATTTAACCTCCTGTTTCTATATATTTAATCTCCTGTTTCTATATATAGTTGTAACCTCCTGTTTCTGTATATGTGACCTCCTGTTTCTATATAAGTAACATCCATTTCTATAAACCATTCGATTGTCTCTTTATTTTAATATTAAAGTTTTTATATTGATGTTACCTTTTGTTCTTTGATGTTACAGTCTGTATCTTTATGTTTCAAATTGTATTCTGATGTTACAGTCTATGTCTCTAAATTACAGCTTGCATATTGATGTTACAGTCTATATCTTGATGTTACAGCCTGGTTATTGATGTTACAGTATGTATCTTGATGTTACAGTCTGTATATTAATGTTACCGTCTGTATATTGATGTTACAGTCTGTATATTGATGTTACAGCCTGGTTATTGATGTCACAGTCTGTATCTTGATGTTACAGTCTGTATCTTGATGTTACAGTCTGTATATTGATGTCACAGTCTGTATCTTCATGTTACAGTCTTTGTCTTGATGTTACAGTCTGTATCTTGATGTTACAGTCTGTATCTTGATGTTACAGTCTGTATCTTGATGTTACAGTCTGTATCTTGATGTTACAACCTGTATCTTGATGATAAAATCTGTATCTTGATGTTACAGTCTGTATCTTGATTTTACAGTCTGTATCTTGATTTTACAGTCTATATCTTGATTTTACAGTATGTATCTTGATGTTACAGTCTGTATCTTGATGTTTCAGTCTGTATCTTGATGTTACAGTCTGTATCTTGATGTCTCAGTCTGTATCTTGATGTTAAAATCTGTATCTAGATGTTACTATGTCTGCTTCTTTGTCAAATTCTTTAGCTGAGACCTTTGAAAGAATTTGATGTGAATATTAAGGTTGAGACACAATTTAAGCTTAAAATGGAAGCACATATTCATTGGTCTATTCAATAGGGAGTGTTATTCATCGAATTTTCGATCTATCCATCTATCTATCTATCCATCTAACTATCTATCTTTCTTTCTATTTATCTATCTTTCTATTTATATCTTTCTAACTATCTCTTCATATCTATGGCCATAAATATGTTAACAGATGTGTCTTATAAAGTTGTAGATCGTAAAAACGGTTCCAACTTTTTACAGGATATAAAAACTAGGGAGTAGGGTTGTAAGGTGCAGAATGCACTGGAAGGAAGAAGTGATTAATGAATAAACTAATTTACTTTAAATCTTGAATTTAAAAAAATGTAAGATTAACGATTGCGACTGAATCCAGGTCCAGTGTACATTCTCTATCTAACCCTGTCCACTTGATTATAAATGATTAAAAAAAAAAACTAAAAAAAGGATTTGTCCTCCTCAGAATGAAACGTTGTAGTTCTTGAAAGAGTAGTTTTTATTGTTAACAATATTTTCGAATTTATTTATAAGTAATCAAAGAGAATTTTTTTGATTGACAGCTTCTCTGTTTGTGTGTATAATCAATGCTGTTTGATAGCTTGGAATAAATCAAAATTGATATCGAAAGTCATTTTCATTGTATTGATATAATCGCCTACCACTGTAGATTATAAGACAGATTAATATCTGTATAATAAGTTAAATGACGCAATGAACTGTCAGATAAATGCATTTTTTTGCTCCCATATTCAGATGTTTGATCTTGATACTACGCAGAAAATGCAGTTTTAATCATGTCACACAATGCATTGAACAATGCGTATTGCGTACACGCGTGCTTGGAATTCAAGCCATTTGCATTATGTTGGCACACACCATCACGTTCCCGGGGGAGGGGGTGCGGGGTTGGTCCCCGGGTTATATACAGTTGTTTGGGGGTACATTAATGCGGTGAGGTCATGCGCGATTAATAGTGCATTTTCTTGGTACTGCAGGTCGGTGAATTGCAACTTTTTTTAGGAAGAGAGGAGAGCAAACCTACTAATTTAATTTCTAGTTTTATTTTCATTAAAAAAGTATCAGAAATATAATTTCATTTATTCTAAATCGTTGGTTATGATTAATACAAGAAATAAAAGTGGTAGTGTCTTATTTTCTGGAATTCCCAATTGAAGCTAAATTTTGATTAAATTCGCCCTTTATATGATGATTAATTGATAATTCAAAAATCTACGGTTTTGCAAAATATTAGCAAGTGCAATTACAGATTTTGACCACAGAATAATTTGCACAGTTTTTGCCACATTACAATATCTGAAGTTCTGAACCATGAATTAGAATTTGGCAACTGTTGGATAAGGTAGAAAACAAGAATCTCCCCCCCCCCCCCCCCCCNCCCCGCCTACACTCGACTATTAAAAGTAGGGCGGATGAGCCTCCTGACACCAAGACAATGTTAAACCAACTATTAAAGTAAAAGATAGATTTATTTAGAATTAGACAAACACTCCACCTTGTCTGATGTGTAAACAAGCTGGAAACGGCCTCGTTATCTGTCTATTAGAGACAACTTGATTGCTCTTTGCTCTTTATTATTCACATCAAACCCATGGAATTACAATATAACTGAAAACTCTCCTCATCATTTTCTAATCTGAATATCTTTGCAACCTGACGTTGAAGATCTTTCATATTTCACTATGAATTCTGCAAAGGAATTGAGTTTTTGCCACAAAATCAAATTTTCTAAACCATATGTCTTTGCAACCTGACAGTGAAGACCTTTGCTATTTCAAATTTGCACTATTTCATCTAACAGAATTTATAGTTTGAAATATCAAAGGTCTAGAATATCGATATAAGGATTAAAAAATATAAGTTTGTGGCAAAAACTCAATTCCTTTTAAAAATATATCGAAGGTTTACACCATCAGATTGCAAAGATATAGGGATTGAAATAGTAAAATTTGAGGCGAGTAAATGATTCTTTTGAAAAAGTAAAATGCAGGGAACAAACCAGTTCTGGTATATGTCACGGCATCTATTCAGTGCGTGTTAAAAAACTATTTGAACAAAAATTTAGTAATTTGAAAATCTCCTCAAAATCCAGTACGTGCAAGAATCATGACATGAAGATATTTAATCTTAAAACTCGTAGATACAAATACGCTTTTAACCTTTCTTTATATTTCCTGTAAAATGTATTTATATTATGCCCGGTTGTTGACTAGGCACTAAAAATGTTTGTATGTGTCTAGTATGTGTTTACCCAGTGTTTGTTAACTGTGTTTGCTGATATCAACTTGTGTTTGTTTACGTCTCTAGTTAACCCTGTATACTTTCAGAAGAAATAGGAGATTTACGAGAAAGGGTAAAATATAGAAAAAGGGGTGTTCAAAGTTTTTAAGATGTCAATCGTAATGTTTCACAACCGTTATCTCATCAGCTTTTATAAAACAGATAATCGGGTTGTTTAGGGAAGAATTTCGTAACTTTTCTAGTAATTACGAATCGTGGATATGTCTGTTGCGTAGACGAGCAAGAAAATGTCCTACATTTTTATAATTCTGGATTGTTCTTAGTTTTCTACCTAAAGTTTACTTGATCCTGTTTTCGTGATTACTTGAATTATTCAAATTCTTTTCTTTTCATATTTTAAATATCACGATTAACAATAATTATCTAGAAATTATGATACCCATTTTATTCGGAAAAATGATCAATGTTTATTCCTGGCAAAAACGGTTTATTACAACTCACAACTAAATGTAAAACATGAAGTTTACATAAAAACACTTTTATAAATCATAAAAGAACGTTTAACATACATTCTTTATGAAATTGGGGGGAAAACAGAATTTAATTTTGTTTTCATTTTTAGGTTATTCAAAACGTTTAAAGACAAGAAGTATATATATATGCTGATGGAAGCCAGTCTTGGAGGAGAGCTCTGGACTATTCTCAGAGATAGAGGTATATTTTTATACATTGAGGTACATTTTTCTACATTGAGGTACATTTTTATAAATTGAGGTACATTTTAATTCATAGAGGTACATTTTTATACAAAGAGGTACATTTTTATTACATTGAGGTACATTTTTATACATTGAGATACATTTTTATACATTGAAGTACATTTTTACACATTGAGATACATTTTTATACATTGAGGTACATTTGTATACATTGAGGTACATTTGTATACATTGAGGTTCATTTTTATACATTGAGGTACATTTTTATACATTGAGGTACTATTTTATACAATGAGGTACATTTGTATACATTGAGGTACATTTTTATACATTGAGGTACATTTTTATCATTGAGGTACACTTTTATACATTGAGGTACATTTTTTATACGTTGAGGTACATTTTTATACATTGAGGTACATTTTTCTACATTTAGGTACATTTTTTATACGTTGAGGTAAAGAAACTGAAGATACTGAAACATGTGTTTACGTAGGATTTCATTTTATGAAAGAAAAGAAGGGATGAAGAATTATACAATCACACAATATATACAGTGATAACCAGAAAACTTTGGTATAGAAAGTCGAATTTAAACTCAAGTTATGCCTTTCATTAGTGCAATAAACATGAGGCACTGCAATTGTGCAGAGTAAACAGACCCATTTTACTCAATAAAAGTATAAAGGGATAAAATTGACAGAATAAAAAGAATTGACAGGATAGACAGGATAAACAAGATAAACAGGATAAACAGGATAGACAGGATAGACAGTATAGACAGGATAGACAGGATAGACATGATAAACAGGAAAGGCAGGATAAACAGAATAGACAGGATAGACAGAATGGACAGGATAGACAGGATAGACAGGATAGACAGGATAAACAGGATAGACAGTATAGACAGTATAGACGGAATGGAAAGGAAAGAAAGGATAGATAATGGTGTGATTGATCTGGGTATTCTTGATCTTATTGATGTGTTGATATATTTGATCCGATTGATCTGATTGATCAGATAAAAGAATCAACTGCATATATAAGGAGCAGTGGTATGATTCTGCAAGGTAGAAGATTATATGTAGATGAGATTTGAAAAATAAGGACTGATTGAAATGAATATCACATGCGTAATACCTGCCTACACCCTTAACCAGACAATTTTCATATCATTCAAATCATGCTTCAGCTGATATCAGCTAATTTAGAATATGCTAGAGACTAGCAAGCTTGCTAGCAAGTTTAACAGTATCTTATGTACAGAAATATGTATTTAGTAGTGACTAGTGACAATCAAGTTTAACAGTATCCAATGTACAGAAATATGTATTTAGTAGTATACGTTAGTGACTAAGAAGCTTACTAGCAAGTTTAACAGTATCTTATGTACAGACATATGTATTTAGTAGTGTATACTAGTGACTAGTAAGCTTACTAGCAAGATTAACAATATCAAATGTACAAAACTTTGTGTTTAGCAGTGCAATTTAGTGACTAGCAAGCTGGCTGGCAAGTTTAACAGTATAATATGTACAGAACTTTGCGTTTAGTATATAGTGTACACTAGTGACTACAAAGCTTCTAGCAAGATTAACAATATCTGGTGTACAAAACTTTGTGTTTAGTAGTGCAATTTAGTGTAGAAAGCTGGCTAGCAAGTTTAACAGTATAATATGTACAGAACTTTGCGTTTAGTATATAGTGTACACTAGTGACTACAAAGATTACTAGCAAGTTTGACAGTATCTCATGTACAGAACTGATGTATTTAGAAGTGTACACTAGTGACTACCAAGATTACTAGCAAGTTTGACAGTATCTCATGTACAGAACTGATGTATTTAGTAGTGTACACTAGTGACTAACAAACTTACTAGCAAGTTTAAAAGTATCTTATGAAATATGTATTTGGTAGTGAACACTAGTGACTAGCAAGATTGCTAGCAAGATTAACATTATCTTATGTACAGCAGAACTTTGTGTTTAATAGTGCACTCTAGTGACTAGCAAGCTGGCTAGCAAGATTAACAGTATCTTGTGTATAGAACTGATGTGTTTAGTAGTGTACAGTGTAAAGGGTTGTCATTAAAGGATTTGACTTCATAGTTAAATTGGCTTTATTGATGATACACTTTTTACAGAAAAAAAACAAAAAAAATGTATCTATAAATTTATACTGAATTAGGTTTAGGACATAACATTTTTTTATTTCTAAAGTATGAAACAATATTAAAATTCTACAACGAACTGAATAAAAAAGTATTTTTGTGGAATTGAGTTTTTATTAGTCGCTACCCTGTTAAGTTTAATACAGCTCATTTAAAATTAACTGAATAACAGTTTTCATGTCATGTTTGCATAAAATGTTGACAATGCAAAACTAACTAAGCACAGAAGCTAGAATGTTTTGGTAGAAGGAAATTATATTTAATCGGTTACACTGTGTACTGGACTGTACATAACAAAGGGATTCATTTTTTAAAGTCAAGAAAAAAAATGGCCAACATGGGGTCTGTCCTAGAGAACGATTTTTAGACCCCCCTCCCCCTCTTATAAGTCTTTTACATGATTTCAGCAAAATTATTTTTATTTATTTTTTATTATTTTAGGGTTAGGTTAGGTTAAGACAATTTCTGGGTCAAAAAATCGCTCCCTAGGAAATTACCGCCAACATGTTTAGAAAAAACGTCACCTTTAAATTATTTGGAGGTTCATGGCAAAACAATAGTAAAAAAAAGTTTAACCCTACATTTGAGCAATAAATTGATTTAATGTAAATATGTAAAGAATTTGGTAAATGAATGTTATATTCAGGATGGTTTGATGACAGCACTACTAGGTTCTATATTGGATGTGTTGTCAGTGCATTCGATTATCTTCATTCTCGTGGTATCATTTATAGAGATCTCAAACCAGAGAACCTTCTGCTAGGTAAACTATCATTTATAGAGATCTCAAACCAGAGAACCTTCTGCTAGGGAAACTATCATTTATAGAGATCTCAAACCAGAGAATCGGGTTTTCAAATTTTTTTATAGAAATTTTTTTAAGTTAAAATGTATTAATTCTGACCAACCGTAAACCTTCCTTGGGGTCATGTGAGTTACTACAAAAAGTTTGGACTGGGATTCAGCTGTTTTGACGTTTATTTGACACGAACAAACCAAAAGACATGTCAAAAAAAAAATTTTTTCACTCCAACACAACATTTTTTTATTTTACATAAAATTGTTTTTTTTTTAACTTTTTTGTGCTATTACAGTAAGTTTTGATACATGTTTATGCCTGTTTAAAATTACTCAATAAGTCTGTACTTTGATTATATTATAATAACACATTTTTGTCCTTACTTACCGCCGTTAGTTTTTTTCCTGTTTAGTTTATTTACTTGTTGCATGATTAGACTGCCCTAAATAAATCTTAAGCCAATGCATAACAAGTCATCAAAGTCTGAGAGAATTTTTAGAAATAATTTGGATATCGGTCAGAAACTTAGTTATAATTTTACCCCCCTCACCCCTGTCAATAAATACCTGATTGAGTATACATTTGATATTTCAGAATTTAATGTTGTTTGAAATATCAAAGTTTTATACTATCAGGATGCAAAAGTATACGGATTTGTGTATAGTTCCTTTTTTGCAGCAACTTAGATTTTTCAATGTATAATGTTCTGTGTTACTTTCACAAGTTTTATAATTCAATTTCCAACTTTCTTCGTATTATAGTTGTAGTTGTTTTCTTTGTATTATAGTTGCAGTTGTTTTCTTCGTATTATAGTTGTAGTTGTTTTCTTTGTATCATAGTTGCAGTTGTTTTCTTCGTATTATAGTTGTAGTTGTTTTCTTTGTATCATAGTTGCAGTTGTTTTCTTCGTATTATAGTTGCAGTTGTTTTCTTCGTATCATAGTTGCAGTTGTTTTCTTCGTATTATAGTTGCAGTTGTTTTCTTCGTATCATAGTTGCAGTTGTTTTCTTTGTATTATAGTTGCAGTTGTTTTCTTCGTATTATAGTTGCAGTTGTTTTCTTCGTATTATAGTTGTATTTGTTTTCTTTGTATTATAGTTGCAGTTGTTTTCTTCGTATTATAGTTGCAGTTGTTTTCTTCGTATTATAGTTGCAGTTGTTTTCTTCGTATTATAGTTGCAGTTGTTTTCTTCGTATTATAGTTTTCTCCGATCATTGGAAAGTAAATTAAAAGCAAGGTTGCTATTGCCAAAATGTTTCGAATAGATCATTTAAAATAAAAATGGATGCGCAATGTACATTCTTATAAAGATGTTTTTTTTGAAAAATATGAATATTATTTCTTTATCGATTGTTTTGCTTGGGATGGAATCCCAATAAATAAACTAAGGGTTAAATAAAAGGTTATGTTAAAATAGTTTTATGTTTTATTTTAAATATAATTTTTTTGCAGACAAGGAGGGGTACATCAAGATGGTGGATTTTGGATTCTCCAAGCGAATAGATTCTGGGAGGAAAACCTGGACCTTCTGTGGAACCCCTGAGTATGTTGCCCCTGAGATAATATTGAACAAGGGGCATGACAGGGCCGTGGATTTCTGGTCCCTGGGTATCCTTATGTACGAACTTCTCGCGGGAACGTAAGTAAAATTGTATTTCTTCATATTAACAATATTTTGTTGATTTTAAATTTTGAACTCTTTAGGATAATCTATGCATGTTCTTTCATGTTCTTAACTGTCTTTTTTTTTCAATAATTTTGTAATTCGACAAGACAACTTATTATAAAGGAGGATAAAAACGATTCTGGATAAAAAAAATATAGAATTCAATTTTCATGACAACGAAATAACTTTTTGAAACTTTCCTTGATATATTCGTTAATTGTATAATTTCACTAGATTTCTGTTAAAAACTTTATTGAGCAAGAATGTAATGCATTAAATCCTTGATATTGAGAATATTTGCCGTACGAAACGGGACATGCCAAATAATTAATTAAGTTATTTTTAATCTTGGTGGGAAACATGTTTTTATTCTTTCTTCTATCCTCAAATTAGGTTTTAGTATCTCATTAGAATTCCAAGTTGAATTGAAGCATGTGGTTGGAATTTGTCTCATCAAATTAGAGGTTTTACATTGAAGGAAGGAAATATTTTCATTTTAATAAAATAAAATTTGATAGAGGATGTGCTTCACAAAAATGTATTAAACTGTAAAGCTCTAGAACACATGCAACAAATATTTGAATAGACATAATTTGAAATGAATGAATTTATGTAAACCACACAAGGTATATTGCCAACGGTGGTTAGTTTCAACAATTTAACAACTTAACAATTCAGCAACAAAAATCTATTTGAAATACAGAAATAGGAAATTCTAAAATTCTAAAAGATTTATTTTTAGACCTCCCTTCACTGCCTCAGATCCTATGAAGGTTTACAACATTATTCTCAAGGGAATTGATCAGATAGATGTACCTCGTCATATCAGCAGGTAACTATACATTGAAAGGCGCCTAGGTACTTCTCAGGGTATCAAGGTATTTTTCAAGGTCCCCAGTATAATTCACACATGCAAGTTTCTAAATACCTTTTAATGTAAGATACTTGCTAGTGTAGAATTTCTGTGTGATTATGTGAGTGTGTGTGTAAGTGGTTGTCTGTTAAAATACTACTGTCTGAATGTCAGCAATACTTTAACCTCATGCCCATATTAATCCAAGCTACTGTTACATCTTTTGTTAAATCTAAATAATCTCTAAATCCAAATTTGTGTTTTACAAATGGCCTTCAACGAGACCTGTAATAAATCAAGATTTCATGATAAATCTTGCTTCCTTCCTTCTCCCAATCTCCACTCCCTTGTACCTTTTATTTCCCCCCCCCCCTATCCTTTCATATTCATTCACCAGCCTTTTCTGTTTTTATTCTTTTTATTGTAGTTTCTAGAGCTTTTCGTATTTTCATTTCTTTAATGCTTTCTTTTGATTTTTTCAGCTTCAGTTTTCCTAAATTTATCTGTTCTATCTGAAAATCTGTCCCAGGCAAATAAAACTTTAGTTATTTTTACAGTGCTATTGACGAAAAGAGTTTATGGAAATGTAATGGTCATGAAATTGTTGTCTAATACAAATACAAACTGATAATAGAATGATTCATTCACATTCTTCTCCTTGTCCAGGGTTGCCGTGACGTTAATGAAGAGGTTCTGCAAGGAGAACCCTGTGGAGAGGATCGGATACCAGAAGGACGGGGTGCAGGATATCAAGAAACATCGATGGTTTCAGGTACAGATATTAGTGTACAGTGTACAGATATTAGTGTACAGTGTACAGATATTAGTGTACAGTGTACAGATATTAGTGTACAGTGTACAGATATTAGTGTACAGTGTAAAAATATTAATGTACAGTGTACAGGTAAAGATATTAGTGTACAGTGTAAAGATATTAGTGTACAGTGTAAAGATATTAGTGTACAGTTTAAAGATATTAGTGTACAGTGTACAGATATAAGTGTACAGTGTAAAGATATTAGTGTACATTGTAAAAATATTAGTGTACAGTGTACAGTGTAAAGATATTAGTGTACAGTGTAAAGATATTAGTGTACATTGTAAAAATATTAGTGTACAGTGTACAGATATTAGTGTACAGTGTACAGATTTTAGTGTACAGTGTAAATATAGTAGTGTACAGTGTACAGTGCAAAGATATTAGTGTACAGTGTAAAGATATTTGTGCACAGTGTAAAGATATTAGTGCACAGTGTAAATATATTAGTGTACAGTGTACAGATATTAGTTTACAGTGTACAGTGTAAAGATTTAAGTGTACAGTGTAAAGTTATTAGTGTACAGTGTACAGTGTAAAGATATTAGTGTACAGTATAAAGATATTAGTGCACAGTGTAAGGATATTAGTGTACAGTGTACAGATATTAGTGTACAGTGTACAGTGTAAATATATAAGTGTACAGTGTAAAGATATTAGTGCACAGTGTAAAGATATTAGTGTACGGTGTAAAGATATAAATGTACAGTGTACAGATATTAGTGTACAGTGTACAGATATTAGTGTACAGTGTGAAGAAATTAGTGTACATTGTAAAGATATTAGTGTATAGTGTAAAGATGTTAGTGTACAGTGTAAAGATATTAGTGTACAGTGTACAGATATTAGTGTACAGTGTACAGATATTAGTGTAAAGTGTACAGATATTAGTGTACAGTGTCCAGATATTAGTGTACAGTGTACAGTGAAAGATATTAGTGTACAGTGTGAAGATATTAGTGTACAGTGTAAAGATATTAGTGTACAGTGTAAAGATATTAGAGTACAGTGTAAAGATATTGGTGTACAGTGTAAAGATATTAGTGTACAGTGTACAGATATTAGTGTACAGTGTAAAGAAATTAGTGTACAGTGTAAAGATATTAGTGTACAGTGTAAAGATTTAAGTGCACAGTGTACAGATATTAGTGTACAGTGTACAGATATTAGTGTACAGTGTAAAGAAATTAGTGTATAGTGTAAAGATATTAGTGTGCAGTGTACATATATTACTGTACAATGTACATATATTACTGTACAGTGTAAAAATATAAGTATACAGATTACAGGGTACAAATATTACTGTACTGTATACATATATTTCTTTACTGTTACATACTACATATATAAGTGTACAGGGTACAAATATTACTGTACTGTGTACATATACATAACTGCATGTACATGTACATGAATTTATTACTGTGCAATATAAAGATATAAGTGTTCAGTGTACTAATGGTTTTAGGTACAGATTTTAGTGTACACTGTATAGATATTAGTGTTGTTCAGTCCATACATGGTTTCATGATACAAATATTACTGTTAACTAATATTTTGCATATGTTTTCAGGGATTTGACTGGGACGGATTAAATGCTAAAACTCTGACTCCTCCCATCCTACCAGCCGTCGCTTCAGCCTCAGATTCATCCAACTTCGATAAATATCCCAGGGATGAAAATATTCCTTCAGATGAACTGTCTGGATGGGATAAGGACTTTTAATTCATCCATCCTGAATGGATGAATCGTTATTTTCTGTGTAAAGGGATAAGTGTAATTCTAATCATCCCCCGACCAATGAAAAAATCTACCAGTTATGAATGAATGAATGAGTGATACAAGGAAGCTTATTTATGAAGAAAAACGCATCTCAATACTTGATTGCAGCCTAAACGTGATTATTCAACAAAAAACAGTAAATATTTTAATGGATTAAAACAACTACTCAAAAATGTTTTTTTAAAAACAAAAGTTTGTATTTTTCACATTTTGTTTTTCATATTTTCAGTTTTCATTTAAATTGATTACTCTAGTCTAGTTTAAAATTTAAAGAAACATATTTGCAAGAATATTATAGTATTTATCATCTATATTCTCATTTCCCAATGAAATTGTAAATGCTGAGTTATAAATGTACTGCACCAAACACTAATAAAATACCAATCTCAAGCTTGTCAGCTGTACATGTACGGTACAGGGTACAGCAATTCCTTTGTGTACATAAATTCTAATTGGACGGCACCACCACAATCTGTATTTAACTTATTTACATTTTATTTATAGTTTCAATAAACATGTAAAAAAGTATTTTTTTTGTGTTCTACTCTCAAAATCCCTATTTTTTGTGTTCTACTCTCAAAATCTCTATTTTTTGTGTTCTACTCTCAAAATCCCTATTTTTTGTGTTCTACTCTCAAAATCCCTATTTTTTGTGTTCTACTCTCAAAATCCCTAGTTTTTGTGTATCTACTCTCATTTTTTGCTCTTGCAAAATATGTTTTGTCTCGTCATTGTCATTTCTTTTTAATTAAATTTCTAATAAAAATTCTTTCCCACTTGAAAATACCACGGTTTTAATCTCTTGATCTCACTCTTTCTCTTTCGGCCATTTTATTCCTTGAATTAAACTTCGCAACTTGTCAGCTAAACCAATAATGCATTGATTATTTTCTATTTCTCATTATTAGGATAACAGGGAACCCTGAGAAACAATTAATAAGATTTGACGCAATAATTTCGGAATTTCATTAGAATCTTATTACATTTCTTAAACTCTTAAAGAGAGAGTTTGCGAATTAAAAAACCGGTGGTCAAATGAACAACAATAGTAGTTGAACTCGGTCTGATAGTTAAATCACTTCTCATGTGCACTTGTAAATCGTTGCTATTCATCCTATTCATTAATACCATCTCGAAGTTTCCAATGAATGTTTAAGAGTCGATGGGGAAAGATTTAAATTAAATCCAGTTTTTACTTTACCCCTTTTTATTGATGCGGATATTTAGACTAGAAACATTTTGCATTAAGGTTAATTTGTTTATAGGAAACTAGTTCTTCATATAATTTACTAGCTGAAGGGCCCGGCGTTGCCCGTGGAAAAAAAAGAAAAATCAAATTTTAATTTGTTTAGCCTATAACACCCCCCGGCCACCAATGAGTGTCCAAAAAAACTTCAGTACAATCGGTTCAGCCTTTTGGCCGGCTATACGCAATATATATATATATATACGCAATATATATATATATACGAATGTCTTGTTTTATTTTATATATATTATTATTATATATATTTGAACCTTTTAGTTTTTACAGGTTATAATGAACGCATTACATTTTTGGGACCTTTTTCTTTCTATTCTCTTCCTTGTGGGAGACTAATTTAATTATGATGATGCACCCTTTAATTCTTCAATAATATCATGCGCTATAGCGCACTCCCTTTAAAGGGAGTGTAGACGTAATATCACGTGATTTGCTTGTTCCATACGCAACCGAACTAATTTTATCTTCATTTAGACTAAAATGGTGTTGTTCTCTAAAAAAGTGACTTAAGCCTGGATTTATACTGCTGGAAAAAAACGTTTTGGAATTAGAAGAATTTTCAGACAGATGAACGACGGTATCTTCCTCATATTTACTAACATATAGGTTTAAAGGGTACATTGTGAATACCGTAAATTGAAGTTTCCTATTACGAGAGATTATACAGTGATAACTAGAATACTCTGGAAAAGGAAGACGACTTGTAGACTCCAGTTATGACCTTAAATACACATGCCCATGGGACACAACAATTTTGAAGTGTGAACAGACCCATTTCACAAAATAAGTGATTTAATAGGAGTCTAGTCAAAATATTTTCTTTGTAACCACATCAAAACTTTGAGTATTGCCGTAAAGTCGTCTTCCTATTTCTTGAATTTCCTGGTTAACACTGTAGTGGGACAAGGTATCTTGTTATTTCTTGTTAGAACTGTTTAAACAACATTATACAAAGATTTATTAATATTGCTTTATTATACCTTGAAAAAGTTGTAGCTCTAGCTAACTAAATATTTACAAATATTTACTTAAAAAAAGAAAATATATAAGAATGAACATTGATGAATAAATGTAGCGTTTACATTTATATTATTGTCTTATTTGAAAAAGTAACTTGGAGCGTCCTGTAAACTCATTTCAAGTACCGGCCGACTTTTATGCAGCTAGAGCAAGTTGTACGGTACACACACAGATTATATAAAGAAAATCAGGACATTACACCAAATGAATCGGCCACTTTAGAGTAAAATTAATGTGCCGAATACCAACAAATTAAACGATATAAATGCATCAAACCCTAAAATTGATAACATATGTGCTGTTGGTAACCATGTAGTTGATAACATATGTGCTGTTGGTAACCATGTAGCTGAAAACATATATGCTGTTGGTAACCATGTAGCTGAAAACATATGTGCTGTTGGTAACCATGTAGCTGAAAAATAAATGGGGTTCATAATTCAAAGATTTCATTCAGATTTTGTCTGGCTTTTAAACGGGTAAAGCATAGATAAATTCTATTTACAATTTGTGAAAAACCCTTCCTTAGTGTTTTTTTTTAATAAAATTTATTATTTTTACACGAATTTCCTGATCTCAATTTTCAAGCTTTTTAGAGATGATCCATCTACGTATATGATATCAGCATATACATATATTAAACATTACCCCCCCCCCTCCTCCTCTCCTCCTACAAGAAAATTGGAGCAAAATTATCAATTTTCCTGGTGCCCTGCCGTTATGTACCCCCCCGGTTAAACCGTGCAGGTATAAATGTCGGAGTAAAACTTGTGGAATTATTTGTTGCCCCGTTAAATCTAGATTTTATCAAAGTTTATTAATAAATTCTACACGCCAGTAGTTATATATACACATCTAGACATACTGTCTATGCACCGTAGGCAGATACAGGGGGAGTCACAAAAACATGAGAATTCAGTAAAAAAATTTAAAACTATGAATGAATTTTGAATTCTGTATATTTCAGTCAACTTAAAAAATATTTACTCCAGAATATTTTTATTTTTTAATTATAAAGTGACTCCTGACTCATGTTTTATCGTGACTCCCTGCGTTGAGTGGAGAACTTGCATATCTAGCCTGGTCGTAAACTTAAAGGAAGAGCCTTTCAACATTCGACCTTTGATACAGATTCGTTTGAAGCAAACTAGAAAATTCAGGGAGCAATGCACCTCTTCTTGGAATAATATTCTTTTTGATCATAATTTTAATTCAACCTATAAACAAACCTAATAAACGTCAGCATGGTTGAACCAATTATTAGTAAACAGGGAGTTTTAGAACCGGTCTAAATAACAAAATTTAGCGTTAAACATTTGTATTTCAATTTTTTTACATTTTATTCAATAACAAAATGATAGAGTGAAAACTGACATTTAAAGGCTAAAATTGTCACAAATATTTCCACAAACGATTTTATATGTGACCCAACATATAAATCACACATCTATTTTTGGAAAACTGAATACGGTCAAGCCAGTTTTTTTCAGATTTAGCAATATTGCTGCAAGCTAAATTCATCATAAACAAAGTGTCATTTTTGGTCCCTTCCTTTCCTTCTTTTTTTTCTTTTCCTTCCTTTCCTTCTTTTCCTTCTTTTCCTCCTTTTCCTTCTTTTCCTTCTTTTCCTTCTTTTCCTTCTTTTCCTTCTTTTCCTTCTTTTCCTTCTTTTCCTTCTTTTCCTTCTTTTCCTTCTTTAATTTGTATATTTGAGGAATAATGTTGGTGTAATTACCCTCATTCCCTCATTTATCCTTGTAAACCTTATAATAAAACCCCGCCCGACTCCAACACACCACGCTATGTAAACCAAAGCTTAAGAAACCGACCTAAAGGGTGTACACCCCCTGAACCACTTTAAATGGACCTTTAAATATCATCTAAGAAAAACGCATCAAACTCTGCATGACCAAGTTTAGATGCAATTCATAGTTAGTACTGCTAATAAATAGGTTGGAAAACCTATGGTCCAATATTCTATAGGAATGTTACCCGTAGGTCAGTTGAGGATATACCAACCCGAGAAATACATCTAAATCTGTTGAAGAGTCCAGACTAGATAATTAAAAACATAGTAAATATATAATATATATAGTATGTACATGGTGTCCCAAAAAAACATGGGAATTCAGTGACGAATTCGATATCGTCTTTTTAAATAATTCTTTGATTTAATATAGTGGTACATACTGAGAAAGCTGTAATTTGTAAGAGTTTCGTCTGCTATGTCCACATTTTGTTTGTTTATGTTTTGACTGCATACGGTTGTACTTAGTAAAACAAAAAAATTACAGTATACAAAACAGAGTAAACTTGTCCGTCTTCACTGTTCATCTTGTGGAGACATTATAGACACATTACAGTCTTTTACCCTTTTCATAAAATAAACTCTATTATGGCTTTTGAAATTAGGTATTATAACGCTAATTCATAGCAACGACGATATCGAATTCGTCACTGAATTCCCAAGTTTTTTTGGGACACCCTGTACATATATAGGGAGGGGGACTAATCAAAACTAAACCAATCTTCATTAAAACCTAAATATAGGTTTATCAGCTTAATCAAGGAGAATGCATAATTGCAGGGCTAAAGATTAGACCTAGATTAGCCTGTATACAGTGTATCCTGTATAGTTTAGGCAACCATCTATCAACTAAATGGACTCTAAGATGTGAGATATAAAATTTATTCTTTACAACTAGACTGAATCAAGTTATAAAGCCGTTCTCAAATGTTTTCATTGTTCATTAACATTCATACCATAAATATAAAATGTTCTTCGTTTATTTCTTCAATTCAGTTTTAAAGACAGTTGTTGAAGCCTGCATGTAAATGACGATACCATTTTTTGACCAAGAGAATATATCTCTTTTATTCTAAATACGGTACGTTCTGTCACCATCTGGGTCAAAATCCAGAGGGTTCTATATCCATTACGTTCTATATCCATCTGGGTCAAAATCCAGAAAGTTCTATATCCATTACGTTCTGTATCCATCTAGTTCTAAATACATCACGTTCTGTGCTTTATCCATTACGTTCTGTATCCATCTGGTTCAAAATCCAGTACGCTCTATATCCATTACGTTCTGTATCCATCTAGTTTAAAATACATCACGTTCTGTGCTTTATCCATTACGTTCTGTATCCATCTGGTTCAAAATCCAGAACGTTCTAAATCCATCTGGTTCTAAATACATCACGTTCTATATCCATTACGTTTTGTGTCCATCTAGTTCTAAATACATCACGTTCTGCGCTTTATCCATCACGGTCTGTATCCATCTGGTTCAAAATCCAGTACGCTCTATATCCATCACGTTATGTATGTAGATGGTTCTAAATACATCACGTTCTTTATCCATCACGTTCTGTATCCATCTGGTTCAAAATCCAGTACGCTCTATATCCATCACTTTCTGTCTCCATCTGGTTCTAAATTCATCACGTTCTTTATCCACCATGTTCTGTCTCCATCTTGTTCTAAATTCATCACAATCTGTAATCATCACGTTCCAAATCCATCAAGTTCTCAAGCCGTTACGTTCTTATTCCATCAATTTCTAAATCTATTACGTTCCGAATCCAACAGTTTTTAAATTTTTTATCCATCGAATACACCACGCTTCAAATATATCGTTTATTATATCAAGCACGTTATAGAAATATATATCTTACTATTTACTTATCATTATTCATTCTTTACGTTCTATATTCAACATGTTAAAACTCACGTACATGCTGTATCCATGCAGAACGTTCTAAATAAACACATCTTTCATTTCATTTATAATATTTATCGTGAAAATTTTGGTATCTATGAGTTTGATTCATGAATGTCAACGAGTCAAAAATTTAAAAATGTTAATAGATTTATCATTTATAATTGTTGTGGGTAAGTACATTGTGGTATTTTTATTTTTATTTGTTGTGTTAAATATATCCATATATATCCAGTATCGATGGGAAAGATATTTTTTAAGTTGAAAATATCCAATATCCATATATACCATATCGATCATGGTCTGAATAGAATCTATGGAAAGGTCTTCCGTAGGTCAATTGAGACCATGTATATATTCATATTAATCTTAGGACCTCTAGCTGGGCTTAAATATAATAATATAAGTTTGAAATATCAAAGATTTACGACATTGGGTTCCAAAGAAATAGGGATTATAAATTAAGAGTTTGTGACAAAGACTCAATTCCTTTATAATGTCCATATTTCTATCTTTCAATCATAAAAATAAATTTTCTAATTTCGTGCCCAAAAAAAGTGCAAAATCTCAAACCCTTTTAGCTATTTCTATCATTCTAAGCAATTTTTCAAAGTTGTATTATATTCTATCAGACACAACGATAGGGGTACGTCTCCTCTTATAGAATAACCCTCTAAAACTCCACGGTTAGATTGTAACGAAGGTTTGTATGTAACTTTAAATAGTAATAGATCCTGGGAAATCTTGGTTGAATTAACGCAATTTTATTCGGTATTTCAAGTCATGCAGTAACCCAGGGAGCAGGAGAGCTGGAATTTAGAAGAGGGATTGGTGTTAATAGAACAAAAGAAAATAGTGAAGAGAGGGGAGGGGGGAGGGGTTCTATTGTTTTGGTCTTAATAGTTCTAAACTAACATTCCAAACATAAAAAGTGGGAGAGAAAATTTAGTTTATTTCATTCTTTGCATGAAGAGTCAAGGATGTAATGCAAGGAAAGTTGTACACATCTTTTTCACTGCAGTGTACTGTCTCTGGGCGCTAATGTAAACACAAGACAGATGTCGAAGCCTGACATGGGATCCATCTTTCACATAAAAAATCAATGAAATATTCTGGTCATAGGAAAATATTATGTCAATTATCAAAATTATCAAAATTAACAGCTTTTAACCTCCTCGGATACTAAACGAACACTGATGCATCTATTCTTGTTTACAAATTCCGCCCAGAGAAAACTGGTTTCAACATGTACGCAGAGTATACGCGACCGCAATAAATTTTCCTTGCATTACATTCTTGGGAATTCAGTGACGAATTCGATATCGTCTTTTTAAATAATTCTTTGATTTAATATAGTGGTACATACTGAGAAAGCTGTAATTTGTAAGAGTTTCGTCTGCTATGTCCACATTTTGTTTGTTTATGTTTTGACTGCATACGGTTGTACTTAGTAAAACAAAAAAATTACAGTATACAAACAGAGTAAACTTGTCCGTCTTCACTGTTCATCTTGTGGAGACATTATAGACACATTACAGTCTTTTACCCTTTTCATAAAATAAACTCTATTATGGCTTTTGAANACTATATCTAACTATACTATGGTGTGGTATACACTATATCTAACTATACTATGGTGTGGTATATACTATATCTAACTATACTATGGTGTGGTATACACTATATCTAACTATACTATGGTGTGGTATAAACTATATCTAACTATACTATGGTGTGGTATACACTATATCTAACTATATTATGGTGTGGTATACACTATATCTAACTAATACCCTACTATGGTGTGGTATTAACTATATCTAACTATTCTATGGCGTGGTATACATTATATCTAACTATTCTATGGCGTGGTATACACCATATTTAACTATTCTATGGTGTGGTATACACTATATCTAACTACCCTACCATGGTGTGGTATACACTATATCTAACTATACTATGGTGTGGTATACAATATATCTGACTACCCTACTATGGTGTGGTATGAACTATATCTAACTATACTATGGTGTGGTATACACTATATCAAACTAGCAAACAATCCTAGTGAATTTCAATTAAGGTTGGCTAGGTCTCGTTTAATGATATTTTCACCATATTTGATATCTCATGATTCACATTTGATTGGAGGCCCCCTGCCTCCTTCCATGGGTATTAACTGCTACTGCCAGATATAATATTTAGACAGATAGTTACATAAAAAACACACGTTTTCGTATCTAGTGAAAAACTGTTTTGTTTATGAATCATAAAGCATATAGTATATTATGCATATGATAAAATTGTTTTCGCATGCATTTTAAATAAAAGTTAAAAAACACAACTTTAAAATTTATAGATTTAAAGTTGAGTACAGATTGACACTGAACTGGTTAGTAGTCAGTCCTGGGTGCTTCCTAATGATCTCACTTTCCATCTTTCCTTATGATCTCCCTTTCCATCTTTCCTATTGATCTCCCTTTCCATCTTTCCTAATGATCTCCCTTTCCATCTTTCCTAATGATCTCCCTTTCCATTTTTCCTAAAGATCTCTCTTTCCATCTTTCCTAATGATCTCCCTTTCCATCTTTCCTAAAGATCTCCCTTTCCATCTTTCCTAATGATCTCCATTTCCATCTTTCCTAATGATCTCCCTTTCCATTTTTCCTAATGATTTCCCTTTCCATTTTTCCTAATGATCTCCCTTTCCATCTTTCTTAATGATATCCCTTTCCATCTTTCCTAATGATCTCCCTGTCCATCTTTCCTAATGATCTCCCTTTCCCTGCTCTTACCCAATCTCATCTTTACTCCCTCATTTTTTTCTCCTTTTTAAACTTATTTTTCTTCTAGGATTTGGTATATCTTCACTGAAGTATTGAAGTCGTTAATATTGATATATACATCTGTTCACTGGATTACAGGATAAAAAATAATAACAGGTTAGGGAAGTTTAGAAAACTAATTTCCAAGGTTTATTATGACAGTTAAACCACTTTCATATCGTACAATCAGATGTAGGAATTATGTCTTACAAATTTTCAATATTTTTTCACTTAGATGAAATACATCCTCTGATCGATACTGCCCCTCCCCCCCCCCTTCCTTTCTGTCATGAAATATCAAGTTCAGTTCTTATCCTAAAATCAAACTGTGAACTCTATCCCTTGTATCTAAATGTTCTGGGACTCTTATTATTTAGTTTTAAAACATTGCATTTTCTCAGGCAAAATAGCAAATTGTAATTTGTTTAAAAAACGGTTAAAATACCAGGTTCCATAGAAACACATTTAACAGATTCTTAAACCATATATACCAGGTTCCCTAGAACCATACATACCAGGTCCCTAAGAATCACATATATCAAATTCTTTAGAACCATAAATATTAGCTTCCTAAGAACCACATATACCAGGTTCCTTAGAACCATGCATACTAGGTTCCTTAGAACCATACATACATACTAGGTTCCTTAGAACCATACATACTAGGTTCCTTAGAACGATTTATGCCAGGTTCCTTAGAGCCACGTATACCAGGTTACTTAGAACCATACATACTAGGTTCCTTTATAGAACCATACATACCAGGTTACTTAGAACCATACATACTAGGTTCCTTAGAACTACAGATACCAGGTGACATTGAACCATATATACCAGGTTCCTTAGAACAACACGTTTCCAGTTCATAAGAACCATATTAAGAAGGTTCCTTGGAAACACATAAACCAGGTTGAAAAGAACAATATTTACCAAGTTCCTTAAATCCATGTATAAGTTCGTTATAATCATATATACCAGGTTCCTTAGAACCTTATATACCAGGTTCCTTAGATCCATGTATACCAGGTTCCATAGAACCATATTTTTGCAAAAAATTAATATAAAGATTGGTAGATTGTACATGCTTAATCTTATTCCGTTATACGTGCTAAAGTTTAAAAATCAATTATTTTGTTATGCTGCACCTCCATCTTTCTAAATTTATCCCTGCCTTATTGTAAACTTTCAAAACCTAGTAATATTCATCATATTGTAAACGTTTTGATATCAATTAGATGGGGATAATACCCAAAACAGCGGAAGCTAACCTCCACGTTATTGCTTTAAAACATACATATAGAAAACAATATGAAAATAGTTTTTGCCTGTAACATTCTAACTTGTAAGTGTATTTTTAGCAATAAACCATATCTTGCCTTATCTTATCTTATCTTAAATACCAGGTTCCTTAGAACCATATATATACTAGAATCCTTAGAACCATATATACAAGGTTCCTTAAAACCGTATATGCAAAGTTCAAAAGAACCATATTTACTAGGTTCCTTAGAACCATTTAAACCAAGTTCCCTAGAACCATACATACCAAATTCCTTAGAATTATGTATATCAGGTTTATTAGAACCACATATACCTGGTTCCTTAGAACCATCCATATATGCCATGTTCCTCAGAACCATATTTACTAGGTTCCTTAGAACTATAGGTACAAGGTTCCTAAGAACCATACATACCAGGTTCCTCGGAACCACATATACCAGGTTCCTCGGAACCACATATGCCAGGTTCCTTAGAACCATATATACCAGGTTCCCTAGAACCATATATACCAGGTTCCCTAGAACCACATATGCCAGGTTCCTTAGAACCATATATACCAGGTTCCCTAGAACCATATATACCAGGTTCCTTAGAACCACATATAACAGGTTCTTTAGAAGCATATATACCATATTTTTTGGAACCATATGTAAGAGGTTCCTTAGAACCATATATATACGAGGTTTCTTAGAACCCTACATAACAGGTTCTTTGTAACCATATATACCTGGCTCCTTAGAACCATAAATACCAGGTTCCTAAGAGCCATTTATACCAGGTTCCTTAGAACCATATATACCAGGTGCCTAAGAACCATTTATAACAGGTTCCTTAGATCTATAGATACCAGGTTTCTTAGATCCATACGCACAAGGTTCCTTAGATCTGTATATACCAGGTTTCTTCGAACAATATCTACCAGGTTCCTAAGAACCATATATACCAGTTTCCAAATAGAACTAGAAATATTTGGTTCCTTGGAAATATATATATGTATGCCAGGTTCCTTAGAACTATATATATATACCAGGTTCCTTACAACTATGAATATTATGTAGGTTTCTTAAAACTATATATACCAAGCTCCTTGAAACCATGGATTGAAAATAGAAGATAAAAATTCTTCAAATTTTGCTGTTCTTATTTTCTTGATAAGCGATGACAGCAATGTTTAATGTAACGATATGATTGCATGATTTAAACTAAACCATCTTCATTCATTATTAATTCCAGCGTTATCCATAGATCGAATCTTCTATCGGTGGACAGAAGTCGACGCAGAGAACGTTCTTCTTACGGACAGCCTACGTCGAAAGGGCGACTGGAGGGATGATTATGACTAGAAACATCTTGCGACCGACCTTTTTTCCTCCGGACATATCTTGCATAAGTTAGAAGTCGGACCAGAGTTAATAGAGGATTCCTGCTCGGAGTAGAAAGCTGGAAAGAAGAAACTCTGGAAGACGACAAGTAAACAAATCAAGAAAATATGAACGCTCTAGGTAATTTTATTCAGAAAAAAAAACATATATAATGTTAACGCTGTGTTCCAAATAGCTTTACAGAAACCAGATTGTCCAAATTATCCAAAGTTTTATTCCTATAAAAACGTTCTCAACAGTTCCCAACGACTTCTAGCTATATCAGTTTTCTCGAAATTCACTTATCCAGGGCCGTAACTGAAGGGGGACAAAACGGCTCTTGCCCCCCCCCCCCCCCCCCGGCTTACTGAAAAATAAAATTCAAGGTGGTTTTTACAGTAACAGGTCTTTTCTACCCCCGTTTAACCTGTGTCCCCCACCACTGCGAAAATTTTCAGTTACGCAGTTACGGGCCCGCACTGTACAAACTTTATCTAATCATGCAGTGTCACTTCCTGTTTTTATCACAAAATGTTGCTCTGTTACCTTTCTAAGTTTTAAATTTTTATTGTTTAGTTACTGTTGGGTGCAGTTTGAATAGTACTGGTATACATCAGAACCCGAGCAATAGAAGCAATCAGCCGAGGTAAGCAATGGTATACTGGTATACATCAGAACCCGAGCAATAGAACCAATCAGCCGAGGTAAGCAATAGTATACTGGTATACATCAGAACCCGAGCAATAGAACCAATCAGCCCAGGTAAGCAATAGTATACTGGTATACATCAGAATCCGAGCAATAGAACCAATCAGCCGAGGTAAGCAAAAGTATACTGGTATACATCAGATCCCGAGCAATAGAACCAATAAGCCGAGGTAAGCAATAGTACTGGTATACATCAGAACCCGAGCGAAAGGTGCAATCAGCCGAGGTAAGCATTAGCGCTGGTATATACCAAAACTCAATCAATAAGAGCAATCAGCCTAGGTGAGCAATAATGCTGGTATAAATCAGAACCAGAGCAATATGAGCAATAAGCCAAGGTAAGCAATAGTACTGGTATACATCAGAACTCAAGCAAAAGGAACAATCAGCTTTGGTGAGCAATAGCGCTGGTATATACCAAAACTGAATCAATAAGAGCAATCAGCCTAGGTGAGCAATAATGCTGGTATACATCAGAAATCAAGCAATTTGAGCACTCAGCCTTTGGCAATAGTTCTGGTATAAACCAAAATCCAAGCAATGGAGCAATCAACATGAGATCCCGAGTAGTAGGAGCAATCATTCTAGGTGAGCAAATATTCTGGTGTAAACCAAAATTCAAGCAATAGAAGCAATTTGCCAAGGTGAGCAAAGATTTGGTATAAAATAAATGCCCAGCAATCGGAGCGATCAACCTAGGTGAGCGATTGTACTGGTACAAACTAAAACCCAAGTTATTGGGACAATCAACCTTTCATTTACATTTTTCTCTCTTGAAATTGAAGAACACCCAAGGAAACAGGAGTAAGGTGCAAGAACCCAATTTTTGCACTTATTTAAGTGCAAATATTTCTAGTAAGCACTTTCATTGATGACATATCAGTCGATTTTTTTTTTTGTGGGTTGCAATTCATTATTTAATTATTTGGCTTAATATTCATCATATCATAAATCAACATGAATACATCAAATAGTAATTGATTTGAATTTAAATCAGTCCAAATATCTTCATTATTTCCAAATCGATGAATTGATTGATTCACTTATACGTATATATATTTATCTATATATATATATATCTTAGACCTGGTAAACCTGGTTGCTATATATCTATATATATTTTAGAACTGGTTAACCTGGTTGCTATATATCTATATATATTTTATGCCTGGCAAACCTGGTTGCTATAAATCTATATATATCTTAGACCTGGTAAACCTGGTTGCTATATATCTATATATATTTTAGACCTGGTAAACCTGGTTGCTATACATCTATATATATATATTTTAGACCTGGTAAACCTGGTTGCTATATATCTATATATATCTTAGACCTGGTAAACCTGGTTGCTATATATCTATATATATCTTAGACCTGGTAAACCTGGTTGCTATATATTTATATATTTTATACCTGGTAAACCTGGTTGCTATACATCTATATATTTTAGACCTGGTAAACCTGGTTGCTATAACCGTGCAATGAGTTGCAGTGCGCTTCTCAAAAGAAGAAGAAGTTCATCTTCAGGACAAAACAAATAATAATTAGATTAAAAATAATAATTATCACAAATAAAGATAACTTATAGATAAATCATAATCACATCAATAAATATTCATTTTTGTCTATTATTGCCTATGGGATACCAATAAGACATTGCCCTCTGTTTACATTTAGTCCTTTCCAACTATATAGTTCCTACTATTATAACATTGCATAAAAGTACAATAGACCTCAGGTATGTATCTAAACGTGATCCAAACCAACTTAATTATAATTAAATCATAATATGTCCTTCATATTGTTACAGTAAATCTCTTAACGGGGCGGTGAGCGTAGTTTTAAGTAAACTTTCATTAAAAGAGGGGTATCCCTGATTACCGATTTACAACGGTATCCTTTTAACCTTGGACGGATCAAGGATTCGCAACAGTATCTTTACACCTTTGACTAATCAAGGATTCACAACGGTACCCTTTAAACCTTGGACTGATCAAGGATTCACAACGGTACCCTTTAAACCTTGGGCTGATCAAGGATTCACAACAGCACCCTTTAAACCTTTGACGGATCAAGTATGTCAGTCTTATCCTAGTGAATATACTGAATATACTGAAATTCTTTTAATTGTTAAAAACTTTGTATGCAAGCTGTTTTATATTTGAGAAATAGTATAAATACCTTCTAGAAGCTGTTTTATATTGTAGAAATATGTATAATTACCTTCTAGAGCTGTTTTATATTGTAGAAATATGTATAATTACCTTCTAGAGCTGTTTTATATTTTAGAAATATGTATAATTACCTTCTAGAGCTGTTTTATATTTGAGAAATATGTATAATTACCATCTAGAAGCTGTTTTATATTGTAGAAATATGTAAAATTACCTTCTAAGAGCTGTTTTATATTTGAGAAATATGTATAATTACCATCTAGAAGCTATTTTATATTTAAGAAATATGTATAGTTCTAGAACCTGTTTTATATTGAAAAAATATGTATAATTACCTTCTAGAGGTGGTAGAAAATAAAATTACTTATAACGTTGTGAGCCGAACAAAAGGGATAATACTCGAAAGAGGGAAATAAGGCGAGTTGGCAAGGAAAACACTCTTTTCTACCAGACACAGATAGATGATAACTTCTTGAAAAAGTATATTTCAGTAACGAGGTTTCCTACAAAATACAAATTGTTATTGGCGTACATGCATATAAATAATAATTGTTAATAAAGATTAAACAGTTGAAGGTTTTATCAATAAATGAGTATTAAACAATTGGTTTAGAAACATGTACCATTGAGAATTGAACAAAGGCTTAAAGGTATTGGAATTCTAGGTCTTGTAGGTTTAGCAGGATTGGAGATTTTAGGCTTATTAGGTTTAGCAGGATTTGGGGATCATATTTTATTGCTGTTGTAAATCGATAAATGAAGTGTTTAATGGCACTGATTAATAAAAGGTTTAAAAGGTACTGTTGTGAATTAGGTATATGGAACTTACAATCTAGAAAACTGTGGCACGGCGAAAAGTTGTTTGAACTGAAGTCTAAGGCAATTTAATTCTTCTGAAATGAATATTTATCTGGTTAAAGTAATTTCACTGTTTATTTGTAAATGATTCACTGAAATTAGGTTTAAATGGGTTCTTTTAATGCACTTTAAGTTTTATTAGCTCCATGAGGTTATTGTTTATATTTATGCAAAATCCTTGGCAAGGTTTGGTTTGGTGGGTGGACGGAGTATTCAACGGAGGTACAGTTTATCGGAGACGACTTTTACAACAGGGTTACATTAGGGGTATGGTTCACAAACGTATAACAAATATTTTCAAAGAATGCAAGTAGCGGATCAGCTGTGTTGAGTGTACACTGTACGCAGCGTACACAGGTTTCAGAACGACTCAACATTTATTCAAAAGGTTTATATACAGACCTCTCACTACTCTATGAACAATCAAAGGTTGAAAGGGTACCGTTGTAAATCGAGTATCGTCCTGTGTGAAAGTATGCATACAGTCCCTTTAAATGTATGAAAATAGATCGCCAGTTTAGCTTATATTACAATAAAGTAGTAAACATTCATAGTTATACCACAGTGCCTATTTTTTTCTCTTATTGTATATTAACTTAAAAATAAACTTTTGCAATCAAAAAAAAAATATTCAAACGCACAGATCTAGAAATTTACTTGGTATTCGTGCGTATTCACAATGCTAGTTGAAGGTAGCATTGAGAGATTAGATTTCAATTAATTCAATGTCTTCGCGTTAAATCATGAACAGTCCATATATGGACCGAGTTCTTACATGCTAGCTTACAGACAATATTAACATTTATTCAGGAATTCTAATATTCTCATTTATCTCCAGTTATTCAAAAGACGGAAAGTGTTAAAAAATGTACATTTTCACAAATTGACGCTACCATTTTAAAATGAGCTTCTAGAGATAAATCTTCTTTTTTAAATATATATTTGATGAGAAAATAATTGATTCAAATAACTAGAGGGCATTTAATGAAACACGATAATAAACACTTCTAAATACCGATGAAATACAGGAAACTCATATTAATCTTTTCGATCACCAGCATTTTGATAAAAGTAATTCATGTGAATCCATAAAACAGAATTAACAGATTTTTCTTCAATTCTGAACTAAAATCAATAAAAGTTACATTTTTGCTTATTACAGTTTTCTAGAAAAAACAGGATAAAATTATTTTTATGTTGGATTGCAGTGTCTAAATATAACAGTCGGAGCACCGACGGATCCCCACAAGAAAGAAGAAGGTAAAATTTATACAAAATTTGTTTAGGTGTCTTTTTTGTTTGTTTGGATGTAGAATCATAAATCAGGACCGGTTTGACTCAAAGACTCTCTATTCTCCATAGAGAGAGTTTTGGTTTGACTATAATTTAGTCTTTGCCACTAAATCTGATTTTCTAATCTTTGCAATCAATTGCAGTAAACCTTAGGTATTTCAAACTTTGCATTTTGTTAGCTCCAATAATCTAGGTTAAAATATCAAAGGTTGCAAAGAAATAGAATTTCTGAAAATTTGAGTTTGTGGCAAATACTCAATTCCTTTTCTTAGTCTGGTTAATAATATTTAATTTTAGAAAGTTTTAAAGGGGAAAGTCCATGACAAATTGGATTTACAGGCTATAGGTCATAGATAAGACAGTATTAAAGCAAAATGTATGTTTATTAAGTTTCTTAATGAAAACAAAACCAAAAAAACCAAAAACAAAAGCATAAAACAATTTTTTGTTGAGGCACTTATCGTTAACATCAATCCATTATCATCGAAACAAAAAGATGAAACTTTGTTTAGTCTTTTGTTTCAACAATGTTTTTATGATTTATTTTTTATTATTTTTGTAAAATAAAATGGTACGAGGTTTTGTTAATAATTTCAAATGTTCATCAATCATCTTTTTTCTCCTTTCTCGATCTGTGCGTCCACAGTTTCTCTTTTTCTTGTCTCCCTTTGGCCGTCCATTTATGGGTTTAGTTTTTGTAAAAAGCATAATTACGCATTTGGAGATAAGCTGCAAATTTATCGAGCTTAACGCCATCTTAACCCCTTACAGACCAAGTAAATTTTAAGTAGAATTCTCAGCCGATAAGCATTGGAAATCATAAAATGAATAAAATTCCCTCTGTAATCTCTTTTTATTTACAAAAATGACGCAAAATTAAATAAAATTGCAATGTATTGTAAATCCATGAGAAGGTAAGGCGCTTAAAATTCATTCACGGTCCTTCTATAATCCAATATACATATATAAATGGCTTGTCTGTCTGTTTGTCTGTCTGTTTGTATCCAATAAACGTCAAAACGGCTGAACCGATCGGGCCTAATTTTTTTGTGGGACATCTAGGGACCCCAGGGAATGTTTATGAATGATTGAAATTTTAAATATTTGTCTCCATCAAATTTCGATCGTCATTAAATTTTTTAAAATTTTGGAAATCCACGAAATTTTTTGTGAAAATCCACGAATTATTTTTGTTTTGTTTTACGATGTACACAAAGAGAACATGTTCACAATTAATTTAGAAGAGGGGCGCGAAGCGCCCTCTAAGGCTAGTATGTAATATAAGTCTGTATTAAGAACTGCATTTCCAGATCAGACAATCAAACGCTAAGCTCCTAATTTATAATTCGAGAATACAAAAATTTCATTTGAAAAATAAATCTTTGGCACTTTTTCAAGTTTGAGGCAAAAACAATTCAGAAAGTGTAGGATTTTTAGAGAAAAAAACTTTATTGTTGTTGTTGTTTATTTTTGTTTTAAAAATAATAACGTTTTTATAGATATTATGCTACGAAGAACGAGGAGTCTGTGGGGGGGGGGGGGACAATTTGAATATATTTATTCTTGCTCTCTAAATTGGGTTTAGATATGTCCATGGCACCGGCAATTAATTACAGATTATAAGAATCTGTTCTTGTCTGAGGACAGGTTGATTAGAAGATTAAAGACGGTAATTAATCGGTTTTAGCCTTCTACTTAACAATTTAACTAACTTATTAACTGATTATCCTGAGAAGTGGAGCCAGTTCAGTAAATGTCGTCTTTGATTTAAATTTATGTTTGACAAAGTGTCTGTTCCTTGAAAACAACTTCATTAAAAGAATATTTTTTGATTGGTGTATCCGATCTCTTTCAACCATTGTTCAGGATGAAAGACTTATCCTTATTATAATCTATGAAAAATAGATTTTTTTGAATTTGATATAAAAATTTCTTTCGGATTCATGCTGCAGACACATTGAAGGCAATTGTCAGAATTCCACGCGTTTTAAAATAGAATACCGACGATAGCTTTAAAAGGAGGAATTGGCAAAATGTTTTCATTTTTTTTTTCAAAAAATTGTAAAATAATATTTCTTCATCAAATGTATCTTTAACAATCTGGATCTTAGATTATTCAGTGGGAGTAGAAACAGTTCTAAACACACATCTCCTGTAAAGAAGGAGGTTTTGAAGGAGAAGGCACGCCGACAAAGATCATTTAATGTTGTCCAGCATAATGATAGAGTACAGGAGGGGTCAGCTTCTCCGGGAACAGAATTCTCCAGAGTAAATATTATCGACAGTGAAGGAGGTAAAAAAAAAACTATTTATTTAATCAACCTGCATAATCAGACATTTTTTAAGGTTTTGACGAAACTTATTTTGGATGCTCAAGGCCTAAATCACTAAACAAGAACCCATCAGTACAATTTACAAAATCCGCATCTATGAACAGTATAACCCGACCCAACAATCCACTGAAAGAAAAATGTTTGAAAAAACGAAATACAGTTGTACCAACTGTTGAACTAGGTTTAAGGTTGGATCTTACACCTGTACTTGAACCAAGGGTTGATAAACCCCTATTGGTTGATGCACTCGTCCTAAACGGACTCACTCCAATTGTAGAAAACTGCATTCTTAATCCAATATCAGAGAATGATCTGAAAATAAAGAATAGTAGCAAAACCAATCTTCGTACTCCTTCTCATTTGGTGAACTATGGTAGAGAAACCCCGCTGAAGCGTCTGGGATCACTTCAACTTGAACTGTTAGACATTCCGAAATCGAAATCGAAATCTATCAATACAGAATCTTCAAATAGTTGTCTTCGTACATCTCCAATCACGTCATTTGAGATATTTACACCAAGGTCAGTTAGAAATTTATAAAGTTTACAGGTTTATAGAGAGAATCAGAAAACTATGGATTAAGAAGACGAACGACTTTTATACTCAAGTTATGGTTATGACCTAGAATAGTCCGATAAACATAAGACATAATAATTGTGCAGTGTAAACAGACACCATTCAACCCAATAATCAATCTCTTAAGATATTAGTAAAACAGTTTACTTTGTAACAACAAAAAATATGCTTTAGTATCGCTTTAATATCGCCTTCATGTTCCACAGGATTCTGATTCTTACTGTTATTCTGGCAGTTCTAAGTTCCTTTTAAGGAAAAATTCTAATCTGGTGAATACAATTTAAAAAAATATTCTCCAGTTCTTAATTTCTTTATTATGGTAATATACATGTTCTAATGTTTTCTTAATATATTTTGATTAGTCCTGATGTATCCTTGATATATTTTGATTATTTCTGATGTATCCTGAATATTTTTGAGTAGTTCTGATGTATCCATCATATATTTTAATTAGTTCTGATGTATCCTATGATCTCTGGTGTTCAACTACTGGTTCTCCTCAAGTTCTCCGACCCAGTGTGTCTAATATATCCTTGAAAACTAACTATCCAACAACAACCCTTGTAAACAGCTCATCTTCTCATCAAAACAAACCTCAGGGAAATTTACGTTTATTATGCCAAAAAGTGTCCAAAAGTAAAGAAAAAAAATGTTCAAGAAAGGGGAAAGAATCTTATTATTTGCTTCAACATTTGCTTATTTCTAAGTATTTGAAAACTAAAAAGAATAACAATAATCAAAATGATAAAAAACGAAAACCAAAAGTGAAAAAGGGACTTCATAACAAGAGTGAATGATACAGTGAGAATCAGAAAACTGTGGAAGAAGACGTTATAGCAATCCTAAAGAGTATTTGATATTGCTACAAAGCAAAAAAGGTTTTATTAGTTGCTCGTTCAGTCTCAATTTGCTACTTGAGTCTAAAAGTTTTTATTCCAGAGTTTTCTGGGTTCTCAATGTAGAAATAAATGTGTAACAAGCTATGAACATTAATAGAAAATGAAAGAAAGAACTTATTTAAATTAAGAAGTTGTTTAGAATGTAAAAGGTTGAAAATTGAAATATAAATAAGCTAACTTTTTCTGCTGTAGACTAACAAGTGTATTTGCTTCTATTATACTTGACGGGGTGCAGACCAAAAATGTTTTATTTACATAAATTTGTAGCAGGGTAGTTGTACTGCTTATTGTACTGGCTCCTGTAATGCACACTGTACAGCATGTAGTAAACAAACAGAGAGAACAGCCCTCATTCGATTAAAACCCACCAAACAGAAGAAAGTGACAATAAAAAGGAATTCAAACAATTCAAAATTTTTAAAGCACTGTAAAATGCCCTTTTCTTTTCTTTGCGACCATTTTTTGTTAATCAAGAAAAAAATATCAAAGATTTTCTTTAATTATTTTACTGAATATTTAGAACTCTGAAGAAACTTTTTTCAAAACTTAAAGACGATATTTTGAATTGAAGAAATTCTAGAAGAATTAATATCACAAAGTTTCATATTCACTGTGCTGTAGGTTAAACAATTAATTAATATATTTGTTATAAATTGTAAAAGAAACTAATTACTCGCCTTGAACTCTAACTTTCTATCCTTCATGCAGATATCAAAGGTTACACCATACGGTTTCAAAGATACAGGGATTAGAAAATTAGAGTTGGAGACGAGTGATAATGGTTTCTTTTTTCAGGTATGGTTGGGTTTGTTTTGTTCTGGACACTGATTCTTCTCCGAATCTTCCTCCCATCATCCTACTGGACCTGGACATCTACAGATATTTCAGGTTTCATAATTATATAAGATACTTTCTCAAGACCGCGGCGGTTCCCGTGGAATTTTAGAAACAACATTTTGATTTTTTTAGCCTACCCATGGGTTCCCTCAAAAATGTTCATCCAATTTAAGGTCCATATAAGAGACTTTCTGAAGTGCCCAGTGGTTTCCGCGGAATTTTAGCCTACCCATGGGTTCCCTCAAAAATGTTCATCCAATTTAATTGGTCCAGTCGTATATACAAATATACAAATATTTGAGAATTAGGATATATCTTTCGGACCGATTCTAATTATCAATACAATATAATATATGTATAAAATAGTGATCTCTGTCTGTTTCTGTTTGTTTGTATTGAGGAACTTGGTAAAAGTTTTCCAGCAAGGCTTAAGACGTCTAAAATGAGTATATTGACGTCTATGTATAGGTTTAAGACGTCTAAAATGAGTATGTTGACGTCTATGTATAAGTTTAAGAGGTCTAAAATGAGTATATTGACGTCTATGTATATGTTTAAGAGGTCTAAAATGAGTATATTGACGTCTATGTATAGGTTTAAGAGGTCTAAAATGAGTATATTGACGTCTATGTATAGGTTTAAGAGGTCTAAAATGAGTATATTGACGTCTATGTTAAAGTTTAAGAGGTCTAAAGATGACTGTAAAAAAAAATTGAACCAATTCTAAACGTTTTAGGCATTCATTCAAATCATAGCAGAATGTGCACCATAAATGATCATCAGTTTTCTCGGATTTTTCCATAAAGGAATTGAGTCTTTGCCACAAACTCTGATTTTTAAATCTCTATATCTTTGCAACCTAATGTTGTAAACCTTAGATTTTTCAGTATATGAATTCTTTTAGAAGAAATATCAATGGTTTACATACCCTGCAGGTTGTGAAGATATAGGGATTAGAAAATTTGAGCTTGTGGCAAAGCTTCGACCTAAAGTAAATGTTCTCGCATTTAAAGCATCTATCAAAGTCCGGTGGAAAACAAAGCTATATTTATTCATATTTAAAAATTCTATAAAGATTGAAAACCCTATATTTATCCATATTTAGGGACTCTATCTAAGTCCTGGAGGAACTGGAAAGAGTTCGCCAGGTTTAGTCCTCATCTTGAGATAGATACCTCACACAAAAACCAAGAGTAGAGAAGGGGTTCGCGATATTAAATAGAGATTTCGATCTTATGACTGAATAGTATTTTTGTTCCTGTCGTTCTAATTGTCACCAAAATTATTTAATATTCAAAATGTATTTCTTTAGGAAAAGATAATAAATATTAAAATAAAACACATGTTTAGAAATTGATGCAGATGGGTTCGATGTTTGGGCTCATTAGCTAGCAAACTAGAGTCTGAGGAAATACATGTAAGAAAAGAAGGTGAGATAATGCGAAGACGGAGATGTCAAAGTAGAGTTGGGAAGAAGATGAGGGAAGAAGTGGAGAGAATGAAAAGGTGAGTAGAGGTCAGAGTTGAGACGAGGAGAAGACTAGAAAAGAAGGAGAGGTCAGAGAAGAGACAGGATTTGACGGGAGGAAAAGAGACGGGAAGTGATGGGAAGAGAAGAGACGGGAAGATACTGGAAGAGACTGGAAGAGACTGGAAGAGACTGGAAGAGACTCGAAGAGACTCGAAGAGACTCGAAGAGACTGGAAGAGACTGGAAGAGACTGGAAGAGACTGGAAGAGACTGGAAGAAACTGGAAGAGATTGGAAGAGACGGGAAGAGACCGGAAGAGACTGGAAAAGACTGGAAGAGGCTGGAAGGGAAGAGAAGAGACAGGAAGAGAAGAGACGGGAAGAGACTGGAAGAGACTGGAACAGACTGGAAGAGAATGAAAGAGACTGGAAGAGACTGTAAAAGACTGGAAGAGACGGGAAGGGAAGGGGAGGGAAGGGAAGGGAAGGGAAGGGAAGGGAAGAGACAGGAAGGAACGGGAAGTGATGTAAAGGATGGAAGAGATTATGGGCGAAGTAGTAAGATAGAAAATATCTAATGATCCAAGATTTTATATATACGGATTAAAAACATTGTCCTGCTTGGCTCGGCTGTGCTGTAGCTGAAGGCATTTAAAAGCCATGTAAAACTAAAGCCATTTAAAAAAAATATCTTTAACTGTAAGATTCTTTTAATAATAAAGGTTTAACTATAAATTAATGAACTCTTAAAGTTATGTGTTACTTAATTTACTTAAACCTTAGACTTGTTGACTCAATTTCAAGTGACAATCAATTCAGAGCATTACATGTCTAATTCACGCCGGTACCCTTGAAACACTTATCTGAGTAACAATCAGGAAGATATCGTCAATTTAATATTTTTTAAATTTAAATACATTTAATTATCTCCTAGTCTGTGATGCATAAATAAACACTTCACAAATACATACATCTGAGATAAAAAATATCAGTAATAAGATAGAAAAATAAAGAAACCTCCGTCATTATAGCTTCTGCAGGGTTTAAATTTTTAATGGGAGTGACCGGCATCTGAGAATGTAGTATTGTAGAGTGATTTTTAGGTTCATTTTAGACCTATAGGATGTTTTTACAGTGAATATTTGTTTAGCAACAGCGCAAATTCAATTTTTAGAATCTTCATAGATTGTCCATTTTGAAGGGATGATTTTGAGAATCGGTTTTTCAAAAGTATTCAATGACGACCACGAAAAATGTAACAAAAATTCGATCGTAAACTGATAAGTTGTTTAGCAACAGATTGAGAAAATAAAAATTAACTCTAATCATCGAAAATAACTAATCTTATTCAGTTATTAGTTACTGTAATGTCTCATTGTTCACAAACAGTTTCTGTAGATATCCTGCAATTTGTATTGAAAATACGACATTTGAAGAATTTCAAGAAATTTGCGAATAAATTTGAAAAGAATCAGAAAGTCAATATAATGATGAAAAGGAAACAATTGATTATAATGTTGACTTATAGACAAAGGAGTTGAGTTTTAGCCACAAATTTAAATATTCTAATCCCTAAATCTCTGCAACCCGATGGTGTAAACCTTTGATTTTTCAAACTACGACTATGTGATGTAACAGAACGCATAGTTTGAAATATCTAAGATCTACGACATCAGGTCGCAAAGATATAGGGGTTATAAGATCAGAGTTTGTGACAAAAACTCAATTCCTTTCTATTGAAAAATATGTTCCTAAACATCTAATTAGTATACTTTAGAATTGTTGTTACAATTTTCTTCGTTGTTATTGAATAATTTTTAAAAAACCGATTTTCAAAATCGTCTCTCTAGAATAGACAGTGAAGAAGGATTTTTAAATTAAATTTTCACTCTGCTGAACAAATATGCAATGTAAAAACGTCTGATAGGTCTCAAACGAATCCTAAAAAATTTCTTTATAAAAATGCATTCCCAGTTTTATTACAATAAATTGCCGGTCACTCCCTTTAGGCTTTTAATGGAATTAAATGAAATTACGTCGACAGTTTTTCAGTTCATATCATTAATATATATATACATATATATATATATATTTTTATATATATATATAATTTTATTTTTAAGAGTTCTAAAATCCTCTCCTACGACCAAACAACCTCGTTGTGGAAACTTGAACGTTATATACATAGATTCCGCTTGCTTATAAACAGTCTCATAAATTTTTAATACAGGGTCGACTTTGAAGTGTCGCAACGCCTTGGGCTTAGATTTTCCGCTCTAACTCAAAATGTTTGACACTATAAAGCAATTGTTGTTAGCTTTGGTTTTGTGAAAGTAATTGGGAAAATTCTCATCGATTTTTGCTTGAGAGCGTGAGACCTTTAAATCACATTGAAGGTTGCAAAGCCGTACTACCAATTATTCCGCTTATTCATTTTTAGACTGAATGGCGAAGAGTCCCTGAAAAGCGTGCATTTTTCCCCCAATAAATTCCAGGATATAATCCTGTATTTATACGTGAATAATCGGCGTAAAATTATTGTAATTGATAATTGGCACTCATGTCTCTTTTTCACAAATTTTTTCAACATTTTGATTTATCAAGACTAACATTAGTCCCAACATGTGTACAAAAAATGTTAAAACATCCAGGGGGTTTGTCTCTTTTTCTTTTACAAGGTAAAGAGTAAAGTATTAATTGAGTCTGGAAAATTTTAAGAATAGCTTTTTACATTGCAAATTAACTGCAAATTTATATTACTGGAAAAACCTGAAAATTTTGGCAGACCCTGCAACGGAGAACATGTTAAAAATTACATTTCTGTATTTTTTTTATTATAAAATCTGAAAAAAATTAGGAACTTTGTGAAAAAATTAAATTGAGATCCCCCCCCCNTCGACTTTTCTAGTTTTCTGTCTGCCCTGAACCCCCTCCCACGCACTCCCTTTTTGTCTGGAAGAAAATTACACTTGTTCATATACACTTATCATTTTATACACCCCAGACAGGATAGGTATACAGATACACAGGAAGATGCAAATTCAGGTAGATAGATAGAGAGATAGATGATTGCTTACAATCCCTAAATATATAGATAGATTGATGAATAGATATTGACAATATATAAATAGATAGATAGATAAACAAATAGATAGAAAAAAGTATATTTAAATTTAAAGATTTTAATAAAAAAGCCAAAGCTCTCATTAACCTAACATAAACTAATTCGATGTCCGTTTTCTTATCATTGAAGTTGCACTGCTGGGTCTTGTACAATCCCATAGTTAAGAAGACGGTTAGAATTCTGATGTTTACTGTTCTTAATTCGGTGCGATACCGTTCCATTCGATAGTTAAAGTTTCCATACTTTTAGATTAACAACCATTTAACAATTGGGATTTTATGGTAAGAATAAAAAAACTAAACGTTTTTAGGCTTATTAATGTCCTACATTGCAGCAATTAAATATTTGTATATTCAGGAAGATTTGATGAGGGACATATGCCCGATTCAAACACTAATTGTATCAGTAATGCGGAAGATAACGTCGGTTTTCTAGCTTGAAAATCTGTCAACTCTTCTTTGTTACTGGAGCGAGATATGCACTATATTCCGTTTTCAAAACTAAAATATGGAAATTTAATAATTTAAACTTTAAGGGTACTCTCGTGAATCAAACATGCCACTCTATCAATGGAGGGTTAATTGAAATTAGTTTAGTTTATTACCTTTAAGTAACTAAGTATTAAAGTTGCTTTCACAATGTTTTCGTTATATTACACCAAAATTGTATCATTCCTAGTTTTCTTTATTTCTTTCACATATTTCTATTTCTCTTCTCGTTGTCCCCAGCTTGTGCAGTGTGTCTGTTTGTCTAGTTTTTACGATGCAAAATTTGTCTGTCATGTTGGTTGGTCCGTCTAACTCTCATTCTCGTTGTGATTGAATGATATATTTTTGGATGATATTTTGACTGATCCTTTTTAAGTATGCACGTCTTAGACTGATAGATATATAGATAAATAGAAAGATAGATAGACACACAGACAGGCAGCCTGACAGATTGATAGAGAGTTAGTTAGTTAGATAGATAGATAGATAGATAGATAGATAGATAGATAGATAGATAGATAGATAGATAGATAGATAGATAGATAGATAGATAGATAGACTTGCCCATAGCTAAAAAATCTACGAGGTCACAAAGCCGTACCAGAAATGTCAAATTAATTTTACGCTCTCCTTTTCGTCTAGTTCGCAGTGTAAGTACTTCTCTCTCTTGAAGAGAGTTGAACCAATCTTTTATTGGTCAAACCCCTCCCAGCCAAATATCTCCTTCTGAATAAAGTGGAACACACAAGAAGAACATTTTGATTAATATTTTAAAAGAATTTCAAGTATAATGTTAGGACATGAGAATAAAATCTAGATGAGAGTATAAAATGATAAATTAGAAAACAATGATAAATGGACCTGATTGTGAGGCTAGTTTGCCCTGGATATTGATAGATTGAATAATTTGTATTGGAAGCTAGAGCCCTGAGATATGCATACTACACGATTCTGGGTGGTCAAGTAATCATTCAACGGAGATCAAAACTTTTGCGTGACATTTTATCTCAATATCAAATATTACCTCGTCTTTCCTATACACAGAACGATCATTAAGCGATCTATCTATTCGCCGATCGAGATGTTATACAGATTTTCAAAATATCCAAAACGATCAATGATCAGAGCCTGCGATTTAAAAACTTCGACTCGAGCCGTAATTCCTTAAGCCCGACTTTAAACCCAATCTTCGAATCAACTCTGACGACAGCTTGTGTCACGTGATTGACAGCTGCAAGATCTTCGGCTCGACTGAGGAGTTAGGCCCAATGGAAAAGCTTGAATGCAGCTTAAATCCGAAAGCTTAAGCCGTAAATAATGCCCAACGAGCCGTATTTTCCCGAATTTTTTTAATCGCGGGCTCAGAACTTTTTATATAAATAAGCGTTTATCTGATAAACCCTGTATAATTTATATACAGTATACAATATAAACCCTGTATATACAGTATACAATATAAACCCTGTATATACAGTATACAATATAAACCCTGTATATACAGTATACAATATAAACCCTGTATATACAGTATACAATATAAACCCTGTATATACAGTATACAATATAAACCCTGTATATACAGTATACAATATAAACCCTGTATATACAGTATACAATATAAACCCTGTATATACAGTATACAATATAAACCCTGTATATACAGTATACAATATAAACCCTGTATATACAGTATACAATATAAACCCTGTATATACAGTATACAATATAAACCCTGTATATACAGTATACAATATAAACCCTGTATATACAGTATACAATATAAACCCTGTATATACAGTATACAATATAAACCCTGTATATACAGTATACAATATAAACCCTGTATATACAGTATACAATATAAACCCTGTATATACAGTATACAATATAAACCCTGTATATACAGTATACAATATAAACCCTGTATATACAGTATACAATATAAACCCTGTATATACAGTATACAATATAAACCCTGTATATACAGTATACAATATAAACCCTGTATATACAGTATACAATATAAACCCTGTATATACAGTATACAATATAAACCCTGTATATACAGTATACAATATAAACCCTGTATATACAGTATACAATATAAACCCTGTATATACAGTATACAATATAAACCCTGTATATACAGTATACAATATAAACCCTGTATATACAGTATACAATATAAACCCTGTATATACAGTATACAATATAAACCCTGTATATACAGTATACAATATAAACCCTGTATATACAGTATACAATNAAATATACTTTTCTTCAATCAAGAGACATTCGAGTTACAAACTACCAAGAAAAAAGAAAACAAAGAAAGCTAAAAAATGATATTAAATTTTACATATATAAAAATTATATAAAATTATATAAAAATTATATAAAAATTACATAAATATTATATGGATATTATATAAAAACTATGTAAAAACCTGTAGACGTAGTGAATAGGTATAGAATACGACAAATTAATTCTAGATTTTTTGAAGATTTTTGTTTTAGCCCTGGTGCGTACAAATCTGTAAAATGATTTATTCTTTTAAAATTTTCTGTTAAAATCACGATTTAGAGATATGCTGAACGATAAATCTGGGACATCGCGCTTCATAAACAGTACTCTTTTTGCTTCTTCTTATTCCTACAAGTTGTATCTAATGAAGGCAGACGCCATTTTAAAATGATGATGATAATGTCAGAAGAAAAACAATATGGCGTTGAACCGCGTGGTGAGAAAGTAGAAGAATCATAATAAATACAATATTCTTCAGGACACTCCCTCTTATGAAATTAATATGATTTCTGAACAGATAATACATTCAAAACGGTCAGAACCTTTCCTCCCACACGCCCAGCCTGAAAAATATTTACTAGGAAGATGTTACACATATTCAAAATATCTAGACGATTTAATTACAAAATATCTAGACGATTTAATTACAAAATATCTAGACGATTTAATTACAAAATATATAGACGATTTAATTACAAACTATCTAGACGATTTAATTCAAAAATATCTAGACGATTTAATTACAAAACATCTAGACGATTTTATTACAAACTATCTAGATGATTTAATTACAAACTTTATATATGATTTAATTACAAAATATCTAGACGATTTAATTACAAACTATCAAGACGTTTTAATTACAAACTATCTAAACGATTTAATTAAAAAATATCTAGACGAGTTTATTACAAAATGTCTAGACGATTAAATTACAAACTATCTAGACGATTTAATTACAAAATATGTAACCGATTAAATTAAAAAATATCTAAACAATTTAATTACAAAATATCTAGACGATTTGATTACAAAATATCTAGAAGATTTAATTACAAAATATATAGACGATTTAATTACAAAATATCTAGACGATTCAATTACAAAATATCTAGACGATCTGATTACAAAATATCTAGACGATTCAATTACAAAATATCTAGACGATTTAATTACAAAACATCTAAAAGATTTAATTACAAAATCCATAGATTTAGGCAAAGAAAGCAGTGAGAACCAGAAAAATGTAGAATAGGTAAGCAACAATAATGAATTGTATTTGATGTTGATACTAAGCAAATAGTTTTCCTAGTAAATGATTGGTTATGTTTCTACTAATCTAAAACTTTTTCCAAAAATCAAATGTATCTTAGTGGTATTTAGCTTTATTAGCTTCTCTTGACAGTAATCAATATTTGACATTCATGGTTCTAAAAGTAGTATTATTTAGCATGAAAAGAAAAGAAATTCTTTAATCCTTATAGTTCATATTATTTCCCTACATTTAAACAATGTTATACAGTATACTGACATCAAATATGTTATTAAATGCTAATTTAACAGTTTCCACATTTTCACGCTAGATGCAGTAAAGATAACCATTTTCAAAGATAGAAGAAAAACTATTGCCAGCCAAGACATGTTTTTGATTTAATCCAGCAGCATATATATATATATATGTTTGGGTGTCTATTTGTTTGTTTGTCCGATCATAACTCAGAAACCCCTGGACCGATTCACCTCCAATCTTGATTGGGGAACTCGGGGGGGGGGGGGGAAATGTTATTAGCTTGGTTTCCAGATTCTAAGTTGTGTGGGTCGACTTTAATAGCGAAAATTTCGTTTCCCGGTAAAATCGTTCAAGTGCGGGTAAACGTTGAAGTAACTTTTAGTAATCTTGGCAGTGCTGGGTTCCCAAGCAAAATACAGCATGATTTAGATTGGTTTAAGAAATTCATGCACTAGATTTTGGCAAAAACTAAATTACATGTACGTTATGTTTATTTCAATATCAATTTTACAACACTAAAATTGTCATCATTATATAACATCAAAATAATATCGCTGAGATTTATTTTGTTACTGACGTCATTAAGTTTATATTTTATTTATGTAAGTTTTGTTTTTGTGTTTAAACATATATACATGATACAGGATGATAATCATTTATAAACGGACGGCGCACTGAAAATTTGAATTCCCTTCAAACCAAACTTTTTATTCACTATTATATACTTATCTGCGCTTTGTGTTCATTTATAAGTTATAACCACTTAATTACTTTAATGCCCACTTTATACTTAATCTGCATTATTCCTGGGAAAGGACCCTAAAAGCTTGTGCAACCCAAAAAAATCACCAATGAGAATAGAATTTATAATGTATATTACCCAAAAACCAGTTGAGAGCCAAGCACTGCGTGTAGAACAGGCTTAGGGGGCAAGTCACTCTTGACTAACCAAGATGCGTTCAGTTTTTTTCAATTTTTTTTTAAATCGCGTTTTCTTCTATACATGTTGTCCCGCAAAACATGACAGTCGGTTAACAGTTCTAAATGTCTTCTTCCATAATTTGTTAAGTTGTTGGATATCAAAGACAATAATAAAAAAAAGACATTCACTAATTGTCAGTTTATCCATCAAATTAATTATATCGGTTAAATTATGATCGAAAACCACAGCTTGTTTTGACAAAAGTTTTAAAATATAAAATGAGCGATATAGAGCTGCCATCTGATTAATATATTATCAGCAGATATTTTTAGTTAGGTCATGGTTTAGGACTGATAGAGGGGGCCGAGCGCTGAGGGAAGCTTTATATTTACTAACAAAGGAACTGATTTTTTTGCCACAAACTCAAGTTTTCTAATCCCTATATCTTTCCAATCTTATTATGTAAATCTTTGATATTTCAAACTCAAATTATTTGTTCTAACAAAATACATAGTTTGAAATATCTAAGGTTTACAACTTAAGGTTGGAAAGACATAGGAATTAAAAAATTAGAATTTGTGATAAAAACTCAATTCCTTTGTTTTATTACATCGAAGGTTATTGTTTGAAGTTGCACATTCGCCTGAATGGTGTGTGTGTGTGTGTATGAGAGAGAAGGGGAGGGGAGGGAGGGGTAATCTATTAAAACAACCTCATTTTATCTAATATTAATAGTACCGTGTAATGCGTGAGATGCGACCATAGAGTTAAGATTCTATAGATTGAAAAGCATTGTTAAACAAAATTTCTTAATATGGTTTCCAACAACTATCAATTCATTATTTTATAAACTTATGTTTACAAATTTTCCTAGACAAATAAGAAGGGTGATTTACTGAATTTACACATACTAGTTACAATAAAATTACATATACAATTTACATTTACAAGTTTACAATAAAATTAATTAAAAGACATTTAAATATATTCTATGATTTCCGTAGATAATAGACAATGTTTAAAAAACTGATTGTACGTCTTATGAGCTTTTCAAAGACAGGTATACCATTTTATATCTATAATAGTCTTGTGGAACAAATACCATATATGTCATTACTCAAATCCCATGTTCATTGTTAATGTTCATATACTTTAATACACATAATAATAATACCCAGATTAATTTTTGATTTCATAATTCAAAATTGAGATCAAATTTTTTTTTACAAAGTTTGGTTTGAGCTCATACACTTTAAATAAAGCAGCAACATCACAGACTAACTATAGACAAACTCTTCTTAGTTCGTGTAATACATACCCAGTTTTTATTTATACTCTACGTAATTCAACGTCAACCAGTATTTTGTTCTAAAAATCTAATTTGAGCATTAACCATCTATGTGCTTCTGAAATCAGAACAAAAAATTTAGTTTATTTGTGTTGAGTCTAAGGTTAGTCTAAGAACAGCAATTTGGATGTTTTCTAGACAAAATTGGTTTAGCAATAACAATATGATTCACAATTACAGTAAAGTATGTAACGAGTTACCCAAAATCGATGAAACTTTGAAGATGAGCAAAACTGATTTTGTTTGCATTAAACAAAAAAACTTTATAAATAGTCTTTTAAAATTTATTTTGTTGCTGCAATGAGCCATAATTGTTTAAGAATAAAATGGTCTCTGAGGTTTCATTCTTTAAGAAAATTTGGTTTTGGTGGCCGAAAAAAATATAACATTTTAAAAAAGGTGTTTCCTAAAAAGTTGGAATACACCCTGCTCCCTAATATAATTTTAAATATAATTCATAAATAACAAAAATACTTTCTAAGAACCCAGTACAAGAAGCATAAAAATAAAATTTAATAAAGAATGATTAAAAGTTGAGATCCCAACCAGAGTTTTCATCCTTCGGCACAGCAGCGTCACGAGGAAACTTGTCGAAGTTTGATGTGTCGGTCTTCGAGTGGACTGTCGGTAGGATCGGGGGCGACAATGTTCGTGTCGACAGCCCATCCCAATCGAAACCCTAATAACAGTAAGTTATAGCAAACCCAATTTTTTTTACTTTTTTTGGTCAAAAGAAGTGGATTGAATAAATAAAAACTTATCGTAATTTTCTGAACAAAAAGTTTATAAAATGTTCATGCAGTGAGTCCCATAAAACTCTGGAATTTGAATACAAAATTTATGAGTACGGATGTCGCTGTAAAGCAAAAGACTTCGCAAGTAGCTTGTAAATTAACTTATAAAGTGAAATGAATCTGTTTGCAGTTGTATACTTCACTATTACAATGTATCATCTTCACTGTCCTATTAAAAATCAAAACTTGAGGCTATAACAGTCATCTTCTATTTCCACAGTTTTATGGGTCTTCCTGCATTATCCTATATCTTTACCTGAAACCAACGATTCTTTTTGATGTCCATGACCCCGTCTTTCTGATAACCAAGTCGTTCTACTGGGTTGTCACGGCAAAATTTCTTCATGATCGTTACAGCCACCCTGTAGAAAATAAAAATGCCGAGTCAAAAGGTTATTATTAAAATATGAAGTTTAATTCAAGATTTCATGACGACTCATTTCAGGAATCTTGTTATATGCCAAGAAACCTCTTTAAATCTTCTAATTCTATGCCGAGGAAACCCTTAAATCACCTTGTTATTTGCCGAGGAAACCATTAAACCACCTTGCTATATGCCGAGGAAACCACTAAACCACCTTGCTATATGCNCTTTTGTATATAAATATATTGTAAGAAAAACCGACTCGTTGAATATTAAGAAACTCAGTGCATTGCTTTATTGATTTTTATTCATATACAATAATACAATCATCTTGTTATATGCAGAGGAAACCACTAAACCACCTTGCTATATGCCGAGGAAACCATTAAACCACCTTGTTATATGCACAGGAAACCCTTAAACCACCTTGTCATATGCAGAGGAAACCACTAAACCACCTTGCTATATGCCGAGGAAACCACTAAACCACCTTGCTATATACCGAGGAAACCATTAAACCAACTTGTTATATGCAGAGGAAACCACTAAACCACCTTGCTATATGCAGAGGAAACCCTTAAACCACCTTGTTATATGCAGAGGAAACCATTAAACCACCTTGCTATATGCCGAGGAAACCATTAAACCACCTTGCTATATGCCGAGGAAACCCTTAAACCACCTTGCTATATGCAGAGGAAACCATTAAACCACCTTGCTATATGCCGAGGAAACCACTAAACCACCTTGTTTATTGCCGAGAAAATCCTTAAAATCACCTTGTTATTTTCCGAGGAAACCATTAAACCACCTTGCGTTATGCCGAGGAAACCATTAAACCACCTTGCTATATGCTGAGGAAACCACTAAACCACCTTGCTATATGCCGAGGAAACCACTAAACCACCTTGTTATATGCAGAGGAAACCCTTAAACCACCTTGTTAAATGCCAAGGAAACCATTAAATCACCTTGTTATATGCAGAGAAAACCCTTAAACCACCTTGTTAAATGCCAAGTAGAGGAAACCCTTAAACCACCTTGTTATATGCAGAGGAAACCATTAAATCACCTTGTTATATGCAGAGGAAACCCTTAAACCACCTTGTTATATGCAGAGGAAACCTTTAAACCATCTTGTTATATGCCGAGGAAACCACTAAACCACCTTGTTATATGCAGAGGAAACCCTTAAACCACCTTGTTAAATGCCAAGGAAACCATTAAACCACCTTGTTAAATGCAGAGGAAACCCTTAAACCAACTTGTTAAATGCCAAGGAAACCATTAAACCACCTTGTTATATGCAGAGGAAACCCTTAAACCACCTTGTTATATGCAGAGGAAACCACTAAATCACCTTGTTAAATGCCAAGGAAACCATTAAATCACCTTGTTATATGCCGAGGAAAGTCTAGTTGATCAAATCCTCTGAGGATAATATTGTAGACCTTCATGGGATCGGAGGCTGTAAACGGAGGTCTAAATATTGTCAACACAATTATTCAATCATATTTCACGTGCAACTGCAAGAGAACATAAACGTCATACTAATTTAATTATTCAAAAAGTAAATTCATAAATTTTTCATAGAAATTTTACAAAAAAATTTGGAAAAATATTGAAGAAATTTTGTAAGAAAGGTTGTTAAATAGAATTAAACTAGATTTATTCTAGAATGTGGTTTCTTCAAAGTTAAACTTTTTTACTCAAATTATTAAGTTTTTTAAAAGAAAATTCGCAATATTTATGACAATAAAATATTATCATTTACAAACATGTTTAATACTTACGTTCCCGTTAGTAGTTCGTACATAAGGATACCCAGGGACCAGAAATCCACAGCCCTGTCATGCCCCTTGTTCAATATTATCTCAGGGGCAACATACTCAGGGGTTCCACAGAAGGTCCAGGTTTTCTCACCAGGGATTAGAAACTTGGAGAACCCGAAATCTACCATTTTCACATACCCCTCGCAATCTAGTTTTCAGAATTTAAAAATTAAAAAGTGTCATGAACCAAAATATGAAGGTTTCTGGTCTTCCTTGGGCCAGAATAATAATTTATATAACTAATAATCTCAAAAACACTTTCACGATTGTCGATACTTTGCTTACAGTTTTCAATATGCATGCATTCACCTAAAAATATACTTTATCAATTTTACCTAGCAGTAGATTTTCTGGTTTCAAGTCTCTGTAAATTATTCCTACAACATATCCAATCAAGTATCCTTCAGATATGTAGTTTTTTTGTGATTTTGTAAATAACAATCACAATAGTTTTAGAAAAAACGAAACAAAATTTGTATGAAGATTTGTTTTGTGAAAATCTGAGTAATTAATTGAATATTCCTCTGCTATGAAGATAATCTAGAGCGCTGACCACACAACCCATATAGAACCTTGTTGTACTATCATCAAACCAACCTAAACAATCCATATAGAACCTTGTTGTACTATCATCAAACCAACCTAAACAATCCATATAGAACCTTGTTGTACTATCATCAAACCAACCTAAANAAACTTAGTCTTTACTATCTTCTTCACCCTCTAGTTCATAAACATGATTCTAATAACTTATGTTACCCTCTGTTCCAACCCTTACGCTGAGTATCCTCCCTTTTCTTTATACTCCCTCACCTTCCTCCTTACCTTTTACCTGATTTATTATCATTCTTATGTTTAAAATGTACAATGTACATTGTTTTTATCTGCAATTCTCATTCGTTTATAGTGGGCCAACCAATTAAAACAACCTACTCTGGTTAGGCGGGTCCAAACTACATAGTAAATTGTGGATTTTTTATTTGTATTATCTCGTGCTTTGTAGTTGAATAAAAATATGAAATATGAAATATTTGACCAGTTGTTTCAGTCAGCAGAGGAAACGTTTTTTGCAATTATTTACAAGTATTTTTACGCTCGATAATTAAAACTTAATCAATTAATCCTAAAGTTTTTCTCTACAATACTGCACTTTTATGTCTAGCCGGTCTCTCCCTTTAAATGGTTTAATTGCTGCTCATTATAACACCTTCAATATAACAAAAAAAAATAGCTTTCCTATCTTAAAACAATTATATCTAATTACTTGTTTTCTATATAGAAGCAACTTGAGTATTAATGCTACAGAGACAAGGATGGAAATTGACCAAATTATTTTTCAGAATAGAAAACGACGACGACATCTTCAACATTGTTACTTTGTGAAAGGTTTAAAGATTATCGATTATAATATAGGGTCACTTGAAATTACATCGACCTCGACAGTTACTTAAAAAAATATAAATATTATTTTCTGTATTTTGAAAGTTTTGAATTTACAAAAAAAAAATCTTTTTAGTTGCAAACTTTCCCCAGAATTTCTAATTGATAAAATAGATTGAAGGATGCAAACTTCTCTCTGCGGTTTTCTTGTTTTTACTTTTGGATTTTTTTTTCCAACGATATTTAAAGTTAAGTCATTTAATTGAGTTTTGGAGAAATCATCAGTACAAGAGGATTAATTAGGACAAGTAGAGAGAAATATTTATAACAAGAGCAAGATTGTTTAGGACAAGAGCAAGATTGTTTAGGACAAGAGAAAGATTGTTTATAACAAGAGCAAGATTTTTTAGGACATAAGGAGGATTTTTTTGGACAATTACAGGAATGTTTATCACAATTATAGAGGATGTTAAGGACAATAAAAGGAGTTTTTAGAACACGAGCAGGACTGTTTAGGACAAGGGCAGGATTTTTCATGACATTAAAGGCAGTGTTCGCGAAAAATGAAAGGGGGTATAGGCTTAATACGATAAAAAAGCGCTTTTGATCGCTACTAATCTTACTTCTATCTGTTGCGTCTATAAGGAGAAAATTGTTGAAGACTTTTCATATACCGAATAACTTAGCGTCCTTACAAATTGAGAAAATTGCAACATACGACTTAGACCGTAAAAAAATCATTTTAATTTTAAACAAATCATTCAGATATTACAACCTATAGTTATCGATTATTTTTCGCCACATTTGTATACAGTTTATATTTTATAATTTTATAATTTTATTTCTCTTGTCGCTTGCGCAACTATCTAAGAATGCCGCGCACCACTCACATTTTTCGAAATCCGTTAGAAACGTTTTCTAAAAAATAAAAAAGTTATATGGTATATGAGACGTCTTCAACAATTTTCTCCTTATAGACGCAACAGATAGAATTAATATCAGTAGCAATCAAAAGCGATTTTTTATTACATTAAGCCTATACCCCTTTCATTTTTCGCGAACACTCCCTTTAAGATAAATTTTTAGGACACGAGCAGGATTGTTTATGACAATTAGACGAGTGTTTAGGACACGGGCAGGATAGTTTAGGAAAATTAAAGGATTTTTTAGGACAATGACAGCTGATAATTTAGGACAATTAGAAAGATTTATTGGTCAATAAAGAAATGCTTAGAACAAACGAAGAAATGTGTAGGACAATTAAAGAAAAGTCTAGGACAATTAAAGAAATGTCTAGGACAATTAAAGAAAAGTCTAGGACAATTAAAGAAATGTGTAGGACAATTAAAGAAAAGTCTAGGACAATTAAAGAAAAGTCTAGGACAATTAAAGAAAAGTCTAGGACAATTAAAGAAAAGTCTAGGACAATTAAAGAAAAGCCTAGGACAATTAAAGAAAAGTCTTGGACAATTAAAGAAAAGTCTAGGACAATTAAAGAAATGTCTAGGACAATTAAAGAAAAGTCAAGGACAATTAAAGAAATGTCTAGGACAATTAAAGAAATGTGTAGGACAATTAAAGAAATGTGCAGAACAATTAAAGAAACGTGTAGGACAATTAAAGAAAAGTCTAGGACAATTAAAGAATAGTCTAGGACAATTAAAGAAAAGTCTAGGACAATTAAAGAAATGCTTAGAACAAACGAAGAAATGTTTAGGACAATTAAAGAAAAGTCTAGGACAATTAAAGAAATGTCTAGAACAATTAAAGAAAAGTCTAGGACAATTAAATAAATGTGTAGGACAATTAAAGAAATGTGAACAATTAAAGAAAAGTCTAGGACAATTAAATAAATGTGTAGGACAATTAGAAATGTGCAGAACAATTAAAGAAATGTCTAGAACAATTAAAGAAAAGTCTAGGACAATTAAATAAATGTGTAGGACAATTAAAGAAATGTGCAGGACAATTAAAGAAATGTGCAGAACAATCAAAGAAATGTGCAGAACTATTAAAGGAATGTTCAGGACAAAATGTTAACGTCAATTGGGATGAATATTAAGAACAATTTCCAGATTTTAAAAAACAGTAATTGTTACAAATCCGTATACCGTACGGTGGCCGTGGTATCATTCATTTAACACTTTTCGTGCACAAGACAGTCTCAGTATAGGAGGTTTTGTGATTTCTTACATGTATTAAACTCACAGAACATAACGTTTAGAACCAACACTGACGCGGACCGCCCTGCCTGAGTGCAGCTGCGTATAGGACATAGGTGTATATTTCTGAGTAATCAATAAATCGAATGTAGAGTTTGGAGTCATTGTATATGTTTTGCACATTATTGTTTGCAGAAAAACTCTCCACAATGGGTCCAGCACGTGGATTTAACAGTTCTGTCAATTTATCCAGAAAGCTGTGACTTTCAATCACAATTTGACCTATTAAACATTGTTTTTTTTGCCTTCTTTCCTTTTTTTACTTTTTGGTCGGCATATGCTTTTTTAATGACATGCATAAGGGACTAACAAATCCGTAAGTTTAAAGATTGTTTAATCATAGACCAAAACGCATATGACTTCAAATAGAAGAAACCGAACTGGTCTCACTCTGATTAGTCCGGGGAGGGAGCTTGGCTAGAACTTAATCTTAGTAATTATGGAAAAAAAATATTTTATTTCTTCAAGCCCATTGTGCATTTTTACATAAACGTTGCGGCATTGAGCACTTTCAAACGACGCGTACCGGCTTATCAGACGCCGGTACGCGTCAGTGCTGATTCTATTCTAACTGTTCTGTGCATAAAACACATAAATGTATTTCCATTCTGTCAATTAGCAAGGAATTAACTAAAAAGTTAGACGCCGGTACGCGACAGTGCTGATTTATTCTAACTGTTCTGTGCATAAACTACAAAAATGAATTTCCATTCTGTCAAATAGCAAGGAATTAACTAAAAAGTTAGACTTCTGAAGTCATTCTTAATTTCTATTGAACCTCTTTTGAATGCAAAAAATTTGATAATATTTCTGATGAGTTTAGAGGAGAAATAATCTTCCATTTTTCAAAGATTAGTTTATTTAAAAGAAATATATTCATAATACGTTTAACAAAGTTTCTTATATTGCTTCTTATTTATTATTTATAAAATCAATAAATTCATGGTCACTACTCACTGGACTCATCCCCAGCAGTACAATAGTCAAATACAAAAATTGTACATACTTGTGTATTGTAAAATTTTATGCTTTATCAAAAAATAAATAAAAAAGAAGTCAACTCCCAAAAGTATTTTTATCACAAGAGACAAAAGAGACCGGGCCAAGTTTGAAATTTTACATAGGCCGTTCCCAATACGTACATAATACTCTTCGGCAGCCATTAATATCAAGGGTTTCCGTTTGCAGACTATAACACTCACTTGTTTTAAGTATTAGGGTTGAATATATATTATAAAAAATGTACCTCTATCTCGAAGAATAGTCCAGAGTTCTCCTCCAAGACTGGCCTCCATCAGCATATATATATACTTCTCATCCCTGTACGTTTTATACAATCTAAAATTAAAAATGTTTGTAAAATGACCATAATCTTCAACGCCATATAAACTTAAATTCATTTGACGTACCGTCCCGTCGGTAATTGTACTGTACAGCTGGTTAAAAGTTGACCCTGTCCACTTATTAACTTTTATGAGAAATGAGTGCTTAATCCCTTCTTTTAAGTTATCTCTGCAGGATACAATCACCACTGAATATCCAGGAGGATTTAAATAATCCTTTGTTCTGCACTAGGTGGAGATTAAATGATTCACCACTCAAAAGTTTGGACCCCTGTACACATTATATATATATGTAGAATAATGAACAATTATATTTTTAGTCAATTCCCTCAAGAGAAAAAACACCAATTTTTGGAATGTTCAAAATTTCAAGATTTAGAAGAAAAGATAAAACAGAGAAAAATGCAGAAGTCAGAAGTGCAGTTTATACAAGTAAATTCTTTTTTGATTTTATAAACTTCTTTTGCAGTAAAATAAGTTTAGTTGTGTTACTCATTCCCAATATGGGAATATTTTGTTTTTCTAATTTTTCTCTAGGTCTAGGTTTAAGTGAGGTTATACATGTATATCTATCTATCAATGTATCTAGGTCTAGGTATTGGTGAGGGTATACATGTATGTCTATCTATCTGTGTCAAGGGCTAGGTCTTGGTGAGGGTATACATGTCTATCTATCTATCAATGTAAATAGGTCTAGGTCTTGGTGACTTGTGAGGGTATACAAGTCTATTTATCTATCTATCTAGGTCTAGTTTTAGATCTACGGATATACAATTACATGTCTATCTATCTATCTATCTATCTATCTATCTATCTATCTATCTATGTATCTAGGTCTAGGTGAGGATATACAATTACATGACTATATATCTATCTTTCTATCTATCTATCTATGTATCTAGGTCTAGGTGAGGATATACAATTACATGTCTATCTATCTATCTATCTATCTATCTATCTATCTATCTATCTATCTATCTATCTATCTATCTATCTATATATCTATCCATCTATCTATCTATATATCTATCTATCTATCTATCTATCTATCTATCTATCTATGTGTCTAGGTCTAGGTCTAGGTGAGGGTATACAATTACATGTCTATCTATCTATCTATCTATCTATCTATCTATCTATCTATGTATCTAGGTATAGGTCTAGCAGAGGGTATATGGTGTTCTTAGCCATAACTGTCAGACCATTAGATCTAGAATTTACAGGTCTATTCCAATCTAAGTTCAAATTGATATTTGAATTGAACTAGCAGTGCATACTTTAGGATTTAAATATGCTTTATTCAAACCAACATTTATCCAACCTTGCCCTTACACTTACACAATATTATTTATTATATTCAGAATTTTAATTGTCCTCGTTTTCGCTCTCATCTGTTTCTCCCCTTTCCCCCACTTCATAAGCAATATACAAGTCCACCTTATTTACTCCATGTGCTCCCTTTGAAAGTACGGCCATTCTAGACGTACTTTAGTTTCCTCAAGTTTACTGCATTAATTTTTAGTTCCGATATCGCTTAGCTTTATTTGAAATATTCGCTGATGTAATATTTTTTCTTTAATAAACTACATGAAGTACATAGTTTGTGTACATGAATACCTATAGGATGGGTTTAGTTGTGTTACCTTTAACACGACATAAGTGTTGACAGGTAACAACATGTAAATCATATATATACAAATATTAGAAATAATAATGTATTATAATATGATATAATATCATAGTATTGTTAATTATAAATATATACCTGGTAATAATAATATATTATAATATGATATAATATCAAGTATAGTTAATTATAAATATATTCCTCGTTATTAATATATATTTAATATGATATAATATCATAGTATAGTTAATTATAAATATATACCTGGTAATAATAATATATTATAATATGATATAGTGGGCCAACCAATTAAAACA